AACACAGTATTAATATTCTTAATTAGAAATAATTTTCAAACTTACTTGTTGAATTTAATATGATTAATAATTGGAATCGAGTTCAATAAAACTTTTCTACAGTATATATTGATACGTTATAAACTCAACTTATTCGAATTCTACCATCTGCTCTATTTTTAAAAAATTCTGATTTAATTTAAAGAATTAGTCATATCATATAGCTCAAATCTATCTACAAATAAGTATTTAAATTATAAGGTAACATCTTAATAATTGTCATTTTAAAGTCTTCACTGTCTTATAAAAAAATTATTAAATCAAGTAAATACGTAGGTCTTCAATAATTTCTCTATCATCATTGATCAAACCATATTTTACATATTCCGATCGATTTCTTAATAATAGCAGATACCATGTAAAACATGTTTATCTGTAATAATATATAGAGTTCATATATAAATATACAAAAAAAAAATTCTGAATTTTTTTAAAAATAATATGATATTTAAGAATAATTCTTAAGTACATTCGTTCAAAATAAAATATTATATTATTATTATTCTGTAATAGCGCATGATAGTATAATGCAATTTAGTGCGTCAAACAAAATTTGCTTTATAATTATTATTATGGTATCGAGTGAAGGACAATAATAGAAAAAGATTTCGATGGAATTACAAGAACATTCAAGACTATAATTTTTCTAATGGTATTTCATGGAATGTTAATAATAACCAATACGATTTGGGTCGTGAGAACAAGTAACGCAAAACCAACATGAACCAAACTGGATTCCAGAATCCACATTTTACCTTTTATATACACATTTTTTCAAAAAACTAGGTATAGTCTATGTTTTAACTTTAGTTTTACTTATAGAGATATAGTTTTAAAAATAATAATAATTAGGTGTATCAAAAAGTAATGTCGCTTCTATCTCATTTCTCTATGGAAGGGTCAAAAGAACATACTTTTTTTTAGAGAAAGATAGAAAAAATGAGGCTCTATTTTTCTGTACTATGTGATTACAATTAAAATTTATGGTTGCATTGGATATTCTAAAACGATGATTATTAAACATAAAAATTATCTTTACAATGTTTTTAACGAATATCATTCAAAATTCACTATAAGATTGTTCTTTTCTCTAACGAATCGTTAATTATTCGACGATCTTGGCTTTCAGGTTCTTGAACTTTTTCTTCATCAATCAAGATTTCTGCCTGAAAAAAAAAACGATCTAAACTTAATCGTTATTTAAAAACTCTAAAATCAGCTATAATTTGGCACATTGACATAGATCAAATTTGTTTGTTAACTCGAATACAATGATCACGATGTGTTTTCATCTAAAAGTTAATATATATATAAATACATCAGACGGGAATCTTTTTTTCTTTTTTATCACGCACCATGTCTGAACTTCAAAAACTTCGAAATATCTTGTATTTCTTGTTAATTAGACAATACTTTTTTTTCTTTCAAAGGGAATCATATCTCATAAATGTATGAAGTGAACCGTATTTCTCTGCTTCAAATGTTTGGTATACTTTCTATGATCTATGATGTGTTATACAATTACAAAAGTATACTAAAATTGTGTGTTAACTGAATGAATTGTAACAATTTTATATATAATAAAACAAATATATTATTAGCACCATCGGTAAAATGGTTGTATTTAAAAACATTTCGTATTATAGCTTGTTTATGATGATAGAAATCTTAAAAATGATATTTTGTTCGTTTGTTTTTAAGAAAATAAGATATTTTTTCTTATTTATTCAAAAACAGCCGAAGCGTTTCTTTTTTTTATAATTCTATTTGCTTGATGTGATAATAAAAAATTCTTTCTTCAAACTCTTTTTTTTATTGTAAATAAAGTCTGTCTGTTAGACATCAAAGAAAGTTGGTAAAATAGTTTAAAATAACGATCTTATTTATTTTCCGTATAAAGTAAGTTACAGCATACGTATAGTTCTTTTATGAAACAGAAACATTTCTCTTTTTCAATCGTTACTCAAATATTCCATTACGTAATAAAATTGAACATGAACGATAATAATTCATTATATATTCTAATATAATGATAGTTGAACGTACAATAAATCACGAATTATATTGTTGTTAAAACATTTCGATAGATACGACTATGTTTTCATCAAGTCTTAGATTTCTTGAATAAATCAAAAATATATTTAAGATTATAACATCGATACAGTCTGTTTCCTATATTTGTTTTTATATACACATAGATACTAGATTACATATGTTTTAGTAGACTTTTTTAATATTATGTTATGTGTTAAAAACATTAGGATTGCGAACGATTTATTTCTTTATTATTTAATGGTGTTGATAGTATCGAAAAAGAACGCAACTGTTTTGGCCTGAACATCAGTCAAATACGATATATTGAGTGTTTCAAAAGTCATGATCATTTAAAAAATTTATTCTTCTCTCTTGTTAGTTAAATGATGTTAAAACTTTTTTTATTTTATAGAGAAGAATAGAAAGTTATTTTCGGTCGAATGACGTCTTTAAATTAGAGATGTCCATGGCGACGCCGCTGCTACGACAGTGACAGCGTGGCTGCAGCACCCAGTTTCTCTTTACCATCGCAGCACGACAGCAGCAGCTTATTTTTCTTCACCGTCGTGGCGTGGCGTGGTAGCTGCAACTTGTTTTTTTTATATCATCACGATGTGGTGCGGCAACGGTTGAGTTTTTGAAGTTTTTTATTATTTTTATTGAAAAAATCTATAATGTTTGAGATTATGGTTTTACGATGTTTACGATTAAAAGGAGTTTCTTTTTCTCAACGCATCTATATGACTATTGTATCGTTTAACCAATAGAAAAGAGAGTTTTATAAGCTATATTATTCATAACATCGCGTCATGACAGATTTCTAATTGCGATGGACATCTCTGCTTTAAAACTGCTCAAAAGTATTATGTTTAATATCAACACATTTTTAATTAAATCGATATGCCAAATTATTCTGTTTTTCAGATTATCTAGATTTTTAACTGTTGTTTCGAGATGCCTCCAAAAAAGAAGTCTAATGATATTAAATCAGGTGAATGAAGATCTCATAATATTGATTCACCTCTTGCAATGTATTTGTTGTTGAAGATACTATTAAGTCAAGTACGGACTGCCATTGAGAGAATAATATCCATTAAAGAGCTAACAACAGATGATAGTTTTTTCTAGATAGACTGACCACCTTTATATTTTCAAAGGCAGTCGGTACTTGGGTTAATAATATCTTCAACAGCAGTTGAAAATCTAGGTAATCTGAAAAACAGAATAATTTGGTATATCGATTTAATTCAAAAAAAAAAACGTTTCATGATGTTTTCTAGAAGCTGTAAAATGTCTACATTTTTATATTGAAATTAAATATAATACTTTAGAGCACTATTTAAAGACGTGACTCGTGCAAAAAAAACACATTATTAATATTACCTTGCTAATAAGAGAGAAAATTGAATTTCTTCAATGATCATGACTTTTGTGATAGCCTGTACAATAGTTAGTAAAAAAAGATGATGGGAGTGATGAAACATATTAATATTCAATTGCTCAGATACATTTTTTGGTAAAACTATATGCGATTTCGATCGAATTGACATACAATGTATATTTATTTTATGTTAATTAGTTATAATGATAATGCCTGGTTTTAAAAGATCTTTACTTCTTTCTGTTGAATAGTTTTAAATCACTTATAAAATACTGAAAATAAAAAATCAAAGACTTGTTGTTTTCTTTCATATATGATTAGTAGAGCTTGTCGAGTTGATTAAGAATATATATATTTCTATTTCTTTTTGAAAGTCAGTAATATTTAGAAAAAAACAACTTCATATGTTTATACGATAGAAACCAATAGTTGTCATGATTAAAAGTGCTACATTACTTTACTATTCCTTTAATAATATTTTTTACTTATTAATAAAACATTAGTAATAAAAATATTCTTATTATCCAAATGTCTGTGGACATTTCAGTTTTTGACGAACTGTTTTTCGGTATCACGATAGTCAACTTGAAAAATAGAAGTTCTACTAGATAAAAAGTATATCAAATAAGCATAAATAAGGCGTTTTAGAATATACCAATTGGCCAGACAATAACATGCATAATTTCCTATTGTATTTGTTTCTTTTTGTCAAGATTACCTTGCACGTATTGCCTTGTTATTACGTATTACTTTATTACTCATTACCTGTAATAAAGTCATCATTTTAAAAAATAATAATTATTATTACCAATCATCAAATAAAAGAAATAAAAAGTGACAATAATGTAGCATCCTTGATTTTGAACATCGAAAAATTCGTTATAACGAAAATGACATTTTCAAGAATGTCGAAAAAATTCGATTTTTTTTCTTAAATAACTTTAGAAAAAATATATTTATATATATTCTTTTTCCACTCGATACGCTCGATTTAGCTAAACGTAAAGAGAACATTTGCATTCTTCACATGTTATGTCAATATTTAGTAAAAATTCAAAAACAACATGTCTATATATTTAATATCCGTAAATATTAAATTATTTATAGTTGATTTATTCTGCCAAAACGCACATGTAAACCGATGACTTAGCTTGAATATTTATATTTTTTGTAACTATTTCAATTATCAATCTAACGAAAATATTGCGAGTAACATTGTTGTTATGTATATATATGTTTCTAATCTACGATATGATTCATACAAAACATGTTGATGTCTATTTTTCTAACTATAGGCGTAGAATACTTGTCCTCCGAGTACGTCCTTTTACGAACTGAATTAAGTTCGGTTTTTTTGTTTTTTGCGAGTGCGACAATAATAACGCTAGCATGCGCAATATAGCTTAATCATGCGTAACTGATCAAAGGTGTAAAATGCTAGCGTTGTAATATATAAAAGGACGAAATAGTTTGTTTTCTTTAATAGAGAAATAAAACCAAGTACATCAATTGTATTCGATTATTTCTTTTAAAAAGCAGTTAGAAAATGGGTGACGAACAAGATGAAAAGAAATCTCAAGATATCGACGCTATTGACCTAGACCAAAACAAAATTACGAACGGAAAGTAAGATAGATAATGATTAACTTTATCAATTTCTTTTTTTTTTCTTATTTAGAATTGCTAAACCTGACGATGAAGAACAACCAAGCGATCAAAATTTTTTTCAACGATTTCGTGGGAAAAAAAAAGATAAAAAAGTTACTGAAGTTGTAAGCCTTGCAAGTCTAGTAAGAAATCATTTATAATTATTTAAGAAAAATTATTATAATCTATAAATTAGTTTCGATATGCCACAAAACTCGACATACTCTTTATATTAATTGGTACTGCAGGTGGTTTAGCTCATGGTGTTCTTATGCCATTATTAATTCTTGTATTTGGTGGTCTTCTAAATACATTTACTGATCGAGTAGCTGATTTATGTACACTGAACTATACAGCTACAGCTATTGAATATTGTCCAGCAGGTTATGTATTAACATCATCGAATTATCTTTCATCAACATCGTACGTATAAATATTGACGAAATAATTTTTTTCAAAATAATAATTATATTATATATATAGTATTTGTAATTTTACGTTTAATGGTACTGCAGCTGATTTTCAAAATCTGATAGTAACACAAGTCAATTATTTAGTTATAATTGGTTGTGTTTCTATTGTATTTGGATATCTTCAAATAGCATTTTGGAGTATGCCAGCTGAAAGACAAACAAGAGCTATAAGAGAAAATTTATTTCGATCGATTCTTCGAAAAGAAATTGTTTATTTTGATACACATAAAACTGGCGAACTTAATACAAAATTAACAGATGATATAGATAAAATTCATGATGGAATTGGTGATAAACTTGGATCGGCATCACAGTTTTTATCTTCATGTATTACAGGATTAGCTCTCGGTAAGTTTATATTTATATCTTCAGCTCGTTTTGACTATTATCCATGTTCGATTATTTTTATCATATAGGTTTTGCTAAAGGATGGAAATTAACATTAGTTATATTATCTGTATCACCTCTATTATTTTTTGCAGCTATTCTCATGTCTAAAGTATGTCATTTATATTTAATGAATAATTTTTGAAATATTTTCTTTCTTTTTGTGTAGCTTACTTCTAGTTTTACAGCAATGGAATTAAAATCTTATGGTAAAGCAGGAGCAGTAGCAGAAGAAGTATTAAGTTCAATTCGGACTGTTTTTTCGTATAATGGTCAAAAACGTGAAACGAAAAGGTTGAATTTAAATACGAAATATTTTTTCTTATGATTTTTATATCTGTCTTCTATAGATATGAGCAATATCTTGAGGATGCGAGAACAAGTGGAATAAAAAAAGGTGGAGCCAGTGGTTTTGCATTGGGTTTGGTATGGTTCTTTATCTATTGTGCATATGCATTAGGTATTTATTATACATTTTCGATTAGTTTATGTTGTATCGAATATCTATTTTTCTTTACTACAGGATTTTGGTATGGAGCAAAATTAATTCGTGATGAAAACTATAATATTGGTAATGTTATTATTGTAAGTTAAAAAAAGCATATAGATAATATCATGAAGGATTCCATCAATTTATTTTAGGTATTTTTTTCAATCATTATTGCTGTGTTCAACTTGGGTCAAGCAAGTCCACATTTTCAAACATTAACTCAAGCACGAGCTGCTGCTTATATTGTATGGGAAATTATTGATGCAGTAAGTTAACAATTTAATTTCATATATATAGAAATATATGTTTTTGTTTTATTCTTTTAGCCATCTAAAATTGTTAGCGATTCAGAAACAGGTCTAAAAAAAGATGATCTGATTGGTGATATTGAATTTTCAAATATAAAATTTTCTTATCCATCACGACCTGGTGTTCAAATTCTTAATAGTATTTCATTTGATGTTCAACGTGGTCAAACAATAGCTCTTGTTGGATCATCTGGATCAGGAAAATCTACATGTGTACAATTATTACAACGATTCTATGATGCAGATGCAGGTATAGTTCGTATTGATGGACATGAAGTAAAAGAATATAATTTAAAATGGTTAAGACAACATATTGGTGTTGTTAGTCAAGAACCAATTTTATTTCAAGCAACAATTCGAGAAAATATCTTATTTGGAAGAGATACAGCAACAGATGCTGAAATACATGAAGCAGCAAAAATGGCTAATGCACATGATTTTATTATGACTTTACCTGATGTAAATTATATATAAATTAGATTTTATACTATATTATATATGTATATTTTGTAGAAATATGAAACTGCAGTAGGTGAACGTGGTGCTGCACTATCCGGTGGACAAAAACAACGAATTGGTAAATATAAAAAACTAATTCGAATTGTTATTTATTATATTCTTCATAGCTATTGCTCGAGCATTGATTCGAGATCCAAAAATTTTACTTCTTGATGAAGGTAATTTTATTTATTTTTACAAATTAATATTCTAATCATTATATATATTGTAGCTACAAGTGCACTTGATAATGAAAGTGAAAAAATTGTTCAAGATGCTTTAGATCGTGCTGCTCAAGGTATATTATTTCTAAAATTGAAAAAATATATAAAACTATTTTGTTATGATATAAGGTCGAACAACATTAGTTATTGCACATCGTTTATCAACAATTCGTAATGCTGATAAAATTGTTGTTATGCATAAAGGTGAAGTTGTTGAAGAAGGTGATCATGAATCATTGATGGATGCTCGTGGCACATATTATAGTCTTGTTGAACAACAAAATTTACGTCGAGCTGAAGAAGAAGAACAATTACAATTCGAAAAAAAAGAAATTACCGAATTAGTTTTAAATCATCATACTGAAGAACTTCAAACAACTGCAACTAGAAATCGTGCTTCAACTATTGTTAGTTTAACACCATCAGTTATGGCTGCATTATATGGAAAAAATAAAGTTGGAACAACTGACGATGATACTGATGATGATGATAAAAAGAAGAAGAAAAAAGTAAATATTTAAATTAATTTCATTTTAATCAAACAAAAAAAGAATTTTTTCTTAGGAAAAAAAGCCTAGTGCTGCTCTTATAATGCTTAAGATGAACAGACCAGAATGGATATTCATAGCATTTGGTTGTGTAGCATGTATAATTAATGGAGGTATTCAACCAGTATTTGGTATTATTCTAAGTAAATTAACTGCGGTAAATTTATTTCTTTCTTATAGAAAAATATTTATTTTTATTTCATAAAACAAAAATAGGTTTTTCAAATATGTGATAAAAAAACTCAAGAAGATCGAGTATTACTCTATATACTTTTATTTATTGGTTTTGGTATTTTATTATTATTTTCAATGTCTCTTCAAGTATGAATTTATAATTTCAATGATTTTTTTAAGAAAAAACAAACGTATCCTTTTTAGGGACTTTTATTTGCATTGTCGGGTGAAGCTTTAACAAAAAGATTACGTGGACGAGCATTTCAATGTTTACTTCGTCAAGAAATATCTTATTTTGATAATCCAAAAAATAATACAGGAGCATTATGTACACGTTTAGCAACAGAAGCATCAGCTGTTCAAGGAGCTACTGGTATTCGTATTGGAACAACATTACAAAATTTAGCTGCACTTGGTACTGGTATTATAATTAGTTTTGTATTTTCTTGGCAATTAACATTACTTATACTCGGATTTGTTCCATTGATGGTTGCTGGAGGTGTCTTACAAAGTCGTTTAATGACTGGTTTTGCTAGTAAAGATAAAGCAACACAAGAAAATGCTGGACAGGTAGCAATACAATCTATACAAAATATTCGAACAGTTGTACAACTAACAAAAGAAGATTATTTTTTTGAAGAATATCGTAGATATATTGGAATTCCTTATCGGTATATTAGATTTATTTATTTATAGAAAAAAAGAATGTTTTTTAATTCTATTTTAGATCATCCATAAAACGTGCACATCTTTTTGGTTTCTTTTTTGCATTAACAAGTTCAGTTATGTTCTTTAGTTTAGCAGCATTGTTTCGATTAGGTGCCTATTTGGTAGCGCAAGGTGACATCACATTTGAAGATGTTTTATTGTAAGAGAAATGAATTCTTTTGAAATATAATATTCGTTTATTTTAGATGTTTTAATTGTATTATATTCGGTGCACAAAGTGTCGGACAAACAGCAGCAATGTAAATATAGAAAATAGATAGAAAATATTTCAACATATATATATTTTAGGTCGCCAGATTATACAAAAGCTGTTGAATCTGCTGATAATATTTTAGAATTATTAAATCGAAAACCAGCGATTGATAATAGTTCCACGGATGGTGAAGAAATTGTGAGTTTAGATTGATTAGATTTTGATATTATGAATTATTTATTTTATATATATATATATAGCCTAATTTTACTGGACAACTTGATTTTGAAGGAATACATTTTATATATCCAAATAGACCTGAATCAATCATTCTTAGAAATTTTAAATTAAAAATTCAACCTGGTATGTTAAATTTTTGAATCATTAAAATTAACTTATTTTCTTTTTCTAGGTCAACAAGTTGCACTTGTCGGTAAGCATGATAGGTTTTGGACTTTGCCCTGTTTTCTTTTTGTGATCATATATCGAGTAGAGGCAAAAAGCAAAATAGTTCAAGGGTAAAGGTGAAAGTTATTCTTTTCTTTTCTTACCTTTATTGTCATTGTGATCGTTTATCGATTCACTCTCTTTTTTTTCATTTGAATTTGAATAAATGAATATATATCAATGTAGGTACATCCGGTTGTGGAAAATCAACGACTATTCAATTAGTCGAACGTTTTTATGATGCAAATGTTGGTCGAATAGTAAGACAAAAGTTTAATTTCTTCCATCTTATTTAATCTGCTATATTCTATTCTAGTTAGCTGATTCAAAAGATGTACGAGCTCTTAATCTACAATGGTATCGACAACAAAGTATATAATATTTTTCTTCTTCTTTTATTATTTATAATAAGTATTTCTTTTTCTAGTTGGTTTTGTTTCTCAAGAACCAATTTTATTTGATATGTCAATTAAAGATAATATTGCTTATGGTGATAATAGTCGAGATAACATTTCAATGGAAGAAATTATAAAAGTAGCTCAAAGTGCTAATATACATGATTTTATTCAACGTTTACCTGAAGTATGTAAAGAAATGCAAATTTTTCTAGAAAAAATATTTTTCTTTAGGGATATGATACAAATTGTGGTGCAAAAGGTACTCAACTATCTGGTGGACAAAAACAACGAATTGGTAAGATTAAATCATAACAAAAAAAGAATCTATATTTTTCTTTTCTTTAGCAATTGCTCGAGCATTACTTCGAGATCCAAAAATTCTATTACTTGATGAAGGTAAGTCAGTTTAGAATTAAATTATGATGTAGAAATATATGTATAATTCTATAGCAACAAGTGCATTGGATAGTGAAAGTGAAAAAATAGTTCAAGATGCATTAGATAAAGCTCAAGAAAATCGAACATCGATAACAATAGCTCATCGTTTATCAACAATACAGAATGCAGATATGATTTGTGTTTTACATAATGGTGTTATAGTTGAAAGTGGTACAAGTCAAGAATTACTTGCTCTCGGTGGTCGATATTATCGTTTAGCTGTAGGAAAACTTAAATAATTATGAATGTTACTTTCTTTTTTCTTTTACTTTTTATGTATATTTATATACGTTTCTTTAACTGAGAAATAAAAACAATAACCAAGTCAAATTCATAAAAGTGTATTATTAAAAAATGATAAAATATTTTTCATAAAAAATTCTCGATTTGGTAAATGTGGAGTATCTTGATGACGTGTATGAGATATAAATGTATATAATTTTCCTTGTTCCCATAATGTTCTCATACCAATAAGATCTTCTAGAAATTGTCTTGAATTATTCCATGTTTCAATATTTAATGATTGAGAAATATAACCCATAAACCAACCGGATTCTTTTGGGGTAACAACTTCATCAATATCGGAATATGTCATAACAAATGCATTTAATTTTAACATATTTATACGATATGTTTCATTACGTATTTCATGTTCATTATTTATATCAGGAAGAAAATGACAATCAGTTATATATTTATTTAATTGAGTGGGATCACGCCAATAATTTGCAATACTAATTCGATTTTGAATTTGTTTTTCATACGCATATTTTGTTATTAATTCACGAATATATATTGGAAGTTTAAGAAGATATGGTATACCGAAAATTCCTTGATGAAGACCATTTAATGTGATTAAATTATAAACAGGTAATGAACATCGTTCAACAGCACCACGAACAATTAAACTTCCTTGTGAAAATCCAAGCATATTAAAACTTTGTTGAAGATTAATATCATTACGAATTTTTGTACAAAAATATTCAACTTGTTTATCTAATGACCATAGAAATGAATCATCAAATCCATTTCCGATTTCAATTGATACAACATAAATACCGGAAAAAGACATTCGAAGCCAATCAGCAAGTTCATTCATGTCAGAAGCTGATGCAACAATACCATGCATAAGTACTACTGGTCGATAAATTAATGATTGAATTGAACGTGAAAGAATAGTAGTTTGAAATACAAGAAAAGTTAAACGTGACATTTTTATTTCATTTTCTACTTTTCCTTCGAATATCATCCATGATGATGTATAATTTTCAGAAAAAGTTATAATAGATGGACATTTATTTATTCCCATACATAATAAATATGTTGTAAAAAGTGTGAGTTGCATATCGAATATTTACATGATTATTGAACACCTTGTAGTTTTGTCTTATTCAATGAATAAAAAAATAAAATAAACGGAATCTATTTTAGAAATATTTTCATAAGTAGATGATTTATGCAACATATTTAATTACTCTTAAAATACGAAATTTTATATAAGCATTAGACCGTGACAAACGAAAAGAAAATTTTATTGATGCAAAATAATATTCAATCATCATGATTATGAATTTATTCATTACTCAAAATAGATGGCGTCAGAAATTAAACAATCATATAAGACATGAAAGTATCCTATTAATAAATTCAGATTATTATATCAAAGTATTTTCCAATATTTGAAAGCAATTAGACTATAATCATTCTTATAAATAGATGATATTGAAAGTTCATTCACCATCATATTCCGATATATTCGAAAAATATATTGTTCGATTAAAAAACAGCACAAACTATAATCGTTATAGATTGGTTATTTATGAACCAATAGGAATTTTTCTATGTTGACCGATGTCGATGATGAGCTATAAACCACAATCCCAAATTATTTATTCATCTATTACATAAAGATAGAATTTTTCTTTTCTTTTTTTTGTTAATTCGAGATTTATAGAGATATAAAGAAAGAGTCAGTAAAAAATGACCCTACGAAGTTTTGTAATCATACATAATAAAAAAAAGATAAAAAGAAAACAACCCGGTCAAGTTTTTCGTTCTTTTACATGTTCACCTGATTAATGTATAAACTTACACTACGTAACAAAGATTTTTACTTCTTCCTTCTTTCTTTCTTTCTTTTTTTTACATACACAGTCGTTGTCCCTGTATCAACGTAGACATATTCTTTTTTTCTGTCTTTGTTAGTTACGTTTGAATGTTGACATAGTTGATTTACTAGAGTTTTTTTTCATACATTCGTCCTTACATAACTGGCGCATACGTGCTCTTACCAATAAAATTCACAACAGGATATAGAAATATGAAATAAAGAGATTTATAATTAAAGGTTTATATTACTAAAATTTGTATACGATTGATCTTGTCCAAGGTTACCGCAGTACACTTTTCAAAACAATTCATTTTTTTTTCTTTCTTATTTAGTTGTTTTAAGCATCGAATGAAATAATATAAAATCTATGTCGAATGTTCATTATTATCGTTATCGACGACGAAAGAGAATATTACTCTAGACATAGCAATGATCCGTGACGATATATTGTCGCTGTCTGCAAGTTGACCGACAACTGTGTCATATTATATTATATATATATTACAAAAAAAACGCGACGTTGATCTTTCATATTAATACAGATCATGTTGTTTGATATTTTACTTACGGTCTCCGATGTTGTTGAAACAAAACCTTTAGCTGAACAGAATGTTTATAGGTAAAAAGAATTTTTTTTTATTAAAAATAAAAATTTTTATATTCGTTTTTTTTCTCTATTCAGAGGATATAGTCTTTTATCTATAATTGATTCATCTCATCTTTCAACATTTGTCATTGCTCTTGTTCTTATTATCTATGGAAGTTTTCGGTATTAAAATATAATATTAAATAAGCAAAAAATAAATATCTATATTTTTGTTTTGTAGTGCATTAGATCATGATAAATCCAAAGAATCCATATCCTCAAATAAATTTCTATCAGATTCATTATCAAATGATCAAGGTTATTGAAAATAATTTAATAAAAATTTCATTAAATTTTTCTTTTCTTTTTTCCTATTAGGTACAAATTCACATGTTATCGAAACAATGCATGCTATTGCTCTTCCTCTTGGTGCATCATTATCTTTAATAATCATGTTCTTCTTTTTTGATTCACTTCAGACGATCTTTATTATGTGTACAGCAAGTAAATTTCTTTTACAAAAAAATCTAAATACTATAATCAATATTTAATATTAGTTCTATCAACAATGGGTTTTGCTTATCTTTTAACACCATGTTGTCAATTAATACTTCGTCCATGTTCTGATAATACAAAGTAAATTTATATTTTTTTAAATCTTATGAATTTTTTACTTTTGCTTCTATTAGAATTTCATTTGGTTTTATGGGTCGTTATACATTATCAGAAATCATTGCATTCAGTTTATCAATAGCTCTTGTTTTACTATGGATTATTACTGGACATTGGTTATTTATGGATGGTAAAAGAAATAAGATCAAAAAAATAAATAGAACAATTTCATTTTTGTTTTAGTTATTGCAACAGGTTTATGTATATCGTTTATTGCTCTTGTTCGATTACCAAATTTGAAAGTGTCAGCATTATTACTATTAGGTTTAGTTATATATGATGTTTTCTGGGTATATTTCTCTCATTATATATTTACAACGAACGTTATGGTTCGAGTTGCAACACGTGAAGCAGAAAATCCTGTAAGAAGAAAAAATATTTTATTTAATAAAAAATTTATTTTGATGATTAAAAACTAATTTTAGTTAACAACAATTGCGCGAAAATTTAATTTTCATCGATATAATGCACCAAGACTTTCATTACCTGGTAAAATTGTTTTTCCAAGGTAAATAGAAAATAAAACAAAAAAGAATTTAACTGAAAGTATATATATATATATATTTAATTGATAGTATGCAACAAAGTGGTCGATTTTCGTTACTTGGTCTTGGAGATATAATTATGCCTGGACTTGTTCTTTGTTTTGTTTTACGTTTTGAATCTCGAAAACGAACGAATAATTTATATAATAATGATCCATTAGCATTAATTAATCGTTTAACATATTTTCAATGTTCCTTATTTGGTTATTGTGCAGGTAAAATAAATAAATTTACATAATTTATTGTATTTTTTCGTATGGAAAATGAATTATATATATATATATTTTATGATTTTCAAGGTTTAATAGCAGCAACTATTTCAGCTGAAGTATTTAAATGTGCACAACCTGCACTTTTATTTCTTGTTCCATTTACATTAATACCATTATTATTAATCGCTCATTTAAAGGTATAATTTAATAGATAGAAGAATTTTCTTATTTATTTTTTTGAATATTTAGGGTGATCTTAATTCAATGTGGTCGGATCCATTTGCTGAGAATGGCGAGATACCATCTCCATCGTGCAAATTATTAAATGTTTAATTGTCAGATAGTGTGTTTCATTTCCTTTCTTTTTTGTTTTGATTGGCCGTTCAATCTTTTATGCGTGTGTGCGTATCGATATATGATAATTCAGATTTTAATGTCGGATTGGATGTTTTCTGTTTCTGTTTTGTTTCTATTAGAACAGTTTGTAATAGTGGTTTTTGTTTTCTTCTCTCTTTCTACTTATTGTCGTACTTGGATCTGGTTTTTTGGTTATGTACGAACAGTTTGCTAGACAAATGTAATTTAAAAATGATTGCATCAATTAAAATGCATGATTCTAGATAGTTTTAATAAAAAAGATGGGTAAATCGACATCATTTTTATCATCAATTTTTTATCTTATTCGATCATCCCACTCTCGTAGTACAGTTATCATAACTATAGCATGTTTAATTGCATGTGTTATTATTTTTACTATGGCTGGTCAAGCTAATTCCATGGCTTTACAAGCATTTTGTTCGTTATGTATATTTGATTTACTATTTATTGGTACTGCTTTACTTTCTGCATGGGTTTTTGAAAATAATAATACAAGAGTTCATCAAAGAAATCAAAATTCACTAGATAATTCAACATTACTTTTTATTCCTACACAAACAATTTCAACATTTTCATATGGTACAGCTCGTTTTGAAGTTTTAGCAGTTTTTACATCTACAATGCTTTCAATACTTGGTGCATTTTTTATTTTGAAAGAATCTATTGAAAAATATCTTGAAAATGAAACAATACACACCGAATATCTTCTATTTGCATCTATTTTAACATTTATAGTTCATATGTTTGTTATTTACTTTGTACGAAATCAAGCATTTGATCATGTTATTGCTGCGAGTGCATCAAGTTGGTTACAAGAACATGTTAGTGATATATTTCAAAATATTTGTCATTATATTCCCGGTTTAAGTCGTCTTCTTTTACCACGTATTAATCCATTAGCATTACTTTGTTGGTGTGGTTTAACAATTCTTTTCTCTGATTCATTTCTTTTAAGAATGGGTTACGGAAATTTTGTGGATACATTAGCATCATTACTTATGGCTTTTATGACATTTGGTACAATGGTACCAATGGCAATATATAGTGGAAAAATTTTATTACAAACAACACCAGCACCTATGATAGGACAATTAGATAAATGTCTTCATGAAGCATCAAGACTTGATGGTGTATTAGAATTTCGTCATGAACATTTTTGGGCTTTATCATTTGGAACACTTGTTGGATCGGTCCATGTTCGCTGTCGGTTAGTAATAATTGCATAACTCATCTCGAGAGAAAACACACTGAGAATATTATCATAAGAAATTGTTGCGATTGCAGTATATATATATATATATATATCGTTGTGGAGATAAATGATAGTTATCTTTATTTTCATTAAAACATACAATATAAAAAGCTCTATAATAACTGTAAGATTAAATTCATAATGATTCATTCCTTTGATTTCTTTTATATTCAAATAAAGACAATTATAAGTTAACTAGAAATGAAATAGACGACATGAATCAATTAAAAAAGCTGTAGGCTATGAAATATTTTTTTAAAGCTAACTATGCATGGACAGTAATAGATTTTCTTTCGAAAATTGAATTAGTTTAAAAAGAAAAATAATGAATTATCGTTTAATAAAAGGTTGTAAGTCTAACATTTTTATTGAACGGTGAGAAGACCTCCAGGAATACTTATCTTATAAAATAAAAAAAAAACTTTATTAAAATGATTGAGTATTTATTTTGCGTAAGGCGTTACATTTTCAATTGTTCATTGAAACAAAGCATGACTTCTATAGTTCAAAGTTATTTGCCTTAAGAATCTGTTGACATTATTTTATTTTTTGTGAAATATGAGAATAACGTTCTGTTAATATTTATTTAGAAGAGATGCTGATGAACAATTAGTCTTAGCACATGTATGGAGTAAATTAGCAAATGTTGCTCAAATTTTAACAATTCATATATTTAAAGATGATTGGTTACGTCCCCAATCACATACATATACTCAAAATCAAACAACTAATCCAGTTATATCAAATAATCCTTCAACTTATAATAATTTTGTTGTTATAACATAATATTTTATTTTTAATTAACAAAAAATAAATATCTATATTTAAAAGAAACGAAAATGATATTCAACAGGTGCCGGTGATGTGCGTTGTCGCCAAAAGGGTGTGGGTGTGAGTGGAGGCGTAGAGGCTCGAGTCTCACCTAATTTTTAACTTGATATTTCACGACAATGTATAGTTTTCACGCCACTTATTCACTTGTCGTCACTACTGTCTTTTCAGAGACACTAAAAATATAGTTTTCTTTGATGTGTGTTGTTCGCAGTGGCTGTCTTGACATCGAACTGACATGATTGCAGTCGGATATCACTTACACTTTAATTTCACAAGAGAGAATAATAGCTTGAGATAACAATGTGTATTTAAATTTTGAATGTTTAGAAGTATTAGGTAGTGGTATTTATTCTTCGTTTGACTGCCTTTGTCATTCTCTTTCTTTCCTATGACACAGACTCAACTGAATCCAGCATTTTTGACTCACATTTACAAGGAGAAGAAGGATTCTATCGATTTGAACAGTATCTGTTCTACGTTTGCATCAAGAAACGAACAAAGAAAACGGTTCTTTTTAATCATAAACATTTTTTATTCTTAATCAAAAAATGATGAATGTTAAAAATAATGGTCAAACTATTGAACTTTGGTTATCATAATACAATATTTTTGTAGAGGTTTATTTTATTGAAAAATATAATTATTTTAAAACTATAAAGTACTTTACATAAAAGGTTGATTTTAATGTATTTTTTTAAACAACTTAATGCTTATAATATACTTTGTCTTCGATGCCTGAACTCCAAGAGGACACATTTGCTAACCAAGTAAATCAAAAACTTCAGAAATACTTTTTACAATAGCATAAGTTTTGCATCATTGAATTATTTAATTATCTTAGGAATTGATTGAAAAAAAATAACAACACATGTTGATGATGATCAATATACAACAGTATCGTCACTATCATTATCAACCCAAGTCGATGGTTCCGGACTCACGTGAAAATCGGATTTTATCGATAATTTCCTACCGTTTTCTATGAGAAAGAATAGGATTCGACCCGTAAAGGTCGCAGCCGGAATACCGCTTCTATGATTTTGCCGGAAGAATTGAGAATCCGTCAGTTCTCGGCCGTACTCTTCGACCTGGAAACATCTTTATCATCATCATCATCAATAAAAAGAAATGGAGTTTTTTCGTTATTCTGTTAAATAAGTTGGCGTAATTTTATTAGAATAATTTATATACATATAATATTTTTTTAGTTGTTTTGCTTTATCAACTCATGAGTAAGATAAAACAAAATCTAAAAGATTGATATTTCAATTTTAAACGTATTTTCTTAGTTTTTTTTATGATAGAGATATATGGCTATGGCAGTTCTTATTCAAAATTAATCGAAAATGCTATTATCAAAATCATCACAACAGCTGTGGATATGGCTGTTGGGCAGCTGATTGTATTTCTATTAATTTTATCTTGACAAAGAAAAGTCATATCTATGAGTTTTATAAATTAGTCTAAGTTGTTGGTCCCACACCCATCTTTGGAATACCACGGAAATGGCCGTTTCCGTGTCGGATTGTTCGACCTGGATGATGAACAATTATAGTCTTGGCATATGTATATAATAATTTTTTGTTGTTACATAATATTTGTTTTATTATTGAAAAAAAATAATGATATATATTTAAAAGAAAAGGAAATGATATTAGACAGGTGCTAGCGGTGTACGTTGTCGCCAAAAGTTATCAACAACATCATGAATATTTCGATTTGATTCACGCCATTCACGTTGCCATTGACGTAATTCTTGTACTTCAGGTTGTTTACGAATACGATAACCACGATAGAATGATTGAATTATTAAAGCAGCTTCATCTTCACTCCATAAAAGTGATTTAGGTAATGGTGCACGTGGATGTTTTTTGAAATGTTCGTGAACAAATGGAATATTTTCAAAAAATTGATTATTAAGAGCTAAATTTTGATTATTTTGTTCATTAGAATCAATTCGAATTGGATTATTATAATATAAATAACTTGTTAAATAATCAAGTGCATTAAATGCACTACGTTTTCGTTCTAAACATTTTCGTTTATCAGCTTCAACTAATAATTGTTCAATACCTTTTAATAATATTGGATAAACATATTTTTCTAAATATTCAATTGTTGGAATATCTTTTGGACTTTTTTTCATCGGTGTTTTTGGACGTTGATTAGCAGTTTTTAAAGCTAATTCTCTTTCAAAATCTTGTATTGGTGTTAAAGCATAATTAATACAAGCAGGATGAGTTATACGTGTATCAATTTGTATCTGTGTTATATCATCAATTGGAGCATGAATAAATGAATAATTACAAAAAACTGGTGTATGTTTAGATGGATCATAAACTTGTTTATCATTTAAATGTTTTTTATTAATATCAGTATTATTTGAAGATTTTTTTTCAGAATTCATATATGAATTTGATTCAGATTGTGCTCGTTTTGTAGCATATTCTGAACAAATTTCTTTCCATAAATTTGTTTCTTTATTTACGATTATAACAGGCATGATGAAAATAATCTAGAATAGATATAAATAAACCGACTTTGAACGAAATAATATTTCAAGGGTTATAAAAGATTTCGATATAAGCAAAAAAAATCAAACAACCATAGTGAAATTATTTTCCATGTAACTAACCTTTTCTTGATTTTTGAAATCGATAGATGTCATCTATATTCATTCTATCGATTGATAAATGATTCGTTGTTTAATATCCAATGTACATTAACAAATGAATGTTTCTTTTCATCGTATTTCTTTTTTTCTCTCTTCTTGTTCTTTTTTTTCATGATGATGATGATGATGTTTATTTTCTTTCGAATTGGTTTTCTTTTTTTTTTTTCATTTACTATCGCGCATATACATTTCGAACATAAGTAAAGGTGTTTAATGTCTTTGCTTTGTCCTTCTTTGAATGAACAACAAGAAAAGAGATAAAAAGAAAGTATTTCTTAATATTATATATACATATATATAGATAGAAAGAAAAATACTTTATTTAAATATCTATTTTATATTTTATTTAAGTTAATATACTAGGATATTTAACTATTGCCATCGTTAAATATAATCGCTACAATCTGTATTCAAGAACATATAAGAATTTTTCTCTTCCTGTTTCTACTGACAAGTATGTTACTCGTTCTCTCTTCATTTTTCTTTCCCGTTTTCTTTTCCTTGCAATAGTTTTCTGAAGGCTACAGACGCGATAGACAGAAAAAAAGAACAAGGTTGCAAGCATGCATCAAAATCCTTTGGATAAACAAGTAGGCCCAATGTCGCCGAAGGCATTATCATTGTATCTTTATTGTCATTTTGATGTTATTGCACTTAGTCTTTGTCTTCTATTTCTTCGTCAATAATCTCTATACATGTTTTTGTTATATTATTTCATAACAATATACAGTATCCTAAATGATTATCGTTGAAATTATTCACTGATAACTAAATATCTTTTTCACTTTTTTTTTCTTGTATATCTATTTACAAACTCTGTATATCGATATCCCTGACATTCGGATTAATCAAAGCAAAGCAAAGCAATAGAAAAGGTTGTCTAGTATTTATTTCTTATTTTAGATTTCTTTCTTTTGCATATTCGATATCTGTTTTTTATTTATTTATTTTTTTTGTTCATTTCAAAAATGTCTTAAATTATCGAACAATGTATGCTTATGTTGAATTATCGAATATAGCAAGAACAGATTCTATAATTCAATCATTATCATGGATGAGTTATATATCTACACCACCTTCATCATCATTAAATATTTCAACTGATGAAAATGATGTTAATAATATAAATAATAATAATGATGATGAAGATCCAAATCATTCAATTCCATCTACACCACAACAAACAATTAATTTACATGATGGATGGTTAGCAACAGGTAATACAAATCATATTGTTAGTGTAACATATACATCAGTAAGACCCGATGAATATGTGTCTATACCTGATCGAACAAATTTTAATTTACGTGCACATCGTACTGAAGTTTGTCTTGTTTCATGGAATGTACCATTTCAAAAATTAGCAACTGTTGATGAGAAGGGTGTTATTTTTGTTTGGGTTAAACATGATAATCGATGGTCATTAGAATTAATTAATGATCGTAGTCATCCGGTTATTGATATGTCATGGTCACATGATGGACGTATGACTGTTATTTGTTATGAAGATGGTTTTGTTCTTGTTGGTTCAGTAACTGGACAACGTTATTGGTCAACGGTTGTAAATACACCTCAAGCAAAAATATCTGCTGTTACATGGATGCCTGATGTTTCACAGTATAAGATTTAGAAAACATATTAACATTTAATTATGATTTATTTATTTATTTTAGTGTTATTCTTGGTACAACAGCAGGAAATTTAATTTTAATGGATCATCATGGTAATACAACGGAAGGGTTTTCTCTATCAACACAATCAATAACACAATTAATGTATTCTTGCAATAAATTCTATCCTGAAGCACCTGATAATAGTAAAAATTTTAAAAAATATATATGAAATCTATTTATGTATCGTTTGTTTTTAATATCCTAGATGCAACAAAATTTGTTAATGATGATTATATTCTTGCTTGTAGTCTTGATAATGGTCAAGTACTTTTTCTTAATAATTATCAAGATCAATCACCAATATCTGTTAATACTGAACTTCAAAGTAAATTTTAGTTCTTTGATAAAATTTCTTTATTTCTTTATTTAAAATAGATATCAAAATGGATTGGTCATCACCTGGTGAAATACTTGCTGTTGGAGGTCATAAACGTTTAAATGATTTAAATTATATAAATCAAATTATATTTTATTCTCGTCGAGGAGAATTTTTACATCGTGTTCATATTCCACAAATGGTTCGTAGACTTTTTTTTCTAAGAGAATATTTTATAAAGATTAAATAATATAGCAATTAAAATATTTATTAATCAAATTGTCTTTGAATTTATTCTATTGAGGATAAAAGTGTTCTGCGTACATTTTTTTTTTCTATTTAGTAGAAAAAAATCTTTATCATCTAGGACTAATGTTAAAAATAGAATTGAAGAGATTCTTGTATAAACAAGTTTGATCCGTTAAAGACTACGTGAGAATTTGAAAATTGTGAGAGATAAAAGAAAAAACATGTTTCAAAAACAACACGTTCAATTTACTGAGTAATAACAAATAATTGAAAGGAAGGAAGATGGAAGCTGCACCTACAACTTCCGCAATTTCTAATTACCGTAGTATGTAACACTTATATAAAGATTAATAGTGTAAAAAATAATTTTCAATGACGTATCACGCAATAATAATCATTTTAAAACTGTATATCTGTCAGAAAGAATATTTTTCAATATTTTAAAGTTGTTTTTTATCTAATAAGAATAACAATCTAATAAATAGTGAATTGTTTTCTTTTTTTAGACACAACCCTTATCTGCTTTATGTTGGGCTCATGGCAATGGTAATAAAATTTTGAAAATTAAATAAAATTCATTTAAATCAAATTTTTAGATATTATATTTGCTGCCTGTGGTTCATATGTTTATACAATCTGGATAACACATAAATCTCTCCCGTCCATGTTATCATTATGTCAGATGAAAATAAAAGAATGTCTATTAAATAATTCTTTACAAAATCTCGATAAATTATATTTACCAAATAATTTAAAACAAAATCTTCATAATTCTTATCGTTCAACAATAAAAGGTTTTTTACCTGATCAAAAATCTCTACGTTCATTCGTATGTAATCCATTAAAATCTCATCTCCGTTTACAATGTACAATGAAACGTATTGATAATGAATCAGAAAATTCGTCAACAGTTCCATCAACAACAACAACGACAACAAATTTATCTGGTGCGACTTATGTTTTATATTTAGAATACCTTGGTGGACTTATACCATTATTAACAGCTAAACGTGTATCAAAAATTTGTCCAGATTTTATCATATTTGATCCACAAATAAAAACAAATCATTTATCATTATCATCATCATCAAAAATTTCTTCACAAAAAAAACATTTTTCATCATTTAAATCACGTTCAAATACATTTCATAATATGACATCTGTACAACAACAAACTAAATTATTGAATAATAATCGTACAAGTTTAATTACAAATAGAAATTCTATCTATGTAGCAGAAAATGGTGTTAATAGTAATGGAGATGATTTAATAACGAATAAAAGTAGTTCAGGTTGTAGTTCGGAAAATGATTCAGATTTAGAACAAGATGATGAAGAACAACAACAACAATTAAATCTTACAAAAAATAATTTACAAGTAAAACCTTCAAGAAAAAAAACCAAAACATCGAAAATTGTTAAACATAAACACGTAAGTAAAATTCAATTTGTTTATATAAATATTTATGAAAGATTAAGTTACTGATTTAACTAACGAAGATTTATGTCAATCACTAGATGTCAATTTTGTTAGATTAATGTTCTATTATGTAAAAGATATAATCTTTAAAAATATGGTATCTGTACATGTCATTAGGTACAGAAAACATTAACCTTGGATCAACTTAGATTTGTTCATGCTAGAAATTCTAATAAGACAGATGTATAATCGACCATATGGTAAATGAAGTAGAATTACTGTTGTGTTACTTTCTGTGATATAGATAAGGAGAAAAAAGAAGGTCAACTGTTAATTGAATCAGTTACTTGTAGTTATATCTCTAGTATATTATCTATGGATCATTTCTTATTCTACTAAGTTCAACGAATCTCTACTAATCTATTGAATTTTTCTATCGATAAAAATAAAAATTTTTAAATGTTTTTTTGTAAAATTAAACATATTAATATACAAAAAGTGTCAATATCGATTAGTTAAAATAAACATTTTGAAAATGAAATTAATTCCCTATGGAATTTATATTATTATAGAAATAATTGTTACTAATTGCAAACAAATCGTAAAGGTCAAATATGTAGATAAATATTTCATCAATCGTTTATATCACATTGATTACTGTTGTAGATTACACTAATAACATAATACAACACTTTAGTTACATTAGATTGAATAATTAATTATCCTATTATTATGCAACATATCAGACATACTCAAAATGGGGAAAAAGCGAGATTTCAGAATATTAACCAAATATGAAATGATATAATTTTCGACAAGAATTCAATACTCAGATTTTATCAGACACTGGAGTCTTGCTTTTCCCCTTGTTGAACATATTTCTCTGTATTTATATAATAGAAAAACACTAGATTTTAAGACTTTACATATAGATTCACGAAATTTTTAATAAAATATTATAAAAGTTAATCTTATTTTTTCGTTTTTATATATTTTAGAATAATAAATTATGTACAATAGCCGCGAATATTTGGGGTACACGTTTTAAATTCTATGGTCATTCAAATTGTTTACCAGAAATTCTCGGAAGTGTTACATATAAAACATCATTTTTACATTTACAACCTCGACAAATGACTGTAACTGTTGCTAATAATTATAATAATCATCGAAAACAAATTTCAACATTTAATAAAATTAAAAATGATAAACTTTTAAAACCAACTATACGAAAAACTAAACAACAAATACGTAATAAAATCGATGAAGAAGAAGATGATGAAACGATGATAGGTTAATAAAAAAACAACAAAATTTCTCTATTAATTTCAATTTCTTATTTTTTTGTAGCTCTTTCATCATCAAAACTAAATATTGCTGCAAATATTCCTATTGCTCCAATGTCACCACAATTACCAAATGTTCGTTCATCATTACCTTTATCTCAACAACAACGTTCATCGTCTTTACATGAATCAAAATATTCAGCTCATACAAAAATATCATCAAATCTATCTCATCGTTTACAACGTACATCTATAACTACTCAACAACATAATCGTCATCGACAAATAAATGCTGATTCATCAGCTGCAAATTCATCTTCAACATCACCCATTAATTTAAGTCGTTCAACATCACCAGCAGCTTCAATAGCTAATTTTATTCGTCCAATATCACCTCCATGTATACAAGTTAAAGAACCATTATCACCAAAATTTTCTCGTGCATCATCAACAAATGTTACAAATCAATTATTAAATGATCGTCATCGTTCACCACCTATACTTGTACCATCAATTGTAAATAATATTGATGCATCAACAGCAAGTGCAACAACAACATTATTAATTGATGATTCATCTGGTTATGATAGTAGTGAAAATCAAAATAATCGAACAAATAATCTGATTATTTCAACTAATCCAACATCATCAATTATATCTACTGTACCAGAAAGTTGTTTTGAACCTGAAACATATAGAAATTTATATCCATTTAATAGTAATCAACAGAAAAAATTAAGTTTAAGTGATCCAACATTAAATCAAACGACGAAACTTCCACGTCATTCACAACAAATAACAACAAATACAATAAATTCACATGTATCAACATCATCTTTACAAAGACAAATATCAAATGAAGATGATGATATTCAAACGGATGAAGAAATAACAAATTTAAATTCATATGAAGATAATTTACCTAAAGAAAAATTAACGACGAATCGAAATAATTCTCGTAAAGTAAGTTTAATTATTCTAACGAATAAACTTCTTGAAGTATCAAATAAATTGCATGTTTAGTTAAAAATGATACATCCCCAGGTAGTTCTTATCTAAGGGTCTCCTAGTACAAATTATAAACATATTAGCTAAATTTAGCTTCTAATCCTCAAGGCAGAAAAAACGTATTAGGATGAAATTCTTTGTCTCCTATTTCTTACACATTCATCAGCATACCATAACTAATAAATGTGTTATAATCCTTGTTACATTCTCTTCTATGATATTTATGTATACATTTATCTTAATGAAGTAGTGTCTGAGCTAGACAAGTTCAGCTTAACTTTATATAGAAAAAACTTGGGCATTAAAAGTACAAGGCGATACATCACTTTATATTTTCAATCGAAAAACTTTTTAATTGGAATATTTTAGAGATATTCAAGTCCTCGACATCGTATGATGACATGTACTAGTGGAACAAATGATTCTTTAACAAGATTATTACCTTCATCTGAATCGGATCAATTAATAAATCGAACCGATAATCAAAATCATACACCATTTTATGTTATGCAAAATCGACCACCGTAAGATTAAACTATTTTTTTTTGAAATGAAAACTTATTTTATTAATTTAAGCCTGTGGAATGAACAATCACAAGTATATCAATTAGATTTTGGTGGACGTGTCACACTTGAATCAGCTAAAAATTTTCAAATTGAATTTAAAGGAAAACAGGTTAGTTGATTTAGTTTACAAGAAAAAACATATTTTTATTTAATTGATTTAGGTTATTCAATTTGGTCGTATTGAAAATAATTGTTATACACTAGATTTTGAATGGCCCTTTTCACCATTACAAGCATTTGCTGTTGCTCTCGCTAATATAACACAACGACTTAAATAAAAGAAGATTTTTTTATATCTGTGGTTTATCATTAATGTTGTACAAAATTGCTTTTTTTTCTCGTTTTTCTTTTTGTCTTCAACTTCTTTGGTCTTGCTCGACGAATGATCATGTTCCTAAACATTTCTTTTCTTGTTTGTTTTCTTCGGCATAAATTTTATCTGTGCGTGTGTATTCGACATTGTCCTCTACCTTTTCTTTTTTCGTCCGTTATTTGCCAGTATATGTATATTTGAAAAAAACAAACATAAAGAAAATTAGTTAAAAGAAAATATATATCTTTTTTTGGCCAAACAGTATTCATACACTTTACAGATATAAAATGATAGTATATATCAGTTACATTCTACTAATTATTTGTGTAATCGTACAATGTAATCATGATGTAACTCCTAAAACACATGTTGGTAAGTTAAATGAAATGTATTCAAGAAATCGAATTAACATTTTGTTTTCCATGGTTTAGCAATTGTTGGTGCAGGAATTGGAGGTATATCAACAGCTTATTGGTTAAAATATTATTTGAATGATTCAGTTGCTATTACGATTTATGAATCGAATCAAGTTTGTTATGAGTTTTATGTTTGATGATTTAATTATGAATATATGATTGTAGATTGGTGGTCGATTGAAAACTATTAATATTAATGGAGATGAATATGAAGCAGGTGGATCAATTATACATGAAAAAAATTTATATATGAAAAGATTTGCTGATGAATTAGGTAAGATTATTTCCTTAGAAAAATTTTTATTAAAACATTATGAAATAGAATATTTATAGAATTCTTTATATACTGACAGATATATTATTAGATTTACTATCTTAACAAGAATGAATGAGTAAGTGTCAGCATATCATATTAGTTATCTCATCGCTTTCTCAACCTGCCTTAAATACATATTCTTATTCATACAACATCTTGCAATGATTCGCTTATTTTTTTATATAAAATGCTAGACGGTGTGCACGTGATAGAGATTTGATTATTTGTTGAGAACAAACAAATATAACTTATGAATCATCTTCAAAAAAAATTTCATAAGATATTTTAAAACGTAGCTTATGCATATAAAAAAAAGACATCTAATTATAGTGAATTGATCAAATTTTAAAAAGATACATATTTGGTATTTATTAAAAGAAATAAATGCCTCTTGGGAATTATAAATATGATAATGAGTGATGCTGTATACTTTGCTGTAAGGTATTGAAGTCAATGAATTCACTAAAATACTTTTTATTCCATTCGATTCACTTGAAATATTTGGGTAGTTGAAGGCATATGTAGTCAGTTGATATCAATGTGCTATATCTAAGAGAGAATGAATGCAACCTACGAGATAACACTTATTGATTCGAAAGTAATCAGTGTCACTTGCTTGTAATTTTATTTGTTCACAACCACTTGAAGTCAATCAATAATCTTGACAGTAAGAACTAACTATTGATATTTCAGTTTTCAATATTATTCATATTGTTAGCAATAGACACATCGAAGTTATCAATCTCTTTATTTTAATTTCAGGTTTAGAGAAATTGAATGTTCCTAAGGCATTACCTTACGTAATGACAAATGATGGTTCTCAAACATTATTTTCTACATTACATCGTTACATTCCCAATCTATTTCTTGTTCTATGGCGATATGGTCTTGATGCATTTCGTTTAAATTTTTGGCTTGGTAGAAAATTATCAAATTTTATTCGGTATATTTTTTTGTTCTTCAAATAAAAAATTAGTTGAAATTGTTTTTTTCAGTATATACGATTATCAAGATAATGGACGAATATTTAATAATGTTGAAGAATTTCTACAAATGCTTGATGAAGATTTTTCTAAAGCAACACGTACTTCATTTCGAAAATATTTATTTGAACATGGTTTTAGTAAAAGATTTATTGATGAAATTGGTCAATTAGCTACTTTAGTTAATTATGATCAATCAGTTGATACAATAAATGCTTTTCCAGGTAAATAATCTTGGATAATATATTGTTAGTCTAAAATAAATATTTAATAGGTCTTGTTTCATTGATGGCTGCTGGTTCTACTTTATGGCATGTTAAAGGTGGTAATCATCTTGTTCCAAAACAACTTCTTGAACGACTTTTAAAACAATCTAATGTTCAATATGTTAATGGTTATGTAAAAAGTGTTGAAGAAGTTCATCGTATTGATATCAATGATCAAGGTGGAAATGTTCGTCTTTCATATAAACCAGTTAATAGTGAACTTGTACATTCTGTTGATTACGATCACATTGTATTAGCTTTTCCACTTCATCGTGATAATATAAATGATTTTGTTTTACAATCAACTGACTTATTTAATCAATATGATTATCGTATGCAATCAACACATTCAAATTTTCTTTCCGGTAAACTTAATTGTCAAAAATATAATTTAACTAATGATGAATGTCAACGATTAAATGCTATTTTTTATACAAAATCATCATTACCATATCGAGCTGTTGCTGAACAATTAACTGTAAATACAAATAAAAAATCTACTAATCAATCTATTTATAAAATATTTTCACCCGAAAAACTTTCATCAGAAGATTATAAACAAATATTTGATAATGATAAATTTCAATTAATTCAAGATATACCTTGGTTAGCTTATCCAAAATATGAATATCCACAAAAATTACCACCTATACAAATAAATAAAAATATTTTCTATGTTAATGCTATGGAATGGAGTGCATCATGTATGGAAATTGAAGCTATTAGCGCACGAAATATTGCTATGATGTTAACAAAACAACTTGGATTTGAACTTAAACGAAGTGATAAACATATCGAATTTTAAAATATATATTTTTTTATATAATAAAACTAAAAATAAAGCTCAAAGTGATTAACTAACTTTTTTTAAAATTTTTTAGATAAAAGAAATGGATCAAGAACAGAAGAGAACTTTTGATAATACATCAAGTTCTTATCTATCATTAAAAGCTGAATTATTACGTAAAAAACAAGATGTTCAACGAGCATCGTCATCAACTATTTCATCATCAGCTATGCTTAATAATTTACAATCAACATCAAGTTCATTGCGACTTAAAACAAAAGCAGATTTAGATGTTGAAGTTTCTAATCCATCGAAAAAGAAGAAGAAAATTGAAGAAACAAATCCAACTCCAACACCATCATCGACTTTATCACGTGAAGATGAAATAGCATTTGCTAAATCACGAGCAATTCTTGAAGCCAAATCAAAATTATATGATGAAATTATGTCAAATAATGAAATGAAATTATTAGCTGAAGATGATGGCGATGATAATGATGAATCATTTCTTGTTGATTTTGAACGTAAAATTTATGAAACAAATCAAAAACAAACTCATATGGAATATACAGATTCATTTGGACGTACACGTTTAGTTACACGTGATGAATATGAACGATTAAAATCATCGGAAAAGAAAAGAACTTCTTCGGAAGAAAAAATTCCATCAAATAATACCGAAGATGAAATAAATCGTGTTGAACGTTTACATCGTGAACAAATGCGTAGTAAATGGGAATCTGATATGGACGCGTTAAGAAATAAAACTCATGTACATTATCAAGATATATTATTTGATGAAAAACGTGAACATGGTATTGGTTTTTATAAATTTTCAACAGACGATAAACAACGTGCTGAACAAATGGCAACGTTAAATGATTTACGAACAAATACAAAAAATGAACAAATGAAATTTAGCCAAGAAAAAGAAAAACGAACAGTAAATATGTCTGATCGTTTAAATAAAATACGATTAAGGAAAGCAAAAGAAATGGGAATTAATTTATCAGGAGATAATAAAGATCAATCTGGAATTAAATCAACACAAGAAATACTTGAACAAGTACCAGTTGTAAAGAATGATGAAAAAGATAAACAAATAAATCTTCCAGAAATAACTATTCAAACAACACAAGTACAATCATCGAAACAGGTTTGTATTTTTGCATAAATATTTGTTTTTGATTCGATTTTATTATATGTTTTAGAATGTGCAACCAATTCATACTCAACAACCACCATTACTGCAGAATAATATTCCAAATGGAAATCCATCGATGGCTTATCCATTTCCTGTTTTACGGACTAATACTCATTCATCATAAGTATCTATTGATGAATATTGACAAACTATTGTACAATATATTGTTTGGATTAAATAAATTTTGTTTTATAAATGAAAAAAACGTCTATTCATATATTTATCGCAAATAGAAAGCGATTAGTGGCTATGATTATGTCTGTACAAAAACTATAATCGAAATATCTATGCTTTGATACGAATCAAACGAAGTTTATAATAGCTAGACTTGATATATATGGTTAACTTGAATTTGGTCGAAAACAAACATGTGAATAAGAGAGATTTCTACCTCCTAACTATACTGTTTTTACCATCTTTACTTTATGACGTTTATGTTTTCGATATTATGCAGGCAAAACCTTTTCGAGATATTTTCTAATGGGAAGTACTGTTAAAACATTATTGATTTAATATAAAAACTTTATTACTATGTCTTCTTTACACGAATAAACTAAACATTAAAGAAATATAATACTATTTGAACAAATCATAGTAGAATTCAAAATAATCAATAAATGATTCATATTAATAAAACTCAATTATATAACCTTGATAGTCGAACTCTGATACGAGAAAAATCATAAGTATACATTCAAATGCATAAATATCAGAGGTATAATATTTATTCTTCTCTATCGATAAAAGCAAATTTCTATCGTAAATATTGTCATGTCCTTGTGTGATGAAAATTACAGTGGTTTATCAAATCAATACACGATATAAACATAATGACAACAAATTTCTTTCTCGTTTACACATGTTCTAGATTTTCAGTTTGGAGTGAATTTATTGATCATGCAAAAAACAAAAAATATTTAGGAAATTTCAATGAAAATATGTTATTTTATTTTTTGCCAGTTGCTGATTTGAAGGCTTGAGTCCAAACAGGCCATGTGTCAAGATCAGGACAATAACGTGGATGAAGAAGACGTTCACATTTTTCTTCGAATCTAATTAAAATAGAAGTCTATTTTTAAAATCTATGTAAAATTAAAGAATTTAGTTTACGCTTTCTTAGCTTCTTTCATATGACTTTTTTGATCAGAGGCGAATAATCGACGAGATTGATCAAGAAATTGGCTAGCATCTTCTTCATCTTGAAGGAAATTTTGAATAGCACGTTTTTCATCTGAAAATATATACATATGTAAATCATATAAAAATAAAACAAAATCAAATTTTTCTTACTACTTAAATCATCATCATTATCATCTTGAAGAAAATTTTGGATAGCCCGTTTTTCATCTAAAAATATATATAAATAAATCATATACAAATAAAACAACTCAAAATTTGCTTACTAGTTAAATCATCATTACTGTTATCATTATCACCGTTATCATCATTGTTGTTATCATCATCTTCGTTGTTACGTACTGTTAATCGTCCACATTGAGCTAATGTGAACAATAAACCAACGGTAAATAACAGAATAGAAAGATTTTTTGCATGCATCGTTGTTAGTTAATAAACCTATATAATATTCATGAGTTGAATTTGAGATACAAATGAAAATATAACAGTTTACCTTCGATTTATTATGTCGCGAAATATGAAAAGATCGAATATAATATGTATATATTTACTGCTCTGGCTTTTATATTTAGTTGATGTTTGCGTTTTTTCTTTGGCTCGCTCGCTCTCTCTCTCTCGCCTTTCTTTTTTATATATACGATATCGCATGTATTAACTGTGCATATAAGGAAAAAAACAAAAATTGTATTCTGAAGAGATCAATGTAGCCAGGTAATATGCTGGTATCAGGTATGATTAATGGCATTCTTCGCTCTTTCTTTCTCCTCATTGCCCCCTAGTTTTTACATTTAGATGAAAGGCTATTTGTGTTAGATTTATTCTAAACGATAAAAGAAAAAAAAAATGGATATGTATGTTTTGGTTATTCATTGCGAAAAAACGAAATCTTACAAAAATAATTCTGAAAACAAATATCGATATTTATTTTGATTATGAATAAGTACCTAGAAAAGAAAAGGTTTATAATGAAGTCTTATCGATATTAACATGTTTCATTAATAATACATAAGATTTTATACAAACTGATTAGATTTAAAAGAAACCATTGATTTCTTATCTTGAAATATATTTATTAACAAAATAGATTTTCTCTTTATCTTTTATTTATTCATTAGAAATAAATCTGTACTCATTCGAACTACGTAAATTACAATCATCGTTCGAATAGGTCTTTTAAATAGTGATGTGATCAAGAACGTTCAGTCCTACTACGCATATTCTAAAATTATGTTAAAATAAACTATTATTTTTTTATTATACGCCGCTCACACGTCTCAATCAATTGGTCACTCATAAAACCCTACCTATTATTTATACTTGAAGACAGTTTAGCATACTCTGTGATCTGAGCCTTATATCCTGAAAATTCCAGAATGAGAAATGTTTAAAGTATTCATAAAATAATTCATATACATTAAAGAATATAAGAATCATATCTTAAGTTAAAAAATGTAATATTTGATATTATAAAGAATATTGACCGATTTTATTCGTCGAAAGGTTAAATTCCTTGCTACTCGATTATGTAAATATTCATTGCTTTCAATAGACACTATGAACAGAATTAGGATCTGTTTATCGAACTGCAATAACAATCACTTCTGATTAGTTAATATCTTTAAAAATAAGATATAACTTAAATGTTTTAACAATCATCATCTGATTCATTCATCATATTATCGCTTAAAGCGAACATTTCTTTTTTGAATGTTAGTATTCATCAATTATTTTACATACATAACTTGCATACAAAAAAAAGAAGATATTGTATTCTAAGTATCATCATCTTTTTTTGGTATAATGAATAAAAGAACTACGTATATATAAATTGCTCATCATCGCACTTTTCGTCTCATATTGTATCTTCAAATCAAAGAGATAAGTATGAAAAAAGTTCTATTTTTGTGCATTACCATTGCAGTTCTTTCTACGATTATATTGGCACGACCAGAGAATGATATTGATGATTTTAATGTTGGTAAGTCGATAAAAATGAATATATATATTCTTTCCTTTTTCGATTGATTGATATGATTTTCATTTTGAGATAATATTTAGAACATGAAATAGCAACAGAGTTCTTAAAACGAACAGTTTTTCATCCGGGAAAAACTCAATGTGAAGAGCAAAAACGAGAAGCATCTGAAAAATATGAAGAACGTTGTGAACCGAGTGTGAATAAATTAACTGGATCACGTTATTGTAAGATTATATATTGAGAATATTTTCTATAAAGTTGTCCTATACATTTCTCGATACAGGTCCGGATATCAAAACATGGGACGCATTTCAAAATTATGAAGTGGGTGGTGGATATGGTCGTTAAAATGAAAGAAAAAAATAAAATTTTACTTTTTCTATCTACTCATTTTAGTTTTATGCGAAAATTAGAATAAAGATGATTTTAAAACTTGATTTTTACTAATATAATTTTAGATCATAAATATACTGTACAATTTTTCATCCATCATGAACCAAAAGAAGATTAGTAAGTAAAATATTTATTTATCTATGAAAATTTATTTCATTATTTTACTAGTGAAGAACGTTCGTTATTGTCCAGAATTAAGTAATTGGGAAGGTTTCGCTACATATGAAATTGGAGATGGTGGAATATTAAGTTTAGATGATTTAAGACAAAATATAAAAATTCCTTCAATAACAGAACTTGCAAATAATGTCATTAAAGGTATCAATAATGTTCGAAAACATTAAATCGATATGTCTATATGGATGAATCGTATTCCTTACAGAATCAAATATTAAGCAACTAATGTGTAATTACATTGTTCTTTAGTTTTATCGAAATTCAAGAATGTCTCTCCATGTAATCATAAATCTTGATCAAGAAAGAAAGAGCTATTCTTATCCTTTGGTTATCATTCATCGTGTATTTCATATTGAAAAGAAATACTCTATAGAATAATTGTACAAACAAATATTTCACATATTTTCCAATTTCAATACAAATGATAATCTAAACTAAAATCATTTGTAGAATTTTTTTTATTTCTTGAAATATATATATATATTATTGATAGCAGATCGATATTATTTCTATCAACATAGTCATTCACCATGTAATCATACTCATGATTTGCACAGTTGATCATCATTTATTTTACTATTGAGCTTGACAAATATAAACAAAAGTAATGATGATGATGCATCATCATCAAGAGATAATTAAATCGACTGCTAGTTCAAGAAAATAATCATAATATGGTCTTCTATCAATGAATAACATCCTAGACATTTTTTTTATTAAATCATGATGAGAAAAATACTACATCTGGAAATATATTTGAACATAGTGAAGATTGCTCAATATTTAATCGTCATTTATTACATAAATGAAATGTGATATAAATATATTCGTATTGAAGATGATGGATCATATGTCAACGATAAAACATGATGTTTAGTTTTAACATACTAGAATAGTTTATAATCAATCTCTGATTATTAATGATCTCTCTTAAATCTAAAGATAATTTCTTTTTCCTCGAGAAAACGTTATGACCGCAAAAAATTTTGTCTATTTTTGTTTTGTATGAATAATAAGAAAACTTTATGTTTATATTAAAAATGACAATTACAAGACAACTGACTTTGTATTTTTTTTTCCTAGTTTGACATTATGTCTACGTGACCGACATATTCTTCATTCTTAAATGATTTATGAATACATAATTATAGCAAGAAAAATACATAGTTTGATATAATCAATAAGATTGATTTTTTTGTCTTTTGATCTTAAACTAATAAATACTTTCAAATTACTTTTCGCTTATTTTCTAATAAATATAAGTATAATGAAAAAAAAAACTCTATTGCTGTTTATTATAATGATCGACAGCTGTATTTACATCGCATATGTCTTCAATGTATATAGATATACAATCATTACTTATTCTTAGTTGTATATGAAGAAGAAGATTCAATTTAAGTTTTCCTACATACATGAATTTTTTCGTTTAGTTTGTGTTTACCATAGATTGATTATCTAAACTCAATTTTTAATTTTTCCGTCAAATGTCAATCAATTTATTTTCATTGAAAAGAAAAATGATATTCTATTGATATATTTACCTAGACAAATCGTCTATAGATAATATATTTAAAGATATTAGTATGGTATTTTTTTTTCTACATTATAAATAGGTCACTATATCTGCAAAAGAAAATTTTTTTCTCATCAATAACTTATCATATAGGTCATTGGCTAACAACTGTTGATGATGGGCATAATGCCTGATTGATATCCATACACATACGTTTCATCACGTAGACTAAAGAAATAATATAAAGAATGGCTCAGTAGTTCATCTTCACATGCATTCACTTCTAATTGACTTGAAAATGGATGTTGATGAGAAAAGAAAAGAAAATGAATAGTATATGCATAGACAATCAATTGTGTACGACCGCGCCTCCTTCTTCATTTTTTTTCCTACTTCCTGATGAATATTGGTCTGTTTATCATCATTTTCTTTTCCTTCTTCTAATGTATATATGTATATACATATATACATATACCGAACAGCAGCATCTTCAGAACACAAGATATATTCTATTGTATATTGATGGTAATAACGCCCACGATTCCGTTTGTCGAATTATTCTCAAGAGGCATAAGCCAGTCAGAGAGTAATGAGTGTTATCCTTTGCTTTATATGTAGAAGAGAAAAAAGAAGAGACTAGAAAAAAAAATGGAATAGTACAAGAGAAGACAGAGAACGAGAGAAGAATATATATATGTATATATACAAGCCATCTGCCTTTATGATTCTGGTTCGCCGAGCGCAAAAGGCAACAAGACAGATTTGTGTAGCATCACCGTTTGTTTGTGTGTGCTAAAAAAGATTCTATTCTGGTAAGTAACCAAAACGAGCAACTCTTCTTCTTCGTATGTATATTTAGAAAGAAAAAACCTAATACTAATAAAAGAGAACAATTATATACTGACTAAATATAAGAAAAAGTCTATATATGATACACTTGTCGCCTGTTCTATTTCATATATAAATATGTATACATATATACATATATTTATGTATGTCTATATATATATATAATATAATATAATATAGAAGAAATTAGCTAAAACTTATTTTTATTAAAAAGTTAGCCTTTAAGATAAGGATAATATTCTGAAGAAAATGCCAAGGATTTTCTAATATATATTCATTAATCTAAATAAAATAATAAAGATTTTTTCTTTTTTCTTTTTTTTTAAAAGAGTAAAACCATTGTTGGTTATGTACTAAGGATAATTTTTGTACTTAATTATTTGGGTCGGAAACGGTCTTTGAAACATAAAACACTCATATATGAGTATGTTACACAGCAACGGTACATCACCAATAAATAAAACTACAAATAACAACAGTGGTTCATCGACAAAAAAAATCATGGGTCGTAAAAAAATCAATATAACACGTATTATTGACGAGCGTACTCGTCAAGTAACATTTACGAAAAGAAAATTTGGTTTAATGAAAAAAGCCTATGAATTATCAGTTTTATGTGGTTGTGAAATAGCTTTAATGATATTTAATAGCAATGATCGTTTATTTCAATATGCATCATCCGATATGGATAAAGTTTTATTAAAATATGCTGATTATAATGAACCACATGAATCCTGTACAAATGTCGATATAATCGATGTAAGTTCATAAGACAAAAAGCATTTTCTTTTTATATATATATGTATATTACAGATCTTAAATAAAAAAGTTAAACCAACACAAATGACAATATCGAATAATAATAATGAAGATAATGAAATCATGGATCAACATGATGATAATAGTGGTGAGCAAACTGATAGTGGTATTAGTAGTACATTTACTAATGATATCGAACAAATGTTTGCTGATACAGTTAATAATGTAAATAATTATTTTTGCTTTTTTTAATAATAAATAAATTATTCCTTAAATTTTAGTTTCTTGTTAATAGCAATATTAATTGTTCATCAACAAATGGACATGATGTAACATTCCTTAATAATACTAATACTACTGTTTTACCAGATTTTCAATATTTGACATCTCCATCAAACGAACAACAATTAACACCACCACCGCCACCATTACAACAGACAACAACAACAACAACGAATTACATTCCCATTTATCCTATTCCGAAATCTGTTGATTGTAATCAGTATGGGAATAACATTACCAATAATAATCATTCGAATATAAATCATGTAAAGAAAATATAGTAATGATTATCGTTTTTAACTATGTCAATTTTAGATTAAACAGCAACAGCAACAGCAACAACAACAACAACAACAACAACCATCAATGAACAGTTATACTAATCAACAACCAATAACAAATATTGGTCGTATCATGACAGGTATATAGTGAAATAAATTAATTGAAATTCTAATGTGTTCTTTTTATTATTGTTTAGTTGGGCCGGATATGAGTGTTTCAGCGATTGATATAAATGCCCTTGCATCACAATTAACATCGAATTTTTTAGCATCATTAACTAATGCTGCTGTTGTAACAAATAATAATAATAATAATAATACTAATAATAATTTAGCATCAAACTTACCTATTAAGTAAGTAAACAATAACATTTATTTTTAATTATCTTTCGTTTTATTTAGTATAATCAATCGTGATTGTCAAACAACAAATGTTGGTACAACTCAAACAATAATGTTAACAAATAGTCCAAATTCAATTATTCTTACTGGCCAACATCAACAACAACAACAACAACAACAACAATCGATAAATCGAAATTTAATTAAACAAGAACCAATTCTCTATACTACAACAACAGCAACAAATACTGGAAGAAATGACTTGTGCTATGAGCCAACGAGTTCGAAACAAACTCGTTTATGGCAATAAAAACATTTCCATCAAAATTTAATTCCGTAAAAAATTAAAAGACATTTTTCCAAAAATAAGAAAAAACACAGAGTTCCTTTGTTCTTTCCTAATTCCGTAAACCGTTCCTTAATTTGCTTGTTTAAATAATAACCTTAATTATAACCTTGAATTATTTCTTTTTTTCGTTCTTTCTTTCTTTGTTCATTGTTTTGCTTTTTATCTATTCCGACATATAATATTATCTATTTTCAACTTTGTTTAATTCATCGTTTTGTTTTATGCATATAAGTTATATATATATATATTTTGGAAAAATTCAAATTTTTGCGTTTGCATTTTCTGTTTAAAAGAAAGACATAAATAGTTATACATATATAAAAAAAAAGAGAAGTAGACATGATTAAGAGATGAAAGACAGAAATATTCACAAAACTAGATTTGAAAATCTTTTTTTTATTAGTCATCAATATCATCTATATCAATAGTATCATCATATTCAAGTTTATTTAATTTAATTGTTGTTGTTGCATTAATTAAAGAAAAATTAAATAATGTGTCATTTGTTTCATTGATTGTATTATCAGTAAGAATTGCTATTGAACTATTCTTTTGAGTTACCATAGAATTTACATCATGCCTAAAAACAAAAAAAAAAGAAAGCCGATATATATCTATATATAGATATCTTCAAAAGATAATGTCATAATCTAATTACGTATTAGTTCTCTTCTATTATTCTAGTTAATACAGGGTAAGCAGTAGTATACGATAATAAACGTAAAGAATTTATTACTGTCCAAACGTCACGGGTCTATTACGGAATTTCACGTGTTTGTTTTCTGGACTCGATGATCTAATAAAAGAAGATACAAATCTTTTACTTTCGATTTTTTTTATAAAGAAAATATTCGATTAGGATGAAATGTATATTAAAAGGGTAGATGGCTCGAAATCTTTGTCCTATCGGAAAATCAATTAGTTCTGATTTATGGTCTACATCAATATTTAGCAAAAAAGCGTTTCATTCTGACAGTATTATTTATCAGTAAATCATTCTAACACTACATTAGGTCTTATAATGATGTTGTTTTTCTATTCGTATTTATTTTTGGAAACTTCAAGGTCAAATATGTATTCGAGAATGTTTACAAAATAACTTAGAAAGATATTTAATCATATTTTGTTTTTTAGTCTATTAAATAGAAATATTTTAGCAAAAGGATTTTTTTTCATTATTAATAAATAAAACACATTAAGTTTATTGATGAGATATTCTATTTTTAAAGTTAATTATTTGTTCGATATAACCAGATAGAAGTAACACGTATATATGTTATGATTTTTTTTTCCTTTTGATGAAAATATAACAGAATATAAACAAAAAGCAAGATGGAACATTATCAACTATGTTTACATTAATTCTAGATAGTTTGATGATAAGTAGTTTGATAAAAGAAAATAGAGCTTTGGGCTTTTTATTAATAGACTGTAAAATGAACAAAGAAAATATCGATAGCGATATTATTGATATAATACATGATAGACATTTAATTACTAGCGTATATTTTAGAGATGAGTAAGTGCGAGTACTAACTCTGAAACTTAAATACAAATTTTTAGTACAACGTTAGAGAATAGAAACTCGTAGGAATTTTTAATAAAACACAGTTTATTTAGAGTCTCAAGTATTTTGTTCGTGAGTAGGAGTATTGACCTTTCAAGTACGAGTACGGAAAAATTCGTACTCGAGTACGACGCCCACTTAAGGTGCGTTTTTTGACTCATCAAATGAAAACATACCATTTTTTTGAATAACGATCAATATAACCAATATCAAGAATTGAACGATTTGTTGCATCTAAAACTCAGAATATTTCATAATAATTCTTCGAATTTTATATCTTACTTATCAATGAAGAATGTGACATTTTTAATAGACACGCTTGATAAGGTAACATAGTAGTAAAATATTCTTCTTCCGAACAGCCATAATCTATTAATCATAAGAAATATTTTAAACTTTTCTCAAGTCAAAATATATTTACATAATTTATTAACTGATAATAATGTTCGATTTTTTTGTGCCTATAAAAAATAATCAATAAAATTACTTTAATATATCAATTTATATGAATCTATACTCTTGATTTAACATCATTCTCTTGTGGTTTACGCATTGGTTTAAAACCTCGATTAATTGCCATGGAATTACATAAACGTACTGCTCGACAGGCTATACTTGATGATATTGATAAAAGTTGTAAACGTGTCTAAGAAAAAATTTAATATGAACGAAAAAAATAATTTAAAATTTAATTTCTTACCTCCCAATCATTAAGAATATATTCACTTAAACTAAGATAATCACATACTTGAGCAGCATCATTTATTAACGAATAAAAATCAATATAATTTTCAAATAAAAATCCAATAAATGTTGATGCTGATATATGACATTGTTCGATAAGATTCTAATATATATATATATAGACTAAAATTTATTTATTAAACAATTTTTAGATTTTATACTTCAGGTTGTTTTCGATTGTCATCTGTTGAACTTTCATCCGAATCTAATAATAATATATATATATATATAATTCATTTACAAAAAAATAAAGAAATGAATACCTTTTTTATATAAAATTCGACCAAGTCCTTGAAATAATGATAAACACGTATCTTTTGGAATAACTGTTAAGATTGAAGATTTTTTTAGACTACCTTTAAAAAAAAACTTTTTTTCAAAATAAAATCTATTCAAAATATACTCGAAAATTGTAATGTATTAATTGCTAAACGAAGATCGCCATTTGCTGTTTGAATAATATCATTTATACAATCACGAGAAGGTGGTTTTAATTTCTATTAGTATACGATAAAAACTGATGTATCAAGTTTAAATATACACATACTAATAATGATGCTTGATGTATAATATTTTCAAGACCTTTTTTCATATAAGTTGGTGCAATTGCATTAAAACTAGAGAAATTACAATTGAAAATTTAGTTTTATTTTTTGTCATTTTAAAATTAACCTGATATGCTCAATTTTTAATTCATCAATAATTGATAATGAAAATAATAAATGAGGATTATTAAATGCTGATAATGAACTATTATCTGTTATTACGAATACGATTGGATGATATGCAACACGTTTTAATTCTCTACATTGATAAAGAGAAGAAGAAAAAAAAACAGAAGATTTTAGTTTTTATTTGTTTAGTTTTATTTTTTTTATATTTAATTCACCTTAACGTCGAATGAAATGAAGTTATATCAGAATAAAAACCATTTGGTAAATCCTAAAAAAAATAATATTTATATTTTTAAAGATATAAATGTCCTTTTGTCTTATCTTTAAACAACAACTTAAGTCTATTTAAAAAGCTACCTTCTTTTTTTTCTTTTTTTGTATATTCAGAAGTTTTCTTATCTTATCAATTTCGCTATTTCACAGCTACTCAACTAACAGTTTTTATATCATTTTCATTTATTCATTTGTTAGAGCAACAATGCGACAACAATTCGGTATACTTTGTCTACTAGTCTTGTTTATCACAGGATGTCAAGCACAGGAGACATCAACGTTAAATCCAGATTGGAATGGAGATCCACTCTTATGCACAAGCAATCCAGCTCCAACATCAGCACCAGGACCAATACCACCAGTACCACAATTTCCACGTCGGGCAGAATTTGCTCTTGAACGTGTTGAAGCAAAACGTATATTAAACATCACATTACCCGATCAAGTAACGATGTACGAATATCTCTATGATTATGATGCTAATAGTTTGATCATGGTCAAAAACGCAAATGGTTTTATTGATGTTGAATATTTTTACTATCACATATTAAAAAAATCAACTTACATTGCACGACAATATTGTAATGTATCCGACATTCCAACAAATCAAGAAATGGGTATGTAATTTTACGAAGATCTTTCGAAATTTTCTATATATATATATATTATTTATTTGTTAGATGGTGCATCAGCAGTACAAACTGCAGCTGGATGGCACATTCGACCATTGAATGAATTCTTTTTATTTGCAAGTGATGATCCAAATCGAAGAATTACACCAATTTATCTTGGTCAAGATATAGTACGTGGTATTCCTGTTGATAAATGGCAAACTTGTATTGTCGATAAACCAAATTATCGAACAGTAAGACGTGTATGGACATTTGCTCAACGTGGTGTTCAAACTCCAGTCGGTGTTGTTGGTGATTTAGCCTATCCAGTTCAAGCAGTAATTAGTGCTTCAGTTGACTTTCCAAATGGCACACAAGCACTTGAAGTCGATGAAGTTTTTAATGTTCTATCATACAAACCATATATTGTAGAAACATCTGTACAATTAGCACCACCAAAAGGTGTTTTTTGTAAAACTGGTGAAGGTCAAGATTTAATATCACTTTCAGATGCTCATATTAGTTGGTCAAATCGTTTTAGTGTTCGTGTTGAAGCTTCAACATCACTTTCTGTACAAAGACAAGGTTTTCATATACGTTATGATAGTGGTCGTGATGGTAGTTCAAGACGTTTACGTTATGATTATCAACCTCCAGGTTCAGAAGATTTTACAACTGTTATACATGATTATGGAAATGAATTAACTTATACAATTGATCGACGTGTTGGTTCATGTAAAATTGATGCTGGTGTCCAAATTGATGATGTTAATCCTGGTAGTAATCCAATTGCATTTTTCATTAAAAACGAAGCTATGTTTCTATATAGCCCACCTGAAAAAGCCTGGGAATTTAATGGACTTCGTGGTAAGAAAATAAAAATTCTTTATATTTTTTTTTGTCTATAATTAATTTTTCTACCTTAATTTTTTAGCATGTCGTGGTAACGCCATTGTCTGTACAGTATTAACAATGCAAAAAGATAGTTTTCCTCCTATGGTTGAATCAGATATTGGTGAAGCAACAGGTGACAGTTGGGGAGCAACCAATATTGAATATGCATGGTCAATGCGATCACCATTTTCACGTCCAATGTTCAATCGATCGAAACAATTTGATTATCCAGTATCATTATATTTGAGAATGTTTCGATTAAATAATCCAGAAGCTGGTTTTTCACCACAAAATATTCGTACTGAAAATATTGAATATGAATTTTTTGAAATGAATCATGAACGCCATCCACAAGATTTTGATGTAAGCATATGTTATCGTTCTTTAAATTATGAATATTTACATCTTGTATTCACACTTAATGTTAATCGTGGTGATGTTATTGATGGTAATCATATAGATAGACGTGAATTAGAAGGTTATGTACACTTTACATTAATGAATCATACAGGTGTTCAATTTTCACGTATAACTGATTTAGAAATAGATCATGAACGTGTTAGTAATGATGTCACAGTATTTTTTACACTTCTTGGACGAACACCAAAACCAGGTTCACCAAGTGGTTTTGCTGATGAAATAACAGCTCAAGAAGGTCACGATAGATTAAGAACAGCTATCAATAACGGTCAATATACATTTAGTTTCAGAATGCGAAATAACTCAACAGTACAATTTAATGCTGCAACTAATTCATTAAAATCATCAAAACACTACGTATCAACACATTCTGCTGGTAGACGAAATACTGTTGAAACATATTCATCTGGTGCACAAGCTTTAGCTATTATTCTTGGTTTAATTATTGGTATAGTTGTCGGTGCAATAATTGCAGCAGTTGTTCGAATTGTCCGAAAAGAACCAATGCCTGATATGCCTACATCAATAAGAAATCCTTTACCATCTATTAATTTTCATTCCAAAAAATCAAGTCCTGCAGCAGCAAGTACATCAAATGCTTAAACAAGAAGATTTATTTTACAGAACTTAAACATTTATTTATCTTCTTCTTCTTTTTTCTTTTCTTTTCTTTTTATAAAGTCATAATCGAAAATGTAGTTCGAATTATTTCTTTATATTTTTGTTTTATTCAAATAATAAATAACAAAACTAACTTACTTCAATTAATACTATTTGTTTATTTGAATTCAATAATGTTTGTGATTGAGTTGATTCTTCATTGTCATTTTCAAATATTAAACCATTATTAGAATTACCTGTTGATGAAGATAAATAACGAGTTGATTGAAATACAAATGTACGAAATGAACGTTTCTGAGATTCAATCCATTGACGATCATCTTAAATTAAAATTACAAAACTAAGATATGCTATCAAAGAGATATCAGTTGTTTAGATTTTTTATTTATAGTACGACTATTTGTTAATAGAAATCATAGTCAATGAAATAAATAAACAATTTACAACGGAGTAATAGCGGAGTTCAAGAGACTTCTAAGACTTCATGAGACTTCATGCATGAAGTCTCCGCTGTTCCTCCCTCGTCTCCCCGTGAAATAAATGCATCTATAGAAATTCAGAAGATTTCATGAGACTTCAGGCATGAAGTCTCTGTTGTTTACTCCTTGACAATTTATTATTTCATAAATGGTATGTTCAAACGTAACGAAAAATTTGTTTGTTTTGTAAAGTTTGGATACAAATTTAATGTGATAATCTATTTAAATTGTACTAGAATGAAAATAATTCATCAAGAAAATTATAATAAACAGCATCGAGGGCATCTTTTTTATTCTTTATTTAGATGTTGTCACAAGTGCAATGCTTATTTCTTTCCGTTTTTTGATTGTTAGTATTACCCATCTGTAGTCTTTTGATTGAGTTAATCATGTATTTTTTTCTCTAACACTCTTTGATTAATTTCTAGTTAGTAATACTAAAAGACAACGATATGAACGAACCGAAAATATTTTTCTTTGGATTATAATCGTAAACTTCAGCAATCGATCTTACACATTTTCACAATGGCAATTGCAAGAAAAAGACATGTGACTAAGCAAGAAATTATATCAGAAGATCAACTACGAACACTTTTTTTTTGATACAAATATTATTTCTTCATATATAAATAAAGATTATATTTAGAAAGTTCGAGGTTCGCAAGGTTAAAGTACATTTCTTTTCTCTTTTTAATAATTAGTTATCTTGTTTCAAATCCCAAATGTTTCGACGAACGAGACAAATAAGATTTGAGTATATCCCATAAGACTTCAATAATATATGAGAATATAAAATGAATTCTTAATATTCAACAATATGATTAACTTTTACTCATTCAACCGATTCGAAGTCACGTAATTATTTACTATGGAAATTATATTTTATTATATATTTGTAATTTCTTATACCTCAGGTCAAATTATTATCATACAAGGATAAACTAACCTCGTTGTTCATCTTGTAAAGAATTTGTTAAATTTGTAGTTGTTCGAGTTTCCCATTCAATAATATTAATATTCAATGACGAAGCTAATATTCGTAAACATGTTGATTTTCCGGTGCCAGATAGACCAGAAATAAGTATTAATTTTGATGGTCGCTAATTTAAATGAATATTTCTTTATTAGAAAAAAACCCAAAAAAATGTCCAAACTAAGATTTGATTTACTTTAGTTGTTTTATCAAGTTCACATGATCTTAGAAGTAATTCTTCAAGTTCTTTTATTTTTTTAGCATGTATAATCAGATCTTGACGTTTCTTAGGTTGAAATAAAGTTGACCAAAGTTCATCATTAGATTTCGTTTCTGTTTTCTTCATTATCAATCGAGCTGTTGATGATGATGTTGATGAAGATTGTTGTGATGATAATTTCGATACAAATGTTGTTTTAGGAATTATTGTTTGCGTATTTGTTATTACAGGTGGTGGAACATCATCAAATTGTTCAAATATATTACGATAGGATGAAGTTGGTGATGTTTTAAATCGTTTTATAGGCTGTTCAGATCGGATATTAAGATCCGAAATCGAAGGTATTCGACGAGACATTTGTCTAGTCAATGTAAAATCAAAGAAGAATAAAAATATCTAAATATTCTATACAACATTTTTTCTTTTGTTATCAAAGCATTAGATTTTCAATTATCAAAATTTAATTCAATTTCAAAAAAGAATTCTTCTTCTATTTCTTAGCGCTAGATTCCATTGATTTATACACATTGTATGTAGCTCCATCATCATCTAGATCTAACTATTTGTTGGTTCAACCATTTGTCATTTTACCAGATCGAAAAAAAAGAAAATCAATGTCGATGGCAAAGTAAGATTGACTAGTTTTTTTTTGTTTACATTAGAATTTCAAATAATATCACATTGATTGCATGTATGTTCTTGAAAGTAAAGATTGATAATGATGGGTAGTAGAAGTAAAATCTCTAAGGAATCAATGCAGTGAATTTGCCAACATGCACATGAGAGAGAGAAGGCAAAAAAAAAGAAAACTTGATCAAATTTACGCTTCTCTTTCGATGATCTGCATATTGAAAGAAAGCAAAAAAAAAAAAGAAGAACTCGCTAGTACCGAAACATCTTCGAAGAAGTACACTTGATTAGCTATTTAGCTTCTAATATTGATGATGATGTTGTTGTTGTTTTCTACATTCTAATCAAATAATATTTTCTTTCCTATAGCTGATTATTACTATCTACAGCAAAAAAAAAGACGCCTAGATTTTTCAATCAACTTCTAACCAATCTCGCATCAGTGCTTTCGTTTTTTTATGCAAATGTGCAAAACTCAGTAGAGAAAAAAAAAAGAACTTGATTCATAATATATAAATATATAGTCATTTAGATTTCTTTTTTTCTCTATATATTTCTATTAATCATATGCTAATTTGAACTCTTGAGCTTGACGAATATATGATGAAAGATACTGACTTCTCAATAATCGTAAATTGTTATTATATATAATACAGAGGAGGAGAAAAAATCCAGAGCGCAAGAGAAAAGATTGTTTGTCTCGCTTTCCCTTTTTTTCTTATTTTTTTTTTGAGCAGGAAAAGAGAGAAAAGAACATTCAGTGATTATTATAGTAGTTTTCATATATTTCCTGATCGGAATAAAGAGAAAAAGAAAATATTGATCAGTGTGTAACAAATAAAGAGAATATGATCCGCGATATGCATATTAAGGCTAATCATGGATTAGAAAGATCATTGAATAATTATCGTTTAAAATATATTCATCATTTAAATTATTGGAAAAATATTCGAAAAACAAATTATTGGATTACATCGGAAAATCCTCTTTTTTATAATGATGGTAAAGTTTCATATTTCTCCTAAATAACAAAAAAAAAGACGAAATTTCTGTACTTGTAAATAATCTCTATTTCTTTTTCTAGTTCATATAGCGAATGAATGTCATTTTAATTCGTAAGAAAGAAATTTTTGTTTTCTTCAATAAAATATAATTGAATATTTAGGACTTGCAATCTTTTTGAAAATATTTCATCACCAACTGAATCAACTGATAGTGGAATACAATTATCTATGGAACGAACAACAACAGTTCGTATTCATTTCTATTTTTTTTCTAAGAAAAACGTTTTATTTGTAGATGGATGATATGAATCTTCCACTAGGTTGGGAACGGTTTGAAGGTAAACATTTCTACTAAAAACAAGATTTCAAATGATCGAAAAAACTATTATTCTAGATGAACAAGGTGTTTATTATTGGCATAAACGTACTGGTACTGTAACACGTGATCGACCAGAATCAATAACAACTTCTCCATCATTAACACTTTCATCATCATCATCTAATGATATATGTTTCGAAATAAATTCTCTATTATATAGAAGTGAATCAGAGATATCTATTCAAGTAAACAATCTATTTTTTTGTTTTTTGCATATCTACATATGATTTGTTTTTTGAAGACATTGGATAATAATTCTGATCAACAACATCGGTTTTATGTACGTTCACTTGGTTGGACAATAATCGATGAAGAAGATTTAACAAGTGATAAAAGTAGTCGTGCTGTAAATCGTTGTATTTATGAATTAACAAATGGTATAAATGATTCTATTAGTAGTTGGGGTGATGGAAAAGATCTTTATATGGATATAAATAATAAGGAAATAGTTTTAATTGATCCCCGTGAAAGTACGATAATACATAAACAATCGATACCATCAATTAAAGTTTGGGGTGTTGGAAGAGAAAATTCAAGGTTTGACAAAAAAAATCTTTTCTTTTGAATTGAATTTTTCTTTTCAGTGATTTTGCTTATGTTGCAAAAGACAAAGATCGTACAAAAAATATTTATAAATGTCATGTATTTCGATGTGATAACACATCAGCAAGAATAATTGCAAATACATTACGTGATATATGTAAAAATCTTATGATTGAACGTGGTTTATTAAATACGACAAGAGATTTTTCAAATAACGAAATTATAACACAAAAACGGTAGATTATTTTCATATCAATTGAACAAATATATATATGTATTTAATATAGACCAACATCATTTCCTGAATCAATTGATAATGATATGACTGAAGGTAAGAAAACGATTGAAAATTGTTTTGTTTTTACAAAATATTATTTTAGTATCATTTCCAACACCGATGGAAGAACAAAAGAAACATTTACCCTGTAAATATTTAGGTTGTATATATGTTGAGAAACCTGGTGGAATGCATGTTTTACGACCAGCAATTGAAAAAGTATCGCAAACTGTACCGGAAGATAAATGGATTCCAGTTATAGTTAATATTTCTCCAACATCAATTATTGTTTCTTCAGAAGATGTATGTTAAACATTGGACAATATGTATATATATTTTCTTCTTCCTAGGATCCAAACGAACAACTAGTCGATTGTCGTATACGTTATCTTTCATTTTTGGGTGTTGGCCAAAATACAACGTAAACAAAATTCTTATCCTAATCTTATTAATTTTTAAGATTTCTATTAATAGCTTTTGTGGAATAATCATTCATTGTGCAGATAATTCATTTAAATGTCATGTATTTTATTGTCTACCATCATGTGTTCAACTCTGTAAAAATATTGAAGCGGCTTGTAAAGTAAATTAATTACCTTATTTCTTTTTGATGGTTTTTAAAATATTTCATATTTAGTTACGTTATCAAAAATGTCTTGATGCTCACCCACAAACAGTTAAACCAGTTGAACAAACAAAAGTTTGTTATGATGTATATGTATATCGAAATATTTTATTTGTCTTTTTTTTTTGATAGAGTTATGGTGCCCAAATAAAAAGTTTGGTTGAATCATTTTGGTTCGGAAACAAATAATTTATTTGATGTCAAATTAATTTTTTTTCCTCGACTATCAGATCACTGTTTTTTTATGTATTTCTGATTTTTTTTCTTCTTGCAATAGAAAATCAGTAATAAATTATGTTGTATTGTATATTACAAAAATAAATAAATAGATTTATAATTCAATTTTTTAATATAGGTAGACGCCTAGATATATGAAGAAATAATATTCCCAATGGTAATAGTTATAAAATAAACAATATTATTATTTCGAAATTTTTATGAGAAACATATTTATTTAATAAGTCAATATATAAAATATACCAATATTTAGTAAGTTTGACATTTCAAGGTTGAATATATTTGATCATTCCATTAGATGTATTGAATATAATTTATTTCCTTTGTAATTCTTCAGGGCTATCTAATAATTCACATAGAAAATAATAACCTTCTATGAAGTTTGTATTTTATTGATTTAGTATTGATCAATTCTTTTTTTTTGTTTCAAATCATAACGGAGTAAAAATAACCTTCAACTATTAACTTTATTATACAAAAAAAGTCATCTAGTAGACAAACATATGGTTGATTTGCAGTTATTTGGGTTAAACCTCAGGGTAAAATAATAGTTGTAAGAAAGCATTAAATAGTGTAAATAAAAGCATGTTATTTCTCATCGTCTGGATCAAATATAACAAGGTGTAATCCACATGAGAATGATATATGCGTCATGGGTGAACTATATTTTGAGTTTCGAAAATATATTAACTATTTTCATTAGATAATCGAAACAATACTATATTATATATAATGCGAAAATAGTTAATTATTTTTCAATAATTCATGATTTAAAAAGATATCCCTATCAGTAATGAAACTCTATCTTGAATCGTCAAGTATTTAAATAATAAATTTTTTTCATAATTATTAAAAATTGTTTAATATTTCTGTATTACATCAAAATATTGTTGAATCTAAACTAGAATATCATCATGTAGTTCTAGGCTTCACATGGAATCTACTTTCTCTAATTAAATTTTTCCGTTGAAAATAGTTGATATGATACCATTGAAATTTGATAGTATATTATATGATACACTTGAGATTGCCATAATGAAGTTATGTGTCAATCCTTAGCCTGGATGATCAACTGTAAACATTTTGTAAGAGAAAAACAAACAATCAGATCCTGTTAAGTTTAGTTTTAGTGAAATATTCTTAATTAAACATAGTTTTTTCTTCAATGAAAACAATTCATCTATTTAAATAAATAAATAAATAACAAATATAATATAACTAAATAATTTTTTTTTCGGTTTTATTTTCTTTTTTCCCATCGACTGTCACTAATGACAATAAAATGAAAACTAGAATAATCGATTGAAGATAATATTTTTCTTCCAAACAAAATATAACAATAACTGTTCTTATATTCTATTGTTAACAATAGATTCATTTTTCTATTTTCAGTATTATTCATCGCCACCTTGTATTGTTTTAAGAAAAGCTGTTTTTCGTTGTTGTACACGATTTCTACGTGATGATCGAGCAAGACCAGCTTTAGTCCATCTAAAATATTTATTAAATAATTTTATAATTTTTCAATTTCTAAGCAAATAATTTACCGTTTTGGTTTAGGTGCATCAGCTTTCTTTTCTTTTTTCGGTGTTGGTGATGGATCAGCACGAATAGCACTATGTGCAGCTTTATATAAAGCTTCAAACTAAAAAACATATTTACATGCATATAAACATAAAGAAGAAAAAAGTTTTCTTTACCGAGCTTGGCTCAATACCAGCTTTAACAAAACGTGAAAATTGTTTTGAATAAAGATCTGGATTTTCTTCTTTAAGTGATGTCATATATTTCGAAACATGTAAACCAAATATATGTTGACGATGTACATCAGCATTAAATTTTTTTCCTTCTCGACTATAACCTGGAAAACGTCGAGTACTAAAAATAAATAAATAAAAAATGGTAACAGTTGCTGTTTATATGATTATATTGAATGCATCAGAAATAAATTATCGTCAAATTGACATCAGAAGAGATGACAGAAATAAAAGAATATTCATCATATGCATTTAGAGAAACAAAACAAAAAAAATGTGTAAAATCAGAAAGGGGCGAAAAAGTCCATTCAAAGTGGAACTCTTCACAGAATTATCCGATGAACTTACATCTCATCATTTTTTACACTTTAGATTATAAGAATAGCAAAATCAGAAAGGGGCGAAAAGTCCATTCAAGTGGAACTCTTCATTAATTTCATTCCGATGAACTTACATCTCATCACGCTTTGCATTTTCTTTACGAATAAAAAACGGACAAAGAACTTGACTTATATTTGCTTTACCTATGAGGAATATCGAGTCCACCATCAACGGCACCTTTTAATGCACCAAAAATTTTAGCACCAGTTGTTGTACGTGCTAAACCAATATCAAGATAACAACGGAATGGTCGTTTTTGACCTTCAACTGGTTCATTTTCATGTTCACCACCTGTTATATCGGTTGTACCTTTATATATACTATCAAGTTTATGTTTTTGTAATGTTCGTCGAGCTAAAAGTAAACCAGTACAATAAGCAGCGGCATAATTTGTTAAACCAAGTTTAACACCATAACGTGGTAATTCATGTGCATAAGCTGTTGATACAATATAGTCGCCTTCAATACGTGCATAGGCAATCTAAATATTAAAAACTCTAATATAAATTAAAGAGATTATTAAAAATGATTTGCATCAGAATTTTGTTTTTAAAGTTTTTTCAACATCTTCGTATTCAGAAGAGATGACAGAAATATTAAAATTCATCATATGCAGAATTCTTACTTGACATATTATATCTTTATTTGTTACTCGAACAATAAGACGATATTTTGGTGTATTATATTTATTTTTATCTTGATGAATTAATGCATGACGAGCGTAAAAATCCGTTTTACCCTCTAGAAGAAAAAAACAAGGATTAATAAATCAATAAAATTCTTTCCGTAGAATAAACTTACGTCGACGACGTTTAGATTTAACTTGGTATCTTTTAAAATACGCTTTATTTTTAACAACTTTAACGAAAGCCTAAGAAAGAGAAATATGTGTTAACGAATAGTGAAAATGAAGAAAACTATATGTTCACCATTCTAAGTATGGACAGGCGACTACTGGAAAATTTTATAAGCAAAAGAAACAAATAGATAATCGATGGAATATTATCGAACACGTTTGGCGACCTCCACGCCGATCATAGATTTTTAACCAATGAAAAATTTCTAAATGATTAATGCATTCTATTTTAAGAAGGTTAACAGATTGTGTAGGATTGGTTTGAAAATAGTAGTAGTATTTCTTTTCTTGTTCGTAAAATCGTTATTGAATTGTATGAATATGTCGACGATATCAGGTAGATTGATTTAATCATTAAGTTTTAACGTTAATTTTTATCGTAAATTTAGATATCGAACGAATTAATCATTTAGAATGGCGTTTAAAACGTTTGGAAATTTTTTTAGGAAAATCCGATAATAAAAAACGAGTAAAATATTCGATAGAATTTATTTCAATTGTAATATTAGATTGTTTTAGATTAATGAAACAATTAAAGATCTGAATGAACAGGTAGTTCGACATGCTAATAATAATAATAATGCCAAAGCATTATTAAATAAAGGTAACATGACAGAAAATAATAATAATAAACTTATTTGAATACATAGCCGATGAAATTAATCGTTTAACAAGTTCTGACTTTCAACGTCGGTTAATGGCTGATCGAGCAACAAAATTAGAATTAATTCTTGCTGGTAAAATTTAATAGATTTGTTTTTGACAGAAAAATAATCTTATAGATTTATTATTTAGATGAAGAACGTATTCATGAAATAACAGAAAATCTCTCGAAAATCGATACATTAGCTCGCGTACTCAATGGCGAAGATTTTAAAGGTATTTTATTTAATTTTTATATAATCATTATGAATTTTTTTCGAATATATATAGAAATACCAAAATTATTCGCAAGTTTAAATAAATTATTGATTATTCATAATGACACCAAGGTTCGGAAAATAAAGCTTTAAATATTATTTTATCTGTTGATTTAATTTAGATTCAACATAGTGACTTTACACAAGAATTAAGTAGTTTCTTACAAAATTATGCTGCATTTGTAAGAAATAGATTTTTTTGTATTAATAATAATTTTCTTATTGTCTTAGACTTTAATGATGGATGAAAATCTTCAACAATATAAACAAATATTAAATAGAAACCAAAAAGCATCAGCCGAAATTCAAGACAATCCAATTGATGATGAATAGACATTTGTTTTTTTAAAATTTTATCTAAAATAAAACGATTTCCAATGCTAACTATGGTGTACATGTTTTTTTGTTTGTTTCTCTTTTTTTTTATTTTTTAAGAATTTTGCGTTTACTTGTTTTATTTTTTACATCTTTGCAATATGGTTTATTATAATCGGTAATAAGATATATCATTTTAAAAAAAACACGATTCGTATTATAAATACTGCTTCAAATAAACATTATAATTGAAGCATATTTTTGAAATATTTATTGAATAATCCTTTGAGAAGGAACTCGTTTCGATGAAATACAAATTAACTAGATTATTATGTTTAAAAAATTATGAAATAAATGATTAGTCGAATGAGAAGAATAGATACTGACAATATAAAGATTAAGGTGTTATCTGTAACTAATACTATAATATCAATAAACTTAAATTTTAACATAATGAAAAAAATATTTTTCTTATAGATAATGAATAAGAGTGAAAAAACTATGCAATCAACGAACGAATCAGATTCTACAACATTGAATATTCTTGTGAGTCATAATTAGAAATGTTTTCTTTATTTCATTTATTTTTAGCATGGAGTTCCTATTGACCCATTCAATCTTAGACAATCAAATACTTTAAATACAACGCCAACGGTAGTCATATCAATGGATGATACCGATGTTACACCAGCAGTTTCTGATTTTAACATGACAAATCCTTCAACAACTGTTAGTTTATAAATTTTTGAATTGTACTTTGATTCTATTTATTAATATAGATAACAATCAATACTGAAACTGAGCGACATGATTATTCGTCGATAAAACCATATTGGTTTTATTCGAAAAAAATTCAGGGACGTATTACATGGATACCATTTTCATTAATTGATGTACAACGTATTGATGAAGCTTATAATCGAAGTAAGAAGACTATCTACTATCTCATCAGATTATTATAGAAAACAATACTAGCATCTACTCAAGGGGTAAACAACAGAGACTTCATACCTGAAGTCTCATGAAATCTTCTGAATTTCTATAGATGCATTTATTTCACGGGAAGACAAGGGAGGAACAACGGAGACTTCATACATGGAGTCTCATGAAGTCTTGGAAGTCTCTTGAAGTTTATGAAGTCTATTGAAGTCTTCTGAAATCTTTTGAAGTCTGTAAAATCTTGAAGTCCGCTGTTACCTCCTTGCACCTTCTATAAAAAAAAAAGCTTTAATTAATTCAAATTTATAGTAATCAGACTATTGGTATATTGATTGTAGTATCTTGAGAGTGAAAGTCCATCGGAATATGATAGCAATTATTGAGATATATATCTAATAATTAACAATATTATATTCTATTTAAATTTTCTCTAGATCAAGAAATAATTGCTACAAATGGTAATCGTTATGATGTTAATCTTGTTAAACGTATACGTACACCTATTTATTGGGATGATGAACCAAATGAAATTCGACGTTCAAAATGGTTTTTTTTACCAGAACAAGATACTCGATTCATTCCATACGATGAACAAATGAACGAAATGCTTGAAGTAATTTTTAAAAAAATCACGCGAAATATCTCTCATATCTTTATTCTATAGAATCTTTATGAAGAAACATGTCGTAAACAATCATGGCATACAAGACATGAAATAAATGATGGAAAAGAAATGCTTATATTTCATAGTCCTGTTCTAATGACAATACAAGCTAGCGAAGGTGATATGACACAATGGACAAATTTTTCTGTATGTATAAAACAAATCAGACTAAAAAAATAAATAATATTTTAATTTAGTATGAAACACGAACATTAAGACGAGGTTTACCTGAAATGTTTTTTAACGAAATAAAATTTGGTGATAAAGATCCTGTTCAACATGTAGTTTTTGTTGTACATGGAATTGGTGAAGCATGTGATACTAAATTTCGACCATTAATTGATTGTGTCGAAGATTTTCGTGATACAAGTCGAACAATTTTACAAAGTCATTTTAAAACTTATGTAGAAAATGGTGATATGCATCGTGTAGTATGTATCGATTATTAGTTAATTCAAATGATTATATTCTCTGAATTAATAGGAATTTTTACCGGTTTATTGGCACGGTGATCTTCATATGGAAGTATGTATTAGAAATAATTTATTCGACAAGACAAAAAGAAACGATGAAATTTATTTCTTGTCTTTTTAGGCAACAGGTGTTGATAGTCATCTTTTGCCATTAACATTACCGAGTGTTATAAAACTTCGAACATTTATTAATACAACTTTATCAGATATATTATTTTATACAAGTCCTGTTTATTGTCAAGTATAAGAATTAAAAATATATATAAAAATTAAAAATCATTGAATTTTTAGAGAATTATTTCACGTTGTATAAGTGAAATGAATCGTCTATATGCAATATTTTTACAACGTAATCCATCTTTTAATGGACAAGTATCTGTAATTGGACACAGTTTAGGTTCAGTTATACTTTATGATATATTAGTCAACCAAACACCGGCAAATGAAGAAGAAGCATTAAGAAATGAAGCAGGTAGATTTAATAAAAATTAATTTTAGTTATATTTATTTTTCATTTTTATTTAAAACAAACAATTTAATAGAAAATAGGTAAATTAAATAAAATAATAATATTAATCATATATTTTTTTTTATTCGATTTAAGAAATACTGAAAAAAAGAATGTGTGTATATCAGGAACTGGTCAAATGTCAATACAATATGAAAAACTTACATTTCCAGTAGCATTCTTTTTTGCAATAGGTAAATTTTATTGATAAATTTCTATTTTCTATATTTATTTTTTTTAAGGTTCACCTATTGCAATGTTTTTAACTGTACGAGGAATAACATCATTAGCATCAGATTATGTTTTACCAACATGTAAAGGTTTATTAAATATATTTCATCCTGTATGTTATTGGTTTTTTCATTTTTGTCTTTTATGAAATAATATTTTTGTATCTAGTATGATCCGGTAGCATATAGACTTGAACCATTAATTGATCCAAAATGGACTGTAGCACCAGTATTATTACCACATCATAAAGGACGAAAAAGACTTCATTTAGAATTAATTGATGGTCTATCAAAAGCAACGGATTTAAAACAAAAAATGGTTGATACATTTAAAAATACAATGATATCGATTACTGATTTTGTCCAATCGTATCGAGGTTCAATATCAGCAAGTACATCACCATCATCTACTGATGATACTGGAATAGCAGCAGCTACGACAGCAGCAGCTGCAGAGGTTGAATTAGAACTTGAACATGCTAATGATGATGAAGGTAAATATATCGAGAATGAGAATAGTTAATGATCTGTCCTTTTCACTAATCTAAAGAGATTGAATCGAAACACCTTTAAGAAACACTCAAAACGATGTATGAACATGACCCCATCATCTCGATTAGATTTTGTTTTGAACCTTTGACTTAGATAGAGACGCATCATATTGACAACTGACGATACAATGGAAAAAGTTCTGTAATTACATTCCAGCGATGAGAAAATAGAATCATATATTTACATGTGAAAATAATAGAACATATTGCTAATTTTTACTGCATTATCACATATTTTGTCATAACAGCTTGACATTCCGATGGACTTTTTCAAAGATGACTAATTTTAGAAAGATTCTATCTTATCCATTACTGAAGTAAAAGATTCCCTACCATGATAATCACTTATCTTGAGTCCTACTCATTTATATTATTTCGCTTCTTTTCCCACAATATTAAATCAGCATATTAAGTAAAAATGATCAGTTTCAATTGCATTTAATATTGAATTATCTCATACTAATCTGAGATTATCCGTCTTTTAATTCAAATAAATCTTCCGATAATTTGTTAATAACGTTAAGAATAGAATCTATGAAATTGATTATTTGCTACTATACATAATATAATCAAAATACTTTCGGATATTATAGATACTCATATCGATGAATGGAATAATCGTCCAATTGGAAAATTAAATCAAGGTCGGCGCATAGATTATGTTCTTCAACATCGTCCAATTGAAGTGCTTAATGATTACTTATTCGCTTTTGCAAGTCATGTTTCTTATTGGTAAGGAAGAAAATTTAAAATATATTCATTTTTAATTAAAATTTTTTTAGGGATTCCGAAGATACAATGTTATTGATAATGAAAGAAATTCTTAAATTAGATAATTTCGAACCCGAACCACAATATGAAACTATTGAACAAATGATAAAATCCAATGTATTAAATTATTTTGTAACAGATCAAACAGTTAAAATGAATGAACTTCGACCATATTTAGCAAATTTGGAACAACTTTCAAGATTAATTTCCGATCCAACGAATCTCGTACCAAGATTAAGATAATTTTATTTATTTCAGTTCTTTTTCTTTTTTTGTTTTAAACTTTATTGATCATAGTGTAACCCGGTCTTAAAAATGTTTATTGTTCTTATTTCGGTTATATACATATACATATATATATAATAAAATACGATAACTTCGCACTTATATAATTCTAGATGAGATGATATTCATAAGAGAGTGCAATAATTATTTATTAAGTATTTTTATAAAAAAAAATTCTTTTTATCCATTTATTCGATTTGTATCTACGAATACAAATAAAAAGTAAGATTTAATATTTTATTAATTAGAAACATGAGATTTATTCAAAAGAAATATGAAAATATTCAATTTAAATTTTCTATATTTTATTTATATGATTATCATTGAAAAGAATATATAATAATAACTGAATTTTTTCAAGAAAAAAAAGATACTTGTATTATATAGAAATTCTTAATATTAACAAACTATAATTGCTAATTTTCTGTTATGAAAAAAATATTGTTTCTAATGAACAATGAAAGTGGTTTGCACTTGATAACTGATAAAAAAAGAATCTAATGGATTTCAAGTTAGTGAATAGCGTGTGAAAGTAGTTTCATTCTATATATGGAATCGAGGGAAAAGAGAGTAGTTATTTGTTTTGACAATATAAAATTTATTAATTTTAAGATTTTTATGTAGCTAAATTATATCAATTAGTAATTTTTATGGAAATATTTTATGTTTATAAAAAATATCGGATTTCATTGATTCTCTTGAGACTATAATTACTTCAACGATTAGAAAAAATGATATAGAATAAGTATAATCTTCTATTTGTTCTTTTTTGTGTGTTTTAGACTACATGAAGTTGGTCTCTTTACAGCTGTCAAACAAGAAGGCAATTATGAGACAGGCCAGGTATGTCATCCCATGATGGATGAATGTCAAAAGTATATTAAATTAGAAACGAAAAAAAAAGCATGTTTTTCTCTATATAATTAGTACAGTTATTATTAATCACTGTATTTTTATCATATATTCATTTTGTACAAGAAAATTCGATGTATACAAGAAATTCTATGTTTTCTATATCACTGAATCTAATTATAAGATTGTGATAATCATAATTAAAATAAGAAAATAAAACACTAAAATAATGCTATGAAAATGAACAACATGAACTACGATTTGATGTTCGATCATTCAATTGTACAAGATTATTTAATGTTTTTGAGGCAGTTTGTCCATTCGCTGTTGTTGTTGTTGTTGTTGCATCTACTTGTTCAAGTAATGCTTGACTAACAGCTTTAAAACAGAATTCAACATTTAAACCTGTTTTAGCTGATGTTTCAATATATGATACTTCATATTCTTTTGCTAATTTTTCACCCATTTCACGTGTGACAACACGTTCATTAGCTTTATCAACTTTGTTTGCTATTAGTATAATAATTACGTCTGACTGAGCATATTCTCGAATTTCACTTAACCAATCACGAACGTGATTAAAACTTATTATCGATGCTACATCATATAGTAGTAAAAGTGCATTGGCATCACGATAATATGAATGTGCTACAGAACGAAAACGTTCTTGACCAGCCTAAAATTTAGACAAAATAAATGTTTTTTTTATTCGATAAGGATAGCATGTTGTTTTTTTCTATAGTTAAGTAATAATAAATTAGTTAGGACTAGAGATCATTGTTCTTTCGTGATCTTCGCTTAATTTGATGTTGTAATAGCTTGAAGGCAGATTATAGAAAAGAGTCTGAGCTTAACCTATGTTTTCTTTCTCTTCTAATTATTTTTTAATTTCATATTTCCTCTTTTGTATAAGTGTATAAATAAGAATATTTAGTTAACAAAAAACTAAACTCAAACGGAAATGAGCTTTCGATTTTTTGTCAATCATACTATTAATTAATATGTAATCATATAATACATTTTTTTTACTTTTTCAAAGTTCAATGTCAAAATTTTCTTTTCGAAAAATTTCAAATAATTCTTCATTTAGTTAATTAACGAGAAAAAAACTAAAACTATTGAAAATTTATTCTGTTAATATATAAAATCATTCATATTGATTATTTTATAATACACTCAAACATTTCCGAGAATGTTTGCTTTATTATTTGCACTTGTCTATTTTCTATTAAAAAGAATGACAATATAAAAAAAATCACATTTTCTCATATCCGTTCTTAATTTAAGTCAAGAAGAATAAATATTCATCGAAAATATGATTAGATTTTCTCCTTCTTCTTCTGCTTGCTCAACTAAAGAAATCTAATAAATTATCATAGATGGGTTTATTTATATGTTCTGTATGTGTGCTCTTTTTTTCCATCAAATACATACTGTATCATAAATTTGTAATTTCACTTGTTTATTATTGATCACAATAGTTTTATTACGGAAATCAATACCAACAGTTGCAATAAAGCTGCCACATAAAAATGTATCATCTTTAAAACGTACTAATAAACATGTTTTACCAACACCACTATCACCCAGTAACATTATCTAATTAAAATGAAAGATAATGGAATCTTTTTTTTTGTCTAATATCTAGTTTTACTTTAAATGTACTTTGTTGCATATTCGAGCCAGAATTATTAAAATTTATATTTGTTGTTGAAACTGGACGGTTCATATCTGATTTGGTTTGTTTTCAATCAATCTAAAATTCTGTTATTTAATGTGTGAAGAAATTATTTGATATACATCATGATCAATAGAGAAAAGAAAGAAAGAAAGAAAGAAAACATATGCTTATATATTTCACCATAATATATTGTGATGCTTATTTTTGACAACTTTAAAATTATTTTTTTTTTCGTTCGATTTCTTTTTGTTTGCTCGAATTATAATGTTACCTGGTGAGAGAGAGAGAGAGCATTACTAAATACATATATTTACGTCAATTATAAAAAGCAGATAGACAATCGTTTGTCAAAATATTCTTTTGCAATTCCTTTTTTTCGACGTAAAATGTCATGTCATTAGCTCTTGTCTATTTCTCTTTCATATACAAAAGAAAAAAAAACAGAAGAAGAAAAAGACGAAGAAACAAGCGATAAGAACGTCAATGAGCTAGATTCACATTATTATATATGGAAATGATAAATCGCGATAGATCTCTTTTTTTTTTCTTCTTCTTCTTTTTCTTGTTCATTTTATGTCATCACTTTTCTATATAATTGTTCTTGTTATGATGATCAGTGTAAAATTAGTTTATCTATATACATGTTCAAAATAATAAAGATCAAACGAATATGAAAACTACAAAGATTTACTTCATTCATATGTCCGTAATTCGGATAAGCAAATCCCATAGAGACGACAGACTAAGAAACAAACAACAATAGATGATGCGTGAAACCAATATGTTTATAGTAGTCATAAACAAAGGGCAAAGAAAGAAGACAAAAAAAAAATACATACCATACAAATAAGACAATATATTAGAAGAAATAATCATTTTTCTAGATCTATTGTATTTCTACTGTCGTTAGCGAGTATAAATCTTTTTGTTTTATATATGCCGGATACTTATTTATTTGCCTCAAGTGATCTTAAATTACTATTTATTTTAATTATTAAAGATGATTAAAAAAGAAAATTATGATAATATAGTGTTTCTTAATATCTATCTTAGATGACATCTTACCTCTTTTTCTTATTATATAAAGAATAATCTATAATGTCAGTTGTTCGTTGTTGACAATTCCATACACATGCATGTGATGTGTTCAGTGCACAATTGAGCGATTGAAGGTTTTTATATATTGTAGAAAGATAGAGAGAAATAGAGAGCATGAAGCTACACGGACCACTAGAATGTTGAACAGATGAACAACATACGAAGAAGAGAGATGAAGTCGGATACTAAGCTATAGCGAATGAAGAACAAGTAGCGGACGAGAGGGATAAAGAATGAAAAACGGAGACTTCCTGTTGACAAGCCCCTGCTGATGGTGTTTCCCTTCTTTTTTTTTCTACCGCCATTACTACCGATTCTGCTTGTCTATGCTAAATACATTCTGACAAATCGAATAATTCTCTCTGTCTCTCTCTCTCTTTCACTCCGTCTTTTTGTCTTGAATAGAATTCCACATACATAGAAACATACATATATTTATTCGCAGAGCAATTATCGATTTGAGCCTATTCATTCATCGTTATAGCCGTTCACTAAATGCTCATGTCGTCTTTTCAGTTCTCTATATACAGAAAGAAAAAAAGTATGAGGCTAATTCAATTGTTATTTTCTAAAGACGATAATCGACGATTTTCCCATCGGCATATATAAATAAATGTATATAAATATACGAAAAGAAAAAAAACCTCATAAAAACAACGAAAGCCTATTAAAATATTTTATTGATAATAGTAAACGGAAAACCTCCGTTTTCTTTATTGTTGTTTTATATATACGCTAAGGCAGTCCACAATAGTGATGATGAATGAAGAATTTTATCAAACTAAACCATGCGTTAATCGTTAGATGAAAAGATGAATTCGTGCGTGTTTATCCATTCATTATGATTCTATCGTTTTCTTTTTTTTTTATTTCTTTCTTATGCTCTAGTTATTTCTTCATCGAGTATTTGGCTATCGAGGTGTAATTCTATTTTCATGGCTTGCAAGAGTATTTGATCGATATGATGGTCGTTCAAATTTACCATCAGTATCATCACAATCAAATATACATGAAATTCGTTCAAGATCAGTAACCTATTATCAAGTATTAATTGATGCACGTGATATACCATATATTCGAGCTCAAACAGGTTGAGTTTATTAAATATTTCAAAATCCCATGATGATTTAAATCGTTTAGAAGATGTCACATTTTTGGGCGATCAAAAACGAGATCAAAATCTTTACGCTATTTCTGGTCTTGATTACGTTGCACATGATGATATTATACCTTATACAGTAAATAGAAGATTTTTCTTTTGGAATATATTTATAATAAACTTTTTAGAGTACAGAACGAACACCAATTGAACATGAATTATTTGATAAATTTTTAATATATGATTCTGAAACAAGTAAATAGAAATAAATATAATTAAATTATTCATTAGATATAATTTAGCACCGAATTTTATATCACGTAAGCATTTAAAATCTTGGCAAGAACGACATCATCGTTGGCTTGAATTATCTGATGTATCAAAAGATGTTACACATCAAATTCGTGTTACTGTTATTCCATTTTATATGTATAAATACCATTTCATTTGAATTTTTTCTATATAAATTTCTTTTTTTGTCATTCAGAGGTTGTCGTTCAGTACAAGGTGCTAATGTACATTGGTGGCGTTATTCTATTCGTATTGAAAATTTAAATCTCGATGAAGCTGTAACATTACGTGAACGTCATTGGCGTATATTTAGTCTATCTGGTACATTAGAAACTGTACGTGGTAATGGTGTGGTTGGACAAGAACCAAGACTATCAAAAGAATATCCAGCATTTCAATATTCATCTCATGTTTCATTATCTGCACCAAGTGGTCATATGTGGGGGTAAGAGAGAGAAAAAAATCTTTTATTTCAATTTAATTTTTGAAATTTTTCTCATTAGAACTTTCAAAATGGAAAAAGATGATGGAACATTTATTGAAGTTCGAATACCGCCTTTTAATTTAGAATGTAAATCAGATTCAATGATCGGTGGAAAATCATCTTTGTAAAATGCTTTTCTTTTTCTTTTTCTTTTTTCTTTTGTTATTATTTGTAGAGAGAATGAAAACTTCTTTTTTTTTTGTATGAAATGAATTTCTTATATAAACATCGTTCTTCCAGATTACTGTGTTAATAATTTTATTCAATATTTCTAGAACAAAATTTATTGAGATATTTTGATAGAGAAAAAAGAATACGCATAGGGTGTATGTGTCACGGAAGAGTACACTTGAAAAAGTTATGTTGATTTACTTAGTAAATGGAAATAAATACTGAGATAACTTGAATAGTAAAAAGCAATGAATAATATTTGTTTTGTTGAATAAAGTGGTCTCTAAGTTGCAAATGGTACATTGTGTCTAATGATAACCAAAATCATGAAGACTGAAAATAGACATACGATCCGAGTGACTGTGCTGCGGACGTCATCAATCGATAAACAATCGTCGAGACGGAAGTATAAATACTAGCTTTGTACTTATTTTTAGTGTGAGTTGTCTGATAGGAACATTCCATATTGTCATCTTATGATTAAAAATGTTTTGAATCCAGAAAAAGTTTTCAAAAACATATTAACAAGGTTTCAGTCGCCAGCATTGACTGATATGTTTTCTAACATTTATATTTAGAAAATGAAGGCATATTATTGTTTTATCATCCCAAGCTATTCCAATGGCTTCAAGCGAATAACAATAACCAGAAATGGCTAAAAATAGCTAGGAAGGTCTGAAAATAGTGCAAACTATCTTACAATTGCTGGGTATGAGGACATCGGTGTAGGTAATATATTGATATACAACCCACCCTTCAGAAAAAGTCGTGATCATGAATTTTGAATACAAATTTGCTAGTTGGCATATTTCTCAAACGCTATTGCACAGAAAATCTTTATAGCACCTGTGAAGGGATTTCAATACCAATATGTATGTTTTCTTTCAAAAATAAGAGAAGATTAAGGACTTAAAAGTCATCAGGTGTCTTTAATACGGATATATATGAGTTCAACACTATTAGCTCCAACTGGGCTGCGCTGAGGAGTATTTTTTAAATTACAGGAAGTATCAAGTCTGACGTTGTTACTAGTTTGTAATTAAAACGAACGTGAAGAGACCTATTTAATATTGAGCAAATATGATTATTATATGATCGAAAAGCAAGTTCCTACTTGCTGCAATTTGCCGTGATAAATTCAAAGTTGAGAATTAATTTGCATGTCGGTAGAGCATTTATAATCTGAATAGTTCATAATACTGTGATTATTTTATGGAATATTATCTATTTAGATTATAAGTTCAACTCATATTACTTCATAACTAATTACATATGTTTATGATCTCGATCAATTTACTTCTCGATTGAACACTTAAGTTGATATATAGACATTAGAGATCATTTAGAATACTTTGATGCATATATGTTGAATACTGACAATAAACGAATATATATAGATAAATCTATTCTTATGTTTGAAACTTATTAAAAAAAACAGTGTATGATCGAATGCGTCATCTATTATAAGCGATGTCTAATTCTATTGGTTTAAAAGTTTTGGGTAAGTTCCATCTACTACTTTTTTCTCTTCCTATACTACCTTCAAATAGAATTCATTTTTTAATCATCAATTATTTTTATATTAGCCAAATAACAATTATCGTTTATCGTTATGATTACATCTCAAATGGATATTGCATCACAATATTCAGATATTCTCAGAACACTTAAGAAAGGTTCGTAAATCCTAATAAAAGAAATTTATAAAAACAAAACTTTCTTTCTAGACAAATATAATGATACACGAGATAAATTACATAAATTATTACTTGAACGAAAAATTCCATATTTATTATCACCGGATAAAACGGATGAAATGGAAATAATAAAACCAATTGGTGAAGGTGCTTTTGGTATAGTTCAATTAGTACGTTATCGAAATCGAATTTATGCACATAAACGTCCACGTTCAAATCTTTCTAAGTCACGAAATAGTCTACTCGATGAAGCAATTAAATTAACTGATATTGTAGAAACTCATCCAAATATTCAACGATTATATTTTATTAATCTTAAAACATTTGGTTTTTTAATGGATTATTGTTGTGGTGGTTCACTTGAGACATATATCGTAGATAGTAATTCAACATATACATTAACTGATGCCCTCAATTGGAGTTATCAATTAGCTGATGCATTAAGTTTTTTACATTCAAAACAAATTAGTATGATTGTTAATTTTAATTATGAAACGATATTAATTTTTATTTTTAGTGCATCGAGATGTTAAAATGCAAAATATTCTTTTGAAAGATAATTATCAAACACTTGTTCTGACTGATTATGGTACTGCAACACAACTAGGAAGAAGTTTATTGACAAATCAAGTTGGAACACCAAGTATGTATTTTATACAAATAAAATTAATGATACATAAATTATTATTTTTAGTTATTATGGCACCTGAAGTTTGTACTAGTACAAAATATACCGAAAAATGTGATATATATTCATGGGCTATTGTATTTAATCAATTATTAGCAAAACAATATGATCCTTATGGAGAACCAAACTTAAATCCTTTTGGTATGATATTTAAAGTTAGAAATTAATATTCAACCCAGACAGACAAGAACTCTGAAAAACGCGTAAAATCGCGTTTAAAATTCGTAAATACACCGTTTTTACGAATTCTTAACGCGTTTCTACGCAATATTTTGCAGAGCGTTCTACTGCGTTAAAATCTACCCCGTAGTTACTCGTTGAAACGCGGAATTCAACGTGGTTTTACACGTTATTTTATGAATTTTAACGCTTCAAGCACAGATTATCGACGCGTTCATCACAGTAGACAAAGCTAACGGAGATAAAAATCGTACAAATGAGCGCTTTTCCCGATTTTATTTTCGTTAAAACTCCAAAATTTCTACGCCGTATTTCTCCGTTTTTTTTTGAATTTTGTCTCTCTGGGAAGGAAAATTTTTGTAAAATATATTTTCGTAAAAGTCAAAAAATGTTTGTTTTTCATTCTTAAAGACTAATGATTCGAGTAAGTGAGTCTTCAGTTAGAACATCTTTTTTCTTCATTAATGTGTAAACCTTTGAAGAACATAAAAAACAATGGATGAAATTCTGTTTTTGATTTATGATTTATAAAGAGACGCTTCGCATCTATAGCTATAGACATGATATGTTTTCTTACTTTTCATTATATCCTCATCGGAATATCAAGCTGTTAGGATAAAACGTGTGATAATGTAGTAAAATATATTATTCCATTAGTTTATTGTTGAACTGTAAGTACAAAAGTATTTTATCTTATACATTATCGAGGAAAAAGATTAGTGGAAACTATAGATCACTTACTATTGTCGTTCGATGAACTTTAATATTTACTCGCTTATATATAACTATTTTTAAATAGGTTTGATAATGAAAATTACAACCGAAAATTTTCGTCCACGTAAATTAAATAATTGTCCAAGTATACTTGTTGCTTTAATGTATCGTTCATGGCATTCGGATCCAAATGAAAGACCAACATTATTTTTCATTAAAAGAGTTCTTCGATTAATATTAAATGTTTTACCAATAGAGAAACAAAAATGTTCCAAAGAAATTATTAATGATAATAAAAAACAGTGGATAAACGAATGTAATTTATCACAAAAGCATTTATTAAATGGACCACGTTTAGATAATAAAGATTCAGTAAATATTTATCAAGATTGTCTAAGAAAAGCAAAACATATTACAGATGTTCAAAAAGATATGTCAGAAATGGAACAAACATTAGAAGCATTTCAAAAGGAAAAAGATATCAAAAAAGATCATTATGATCAATTATTAATTGAAAATGAAAAACTAAGCCAACAAATTGAAATGTTACGTGAAAAAATATTACATAAAAAAGACTTCAGTAAATAGATTCTTTTTGTTTTTTGTATCCGGTGATAACCTTTGTGATATATTTTGTAAATTTAAATATTTTTATGTGTAGTTTGTTTTAAATAAAATAATTTTAAAAAATGTGAAAATAATATTAGGAATATAATACCAACCCGCTTTTGTTTTTTTTCTTCTTTAGTATTGAAAAATAATAAAAATTTATTGTAATCTATTCGTTTTTTAATTGAACAGAATCATCTCTTGGAGAAATATGTCGTACTTCACTTAATACATAATCAAAATTTGGTGAGATTTTTGATATTTTCTAATTAGTTTTTTTTTTGAAGACAGATAGAGGAATTTTATTCAAAAGCTCATTAATTTTTAATAGTGTAGTAGATCATAACTCTTAGATATGGTTTCGACTGATTCTATCGCGAATATTGAAGTATATATTACTACTTCTATATACAGCTATATCCGCTTCTTCCTAATTGCGGTCACAGATCAAACCAATTAGCAGATCGACAGTGTGGGTGAGAGCGGAAAGCGTAACCGCAATTCGGAATAAGCCAAGAATAATGCTAAGAACCTGAGACCCTCATCGGGTAGGACGAAATATTTTTTTCAATGCTTTACCCTACTGATCCTGCAAGGCATCGCGAAAAAAGTGCTCTGTGACAGTCTCTTATAAGAACATATATCTTCTATTGGCGCTCTTGTATAAAATTCATCTATACATTCATCAGCATTTCAAGATAATCGATCTTAGAAAATTTCCATTGAAATCTGAATCTATCGGATTGAATAATCTAACGACTTTATTGACATTAATAATCTTTTTCAGAATTAGTCTTATATTAAATAAAAATCTTGAATATACGCGCCATCTATTCTTATTTAAAATAAATAAAATGATTCACATTAAAAGAAATTTTTTTATTGGTTATTAGTTTGAAAAAACATATGTTTGCTTGCTTTTATTTGCCCTTTTCCCATTACGAAGAACATTTAAATAATCACAGAGGAAAAAAATTTTGTTTTTCTATTTCAGTTATAAATATTTCATGGATATTGTAACGAAAGAGAAAACTATTAATGAAGTACTTCAAAAAGCTCAAAAAGGTTTGTTATTTATATTAGAACAAAATAAAGAACTAAACATTTTTGTATTTTCATAGAAGGTGGTGTTGTTTTAAAAGAAAAATTACGTAAATTATTAGTTGAACGTAATATTCCATTTATTCCATTAACAACTAAAATTGATTCACTTCGTTCACTTGGTTATGGTGTTTTTGGTATAGTTGAATTAATACGTTATCAAAAAAAATTATATGCACATAAAAGACCACGGCAAACAACGAATGAACAACGTAATAGTATACTTGAAGAAGGTATTAAACTAACAGATATAGCTGAACGTCATCCAAATATTCAACGATTAAATTTTATTAATCTTCGAACATTTGGTATTGTTATTGATTATTGTAGTAATGGTTCACTTGATGTATTTGTCCGGGAAAAACATTCAAATTATACATTAGTTGATGTTCTTAATTGGGGTTATCAACTAGCTGATGCGTTAAGTTTTTTACATTCAAAAAAAATTAGTAAGTTCTTAATTGTTATATAATATAGATAAAATAAATATTATATTTCATAGTTCATCGAGATGTTAAAATGCAAAATATTCTATTGAAGGATAATTATCAAACACTTGTTCTAACAGATTATGGTACTGCAACACAACTTGGAAAAAGTTGGATGACGGATAATGTTGGCACACCGAGTATGTACATTTAATATTGATGAATACCAGAGAAGAAGATGTAGTTTCCTTGATATAAAAGAATGATAGACAAAGTACATGATCGGCCTGTCCACGTAAAACGTGAATCCGTCACGTCTTGCTTCATTATAAAGAAACGACTCAGTATCAAAGATTAAACTCATTAACGATCTTGAAGAACCGGTCGTATTCTCTATAATGAGAGGCTGCAAAGCTGTCTCGGAATCTTCAGTCATTTCAAAAAGCGTGACGGAATCACAACCGTTTACGTGGACAGGCTGTGATCTTCAACATGATAAAAATCGAATAGACAATTTTTATACAATAGTTAGTTAATTAAAGTATCCGATTATTGATATTTACAAGCCTGTTTTTTGCCAATATCAAAATATTTTAACCATTTATCTATTCCGCCAAGAAAGTGTGCACAGGTTCCCATATTTTATTTTCGACTCAAGTGTAAAAAAGTTAAAAAACACGATTTGATAGATTAGAAAACAGGCGCATTGTAGTGTATTGAATCTATCAGAATTCATTCATCACTATGTCTTCTCTCATGTTAGATCTATATTTATCAAATAAACATTTAATTTTAGTTACAATGGCACCTGAAGTATTTGCTTATAATCAATATGCTGAACAATGTGATACATATTCATGGGCAATTGTCTTTTGGCAATTGATATCAAAACAACTTTTACCTTATGGAAATCAAGGCAAAGGTTTGTATAATATTTTTAATTTCATTTCATATATAAAATCTTTTTCATTTAGGGTTTTTAATCTCTGTTGTACGTGAAAAACTTCGTCCACCAAAATTAAATCATTGTCCCGAATTATTTCTTGCTTTAATGTATCGTTCATGGCATTCTGATCCTAATGAACGTCCAACGTTATTATTAATAAAAAAAATTCTTCAATTAATATTAAATACATTACCAAAAAAGAAAGAAGAATATACCGATGAAATGATCAATGAACTTAATAATCAATGGACAAATGAATATTGTTTATCAGAAAAATATTTACCCGTTCAACCACGTTTAACAAATGAACAATCAATAAATCTTTATCAAGAACATTTAACAATAATGAAACGTATCATAACTATTCAAAAAGATCTTCAAGAATTAAAACAAAAACAAGCTAAACATGATCATTATGAAGCCGTACTAGATGAAAATGATCAATTACAAAAAGAGATCGAAGCATTACGGTCAAAAACAGTTTATGAAATAAGGTAAAGAATGTAATGAAAAAAAATGTGCTATATGTTTCTATATAATTATTTTTGTTTTGTTTTTATATAATATATTTTATTGTATTGTTTTTTTTTTATGAAAAAAGAAACAAGTAAAGCTTAACATATGGGTCTTATATAAGCATATATGTATATATATATATAGATATAATATTGATTGCACTCTTTCTCTCTTCTTTCTTTTAATTTGGTTATGGAACGTAAAAAAAAAAGCTTTTTTTTCTCTTTTTTTCGTATTTTTATCTTTTGTAATGCGTGATATAATCGATCGGGTAAGATTATTTTATTTCAGAAATTTTTATAAATTTATTCAAACAAACGAACGTTAATATATATTTGGTAAGCATTTTTAAATACTAGTTTAATAGTGATTATATTTTTTTTTGTTTTTATTAAGATTAATATTTCAATGACTAATATTATGATAAAGATCAATTGACTATTATCGGAAGTCATACTAATTTATTATTTGGGTAAGATTATGTTTTATTTAACCCTTTCAGGACTAGTTTTGCTTTCACAATCAGTGTATTATTCTTAAACTATCTTTTTGACCGCGATTCAAAAAAAATCGCCTGGACCCCCCCCCCCCTCCAGGGTAGGTGGTACAACATATGTAGCACCGTCCTGAAAGGGTCGAATGAGTAAATATGTAGATTCAATAGCATCGTTCTATTATAAAAGTGATTACTATAAATAGTTAATATGCGGTCTACTAATTGCTTGTAAATAGAAGATGTTCTTTTGACCTTTTTATTTTCAAAACCCCTGTAGGCAGTAATTAATATTGATTTAAATCTATAGAGACATTTGTAGAATAAGATAACATCATTTCCTTTTTTTTTTCTTCATACACTCTTTCGAGAGTTTTAAATGAAAATGTTTTTTTTTACTTTAGTTTGTGTTTTCAACTACATATCTATTTTTATCTGATCGTTGTCGATCTTGGAATATAATCATATATGTTTAATCGTCGATTATCTTTTAAAATTTTAATTAATTTTTGTGCAAAAGTTTGATACGTTTTTTTTCTAACATAATGAATATAGATTCAAATTTTGTTTGTATCTATATTTTTTCTCGTATGTGAGTATTTCTCATTGATAGATCAACAATATAAAATAATTGAAAAATTCATTTTCTAGAAAGTCTAAATAGACAAGAGAAGAAGAAAAAAATATCTACTAATCATTCACTGGTTCATTCATCAAATAAATATTCGACATTTAGGAGTTTAATTTCGAGACAAGGGCGTACCAAGGAGTCGAGGGCAGGGGGGCCAGCACAAGTTTTTGTTTAAATTTAGCAAAAAAAAACTTTTTTTCGATTTTTAAAATTTTTGCGAGCAAAAAAAGCAAAAAATTTCTCAAAGGAGAGGGAGGGCGTTACACCCCACGCGCCCCCTAGTCGGTACGTCCCTGTTTCGAGATAAGTTATAATAGTACCAGGCCTTTTTTAAACTTCGCAAATTATTGTTCATTCTTTCTTCAAACCTCCGTTCACTATTGTCGTTTTGTATTTTCTCTCATCATGGCTAACACACACACCCTATACTCTCACGGTCAAAAATGACCCACTTGGTACTACAAGGGCTGTTATACTAATTTCTTGTTATGCAATACATATATAATAGTAACAAAATGGAAGTGAAGTTTTTTAATTAGAAACTAAGTATCTTTATATTAACTTGCATGTATCTTATAGTTTATAACAAGAAAAGCAAGGATAAATAATGCAGAGACTATAACCATTCATTAAAATCGATCTAACATTAGAGTATTGATCACATTCTCGAGAAAATTATTTTATATTTCTATATGAATGAAATTTCTTATTTTTGTTCATTTCAATGTTATGTATATCAAAATTACTATTATGTACCTATCAATAAAAAAATTTTATCTCTTTTTTTTTATTCTTCTTCAAGATAATATTTTTTTTTCTATTTTGACTTGTCGATTTATCTGTCTTTCAAAGGGGAATAGTTGTATATTGGCCTAAATTGGACTCATTTTTCATTATTAATTGAGGTAATTGAATAACTTTTCTTTTATATATATATTTATATTATTTTTTTAATACAACCATTTAATTATCTCTAGTCTTCCCCTTATTTAAATAAAACTATCTAATGGCTGTCAAAGATGATTATCAAGATTTCAAAAAAGAATTAAATGATTTGAAAATAAATAGTAAACCAGTAATAAATTTTTTAACAATGCTTGCTGAAGAAAAAGTACATAACGCACCACAAATTGTACGTGCTATTGAAGAACGTATACTTGAAGTTTGTATTAATACAACATTTTATTGAATTATTTCTAGAAAAAAATTAAAAAAAAATTCTGTTTTTTCTATTTAAGGCTAAGGGTGATTATGTTTTACCTGTACTATATGTACTTGATTCAATAGTAAAAAATTTACGTTCAAAAGCTTATATACAATTATTTGAACATAAATTACCTGTCATTTTTGCAAGTGCTTTCAATAAGGTTTGAATAGAAAGAAAGAAAGAAAGAAGAATTGAATAATATTTTGTCTATTTTTAGGTTGATGAACGTGTACGTTTAGCAATGTTTAAACTTCGTCAGACATGGCCACCCTATTTTCCTAATTCAGTATTACATAATCTTGATACAAGAACACATTATATTGATCCGGCATGGCCGATTACAGCTCGTATACCTGAAACAAATCCGTCCGCTGCACCAAATATTCATATTAATCCTGACTTTATTCAACGAGTAAGAAAAACATCTGTCTTTTTTAATTAAATAATTACTTATTTTTAGAATCCACCAACATCGACCAATCAACCAAAACAATCTGGAAAACCAGATGATAATATTCGAAGTGGAGGAAATCAAACAACAAATAAGAATTCGGATGTATCAGCGCGAGAAGAAAATTATCATATGATACCAATTGATCGAAAAGAAATCGAACAATTATCTCATAAAGAAGCTAATGGTGGTGGTGGTGGTGGTGGTGGTGAACAACAATTAAAAACAAAAAAAGAAAAAGAAATAAATAATAGTCAAGAAATTATAACTGAAGAAGTTTCTAAAGAAAAATTATCGGTTAATCAAAATATTCCAGTTAAAAAAGATACGAATCAAAATGATGAGTAAGTTTTCTGAAAAATTAATTCTTATAAAACTCATTTTTGCGAATTATTTTAGTGATGTTCTATTTGGTGGAACTGATATAGATTATCGTGATACAGATGGAAGTACTCAGCAAACAACAACAACGACTGATATGGATCGTTTGTTTGAATTAAATTCTGAATGTTTCTCACTTGCTGAAAAGAAATTTAAATCAAAAGAACTTTCATCAGAAGAATATCAAGCAACACTTAAATTACTTCAAAATATTCTTCAAAATGAAGTTCAAAGACTTACTGTACCATCAACGTTAGTCATACATCTTTTTTATGTATAAATATTGTCTTTAAAAAAAACTTTATTTTAGGACAAATTCTTCTAGTACAACCACTCTAGCAAATACACTTACTACAACGACACAAAGCAATTTATTTCAGCAACAATCACTTTCATTTCCTCAATCACATCCAACTACAACTACACCATCATTATCAACATTTCCATTTGCAGGTTTCGGTAATGATACTCAACGTCATGCAATGCAAATTTTAGCTGCAGTTAGCGCTTCATCATCATATGGTTCACATTATAATATTTTACCATATATTCCACCATTACCACCAGCACCTCCTCCATTTACACTTCTTCCAAATACATTTCCATCGACAACTACAACATCATCAACAACATCGGGACGTTTAAGTCCATCAATAAAACGTCCACATGATGAAAACGGTACTAATCATCGTCGTAATGATGACGATATTAAACGGCCACGTTATGATTCAACAGCTACGCATAAAATTCGAACACATAATTTTGATGAAGAAAATATTGCACCTGTTCCATCACTTCTCGATGCTAATATTAATACATTAAAAAAGTATGAAATAGAATTTGTCTATTTATTTTTATATAATATTTATTTTTATCATAGAAAATATATGGGTGTTATTCAACAATTGTATATTGGTAAATATCAATGTCGTTTATGTGGTCTTCGTTTTTCAGCTAAACAAAAACATGTTTATACTCATCATCTTGATTGGCATTATTGGCAAAATCGACAAGCAACAACATCAACAGCATTATTAGAACGTTGTAGAGATTGGTATCCATCTTTACAAGAATGGACAATTTATGAAGAAAATCTTGATGAACAAATGAAAAATAATCAAATGATGTTAACACAACAAAATCGACAAAATAAAGAAATAGATAATAAATCATCATCAACAACAACAGATATTATATCTTGTTCATCAACAGGCAATGGTGATATGGATGAAGATGTAAGTTAAACATATTCTCTTTCTCGTAGAGAAGAGTCCAGTAAACATAAATTATTTGTGTGTCCGCAGGGTCAAAAAAACATCGAAAACCCATTTTCTGGAAAAGACATTTCTAGAGGTATTTCGATGCGGGGACTTCGAATCTGAGATCTGTTGGGTAATTATGATGACGGAGGAGGGTATATAGGGTGCATAGGTCAAAAAAGCATCGAAAACCTATTTTCCACGATTTTCAATTGTTTTTCCAGTAAATGTGAAGAGGATGCATTTCTACGGGAAAGAGCTATGCGAGTTCTCGGACAAGCGTTACTTGTATATATCTGTTTAAATATATATAAAATATTTCTTATTTATTTAGCGTTGTTATGTATGTCATGATCCATTTGAAAATTTCTTTGATGATAATCGTGAAGAATGGTGTTTAAAAGATGCAATACGAATTGATGGAAAAACTTATCATCCAATTTGTTATCAAGATGTTCAATTTCAAGTAAAATAAAATAAGAATGAATTGTTTTTTGTTTTGTAAAATTATATTTTATAATAGGAAACAACTGAAAAACCATTAGTATTATCAACGATTGATCCATTATTATTAGCAGAAGCTTTTACAGATGAAACTAGTAATAATTCACCAGATTCTCAATTAGTTGATAATGCTATGGCAACTGTGAATTTAAAATCAGAAAATGAAGATACATCCGATAAAGATTTAACATTATCAGAAGAATCAACTAAACCAAATTATTTATCATCAATGTCGTTTGTGAATCTTGTTGAAACAATATTTGTTAAAAAAGAAGATCTTAAACCAATAGAAAATCTTAAACCTGAAGCAATAAATGTTAAAGAAGAATTATTAGATCCAAGAACAATATCAGAAGATATTCCGTTTCTATCAATAAAACCTGAAAATGATTGTGAATTTTTGATTAATAAAAATACAGATGGAATTGGAACAATAGCGGATTAATATTTTCTTTATTTCTCATTTATTTCTACGAGTTTATTTTCGCGTATAATGTATGTGTGTTTCTTCATGTGCTCTTATTTTTTAAATTGTGCGTCGTATTTGTACGTACATAACACTCAAAAATAAAGAATATATATATATATGTATACAAAAAAAAGAGGAAGTGTTGAAATTCAATATTTATTCTAAGGTATCAATTGCACTATATGTAGAAGATTTATTGCAAAAAGAACAGAAGATGAAAACGAATGGTTTCATTTAGATTACTTCCATGTTTTTTTTCGTTGTTTAATAATGTCATGAAAACGAATATAGGTGACAAGATCAGTCAGGATTTCCTTTTTCTTTACGATAATCGATTATTTATGACTCAGATCGATATTTCTTTTTTTGTATGAAGCTTTAAAAAATAATCTATAATTTTGATATACCTTGTATAATAAATAAAATGAAATGGAAAGTAAAAAATATAAATTTGTGCAAAGGTGGCCTACTTTTCTTTGTTTTTTTCTTCCGTACTAACAGATGGCAGACGGCATATATTTTTTTTCATTCTGTGACTTCTACACCTGTTGAAAGTACTATCTACTTGGAAATTTCTCCGTTTGGTTCCATGAAATAATTTTCTTGCTTGGGTTTTTTCGTAATCTAATGGGATATCACCACATTCAAGTCTATCTAATACCTATATAAACTCGCGAATTTCGCTATTATATTATCATCAAGCCAGTCAGCTAGTGGATTCACAGATGTAAGTAACACAAGTCGATTAATATGAAAGTGACATATTAGATGAAGATATTATTGAAAGGAACGATTCAACCAAAAGGGTCAAGAAGGGTGTGATTGTTATTCTTACATCACATCCACACCCACCCACGATTTCCTTTTCCCCCACGATAATCTATCATTTATGACTCAAATCGATATTCATTTTTTGTTAGTATAAACAGTAGCGGCAGAGCAAAAAAGCTCATGAGGCTTGAGCTTCACTTAGTTTTCAGCCTCACTTATTTTCGGATTGAATGTTATCTTTTATTATTAGATTTTGTTATGTTCTGCATCTGACATAATTAGATATATGTTCTGATATTTCTCTATTCTTCTATTGCAGAGATATCACATACAGCTTATATATATTATGTATTTTTTTCTTTTCTTTTACTTGGGTATTTCCCGTCTCTGCATGGTATTTAGGTATTTTCCCTCTTTTTTGACATGTTTTCTTGTCCGTATATTTAGTTTTTCCTATTTCGTCTATATATGTTTTATTTCCCAGAACGTTTGATTTTTTGCAAGCGCATATACACACACACCCACACCCACCCTTCTAGAGAACCTTACTTAAGTATTTGAAAAGAATGGTTTTTACATGTTTCGATAGCCCGAACATTTCTCTTTCGAACAGTGAAAACCGCAGCTCTCTATCTTGTTCTGTTCGATAGTTATTAAAGAAAAATTCGAGTACATTATATTTTGAAACTGATATTAGTAACTATTGGAAAAGTATGTAAACGTTTATAACAATTTGAAAAAAGGAATGCATTCGATTATTTATATACGAATACAAAACCATATCTTCATTCTAGTAGAACTAATAAAATGTGTTTTTTGTTCATTAAATTATTAATTTTGATAATGTCAGGTATTGCGCAGAAGATTATTTTCTATCTACAATGATAGATAACTCTGTTTTCCGTCATCCTCTATCGTGATTGATAACGATTGGTGGACATTCTACAATTAAGCGACTACAAATATAATATAGTATTTTACTACAGTCTTACATGATCAATTAATTTTTATTATACATTAAGTTGTTTATTTTATCTCGTAAGATTTTATTCTTTTTTTGATATTAGCTAGTGATAATACATATTTATTAGTGATATACATTATTTTTTTAATCGTCGTAGTGAATATTTCCTATAGCTGAATTATATTCTGTTATCTATTCAAAATTTGTTGAAATTTTTAAACATGCATTTTCTTAGAACAAGTTGTAGTTGCATAAAACTATTAATATACGATTAGATAAAATATTACAGAACTGAGGTAATTAAGTTTTTAGGGTCATACTAATAAGTATTCATATACCGCCACGTGATTTATATACATACGTAAAAGTATCTCCTATCACCCAAATATTTATCTATAACGATTGTTTTGTACTAATCATTGTTTTCATATAGGATTAAGTATCTATTTTCAACAGAAAATTGCTGTCTATACTTATAATTGTCAATAAAATAAAGAATCTTATTAATATAAGCAGCATGATTTTAAAAAATAAGTCATTTATTTTCTAAATTTATTAAATACATCCATGACAATCGTAATTATTCAACTGAATAATTTTGTTTAAATAACATTTCTTTTTCTTTGTCGTCGCATATTCGCTTGTCAGTCATAGTTTGATTTTTGATAAATGCGAGCATGTAAATATTTATGTGCTCGAGCGATCCGCGCGTCTTTATTGTTCTAAAAGAAAAGAATAACCTTTTTTCTTCGCTTGTTATCATCATTATTTTCAATCAATGACTTGTGCGTAGTCATCTTTTATTAAGAGAAAAGAAGTAAGGAAATTTCTTTCTAAACGTATATAGATGATTTTTTATTTCATGATCAAGATAAAGCTTTCTAAATGCTCATTTCCTTTTACAATCAAACATACAAAACAAATCAATCTTATAAGTTAACCTAGACATTTCTGTTTTCTCTCATTTCTTTTAATATAATCATAAAAATAATCAAATTTCTTTTGTTTGTCATTACAGCTCATGCATAAGCAATTTTTGTTTTTTTAGATTCAGATAATTCTAATTCTGCTGACATTTCTCTTTTTCTGCAAAACAAATCTATATTTAGATATGTCTATCGAATAGGGAACAGCGTAGATCAACAGATGTTTGAAAAAATAGATAAAAGAAGAACGCAGATGTTCTAGTCATCTTTCATAAAATAGCCTTGACAAAAAGGAAATTTCACATCATCAACTAATAATTAAACATTTTTTTTTATAAAATATCTTATCCTTGATTTTATTTGTAATTCTTTACGTAAAATATAGTACCGTACAGTATGGTAGTTAGCAGTCTATTTTCTTATGGTATATATATATGACCTTTTTTTTCATTCTTACGTTGTATTACATTTTTTTCTCCCGTGACTTCCCTACATAAATTATTTGAAGAATTATGGTTGAGAGGATGCAAAACTATTATGTAACACTTCTTTTTTTTTGTATGTTGTTACATAATTTTATACAAGACAAACAAGTTTTGATAGATTTTCAAGATCGAATATAAGTTTCATTTTTTCTTCTTGTAGACTTAAATTTGATTATGGCAAAGAAAAAAGATGTATACGTGATTAGTGGAACTCAAGAAGTAAAGGGTGAGAAAAATGAAATAGTATTTTAGAACAAAAAAATTAATGATATTTATTTTTAATAATAGCACCATTGGTATGTTCAATACGTCTTCTACTTGCTTGTTTGGCATTTCTAGGTTTTTTTCTTTGTTATGCTCAACGAAATGGACTTTCGTAAGATATTTGAAATTTTTAAAAAAAAGAATAAAATTATTTCTATTGATTTATTTTAGTGTTAGCATTGTTTGTATGGTTGACCCTGATGCGGATAATGTGACTTTATCAAAGGATATTAATTCTGTTGCTGTTTCTCGTAATATTCCAGCTTCTTGTCATAAACATACAGTGGAAAAAAGTCGATCTGTATGATATTTTTCTACTTATTTAGAATACGTTTGAATATATTATAGGCAAGTCAAGTTCTTCTATGGCCAAAACAAACACGTGGTGTTATTCTTGGTTCATTTTATTGGGGTTATGCATTAACACAAGTGGCATCATCTGTTGCTGTTAATTTACTTGGACCAAAACGTTTCCTTGCTATACTTATATTTATTTCATCAGCGGCTACAATGGTTTTACCAATATTCGCGAAACTTCATCCATCATTTGTTATTCTAATACGTGTTGTAGCAGGTGCAGCTCAGGTATAAATAAGAATTTATTTTACATTATTAATTTTTAATGCGAAATAGACTCTACCCTTGATATACGATATAGATGAAAGCTGCATATATGAAATAATTAATTCTTAATTTAGAAAGAAATGAATCAAGGTTTTTTAAAATGGATTAATATGACTCTTTCAACTACTTATAAAAACATTTTTTGTACTTTTAAATTGAAAGAGGTACTTCAAATGTTGAAGTACGGATTTGAACCTTCACATAAATTCTCGTAGACCATCACTGACATCGCAACAATTCTACCGTCTCTATTATGGACATTGTTACAAAAGTACGATAGATCGTTGTAAATATTTTGTAAACAGCAATTAAAAGAAAGACTAATTAATTTATAAACGAATAAAAATAGTATGAATAACATACTGATTTTAATTTAATTATGATTGATGAGTCGAAAAAATCATCATATCGAATAGGAATCTATCATTAAAACATGATATCTAACTTTTTATATATCAGGGTGGTCTTTGGCCTACAATATTTCGTTTTTGGGCAACATGGGCTCCAGCAGCAGAATTAACAACTCTTCTATCATTTCAAAGTTCAGGTAAAATTCCTTAATTGAAGTGCATTAATCTCTTGATAAAATAAAACAATTCCTTTTTTTTATTTTAGGACCATCAATGGGTACTATTGTTTCATTAATAATTGGTGGTCTTTTTTGTACGTTTTCATTAAATGATGCTATTCCATATTTATTTCGATATGGTTGGGAATATTTTTTCTATCTTCTTGGTAAAGAAAATAATTTAATTTAAAATTTAATCTATTAAATTCAATAATATAGGTGGTCTTGGCATTTTGTGGTCAATAGTTTGGCTTATTTTTGCAAGTGATACACCTTCAACGAATACACATATATCAGAAAATGAAAAAGAATATATTCGTTCATGTAAAGCTGCTGAAAAAATTCAAGATACACGAACAGTAATAAGAAAATCTATTATACTCAAGGGGGAAAAAGCGAGACTTCATCTACTTCAAAATGTTTTTGAAGTACAGTGAAGTACTGATGAAGTACCAGTGAAGTAGAATGAAGTAGCTTGAAGTAGAAGTGACGTACGACTGTAGTAGAAGTGAAGTAGGAATGAAGTACAAGTGAAGTACAAGTGAAGTACGGTGAAGTATGACTGAAGTAGCTTGAAGTAGAAGTGGCGTACGACTGTAGTAGAAGTGAAGTGGGAATGAAGTACAAGTGAAGTACAAGGAAGTACAAGTGAAGTACACGGAAGTACAAGTGAAGTACGGTGAAGTATGACTGAAGTAAATTGAAATACCGTGAACTATCGTAGTTCACTGTACTTTACTGACACTTCACTGTACTTCACTTCTACTTCACGGGTACTTCATTTCTACTTCACTTCTACTTCAGTCGGGATTCCATTTGTACTTCAAGCACTAGTGAAGTACCGGTGAAGTATCGATGAAGTACCAATGAAGTACCAATGAAGTACACACTCCTGAAATCTCGCTTTTTCCTTCTTGATTATACTAAATTTATTTTCTCTTTCTATTAGAAAGTACCATGGGGACCAATGTTACGATCACAAGGTTTTTGGTGTATACTTATTTCAATGTTTTTTTGTGATTTTGGTCTATATGGTTTGTTTTGTAGAAATGAGTTATAGATAAGAAAAATTTTCTTCTATATATATTTCTATTAGCTATTTGGGCAGTTGTACCAGAATATATGAATGAAGTTTTATTATTTAGTATTGAAGAAAATGGTTTTCTATCAGCATTACCACATATGGCAAGTTTTGTAGTTGTTTTATCAACTGGTGGTTTAGCAGATTTTATTATAAGAAGAAAATTTTTAAGTCGTGTTAATACAAGAAAATTATTTCATGGTATTGGAACATTATCCCCAGCTATATGTCTTCTAATAATATCATTTCTTGATTGTGAACGACGTTATTCAGCAGTATTATTATTAGTTATTGGAATAGCATTAAAGTAAAACATTCAAAATAAGTTATTTTTAAATTATTTCTTTTTTTTTCTAGTGGTTTTATGATGTCTGGAGGGTATGTTGTTAATGTTGGAGATTTTAGTGGTGTTCATTCAGGTGTTGTTTTTGGTATTTGCAATACGATTTGTAAGAAAATAATTTCATATGAAATTTAATAAAAACAAAATTATAATTAATTCTAGCGTGTATTGGAGGATTTTGTGCACCATATATAACAAGTATTATTACGAAACATGTTTGTATTAGAAAAAATGAATAGTAGAATTGAATTGTTCTCGCTTTATAATTTTATTTAGAAAACACCAGCGGAATGGAAAATAGCTTTTACGCTATATGCTGGATCATTTCTTATATCGGCTATTGCATTTGCACTTTTAGCACGTGGTGAAACAGAACCATGGGCACGAGACGATGTTCATGATGAAAAAATTAATTATGATGTTGATGCTAAGAAAGAATTAATGGAAATGAGTCCAGTTGGCATTGTACCAGACAATCCAGTTGTTTAATTAAAATACAACACAGTGATTTTATAGTAGTAGTTGGTGGAATTTATTTTCTCGATGTTGTTCAGATAAAATGCTCAATTATGTTGACTGCTAGTTTTGCGTTAAACCCCTCCCTCCCGTAATAAAAGACCCAGGCCCTTCTATTATGGTTCCAGAACTTGCAATTTTTTTTTGAAAAAAACGGCCTAGGTGGGTACGACAGTTTTCCCCGATTTTTGCTCAAAGGGGACCTACTATTTCGGGGGAGCCGTCTATTTCGGGGGAGGGGGTTTCTTTTATTCATTTTCTTCCTTTTATTCATCTTATTTTCGTTTTTTTTTTAATGTTTGTGACATGTATGAGCAATATAATAAACTTAATTGAGCATTTTATCAAGCAAAAAAAAAGAAGTCTAACTTTTATTTTGTTTTGGATAAATCTTGAGGGTGTGGCTATGGGTATTTACTTCATCTGCCACTGCCATCCACACCCACCGTCATACCTCTTAATTGATATTTTCATTCGCATCCATTGTACTCAACAGAAATGTCAATAATATATTTTGAGAAGTACGGATGTGAGTTGAAAAACATTTGTCATATCCGGACTTATCAATGAAGTAATAGTAATATATATATAAACGTAATTTATCGATTACAAACAATACATCATATTACGAAGTTATATAAAATTTTAAGTTCGATAGAAATTCTTTTGAAATATATATATATATATGATACTTATCTCAAATAAAGGTACTAATTTAGAGGATTAATTCCTATATTTAAATAAATCTTGAATGACGAATTTGCATTTAACCAAGTAGAGAAAAAGAAGAGAGCGAATTCATAATGTATATGATGTTTGTCTTTGAAAAAAGGAAAAAAAAACCAAACAGACAACAATAATAAACAACAAGAAATACACAAAAAAAGGAATCAGAGAATTTTTGTACATGAATTATAATATTGTATAAAGATATATATACAAAAGTCATTTATATTTATTTCATTTTGTCAAGACTGAGTATACTAATCGGACGATAATATCTGCACATGAATATAAAAAAAAAGAAAAGAAAACAATATCATTCCTGAGGTATAAATTATTTTATACGAGGACCTGATTTATCTCTATCAATCACCGTTTTGCGTAGTTTAAATCCACGTTGAATTTCTTCTAATAATGTTGAATGACTTGTTGTTGATGGTGGTGGTTGTGGTTGTGGTTTTGAATCATCATTAAGCAGAAAATCTGGTGGTGGTGGTGGAAAATCATCATCATTCGTATTTGATTGTGAAACAATAGTTGATGTTACTTTTGTTAGTGTTGTCGATTTTTGTTGTTGAAAATTAATTAGATCAGCTTGACCAGCTATTTCTTCTGCACGTTTCAAACGAGCTTTAAGACGTGATTGTAATTCAATATAACCATTATTAATTTGTTGTTGTTGTTGATGACAATTTGTATTCATTGATGGTGTACGACGTATTGGTGGTGGCGGTGGTTTTTCATTTGAATTTAAAGCAACTGACATTCCTCGACGAAGTGTTTCATTCTTTTGTTGTTGCTGTTGTTGATTCGTTGGATAACTATCTAAAAAAATAAATAAATTTTTAATTGAATATAAGTAAAAATATAAAGACGACATACTTTTTGTTAGATATTCGTACACTAGAAAGAAAAAGAAAATATTAATAATTGAAAAGATTTATTTAAGTAAATGAACGCACTTTCATCGAGTGTCTCATTTGCTGATTCAAATGATGGTCTACCATAATAAGTTCCATATTGTGATGTTGAAATATGACCATTTTGACGTGATCGTTCACGCCATACAATTGTACGTGGATCAAATGCCTATTTTTATGAAAAATTATAAATTTTGAAAATATACACAATAAATGAAGTATTTTCTTACCAGTGTTTCAGATGGTATTGTAGAACTTCGTAAACGTTGATTGATATCCTCTAAAATAATTAACAATTTAATAATATTTATATATATAATGATATTCTTCTTCTTTACAGGAATTACAAATATTCAAAGATATTATGACAAAAATTCTCATTAATCTTAAAACTAGTATAATATTAAACCCATCTAAAGATCTTATTCAAAGGCGCTTAGTTATTACAAAAATATCTTTTTTAATATATATTAAGCTTAGATCTTAAGATGACATTTTCGATAATTATAACCTTATAATCTATTTGAATACAAATATTTAAGATAAAAGAGAATTTATTTGTACCTGGACTATGTCGACTTGTCATTGTACTATAATAATCGGATGGTACAGTTGGTGGTTGAGTAGGTTTAACACGTCCATTCGTAATATTATTCATTGTTGATTGATAATGTTGTTCACGCATAGGTGAATGTCTTTCTAAACTAAGATCACGTATACGACAACGACGAGATGGTACTGAATGTTGACGAGATAATGCACCATATAATCCATCGTCAGAAATCTATATTAAATCGATCTTATTTTTAAAAAAAAATTTTAATTTAAAATACAAACAGTTGTTGCTCGATGATTTGTTTCTTCATAGATTTGCCAATTAGGTTTTTCGAATAGACTCGGTGATGGTGGATCAAATGTATGTGCAGTTATAGCTGGTCGATAAGTTTTTACTGGTTCAGGTGCACCGGTGACTGTTGCCGGATGTTTACAATTAGATGGAATTTCAGGACGTTTTGCCCAAGCATTTAATGTTGAACAAACAACTAATAAAGGACTAGAACTTCCATCGACTTCACGCTAAATGAAATATTTTTTTTAAATATAAATCGAATAATAAAAATTTTAAAGAAATTTACTTCTGCTTCTTCAAGTGGTGAAGGTGGACGCGCAAAGAACTGTTCTTGAGATGTAAATCCTGAATCTTGAGATGATACACTTGATAAACGACTTACAGCAACATTTGACTTCAAAAAAACAAATGTGTAAACAAACAAAAAAAAATAATAATAATATATCCTACCGGCATTGTTAATGAACGATTTGTATTATTTGGATGACAAAATTGATGTTGAATAGGAATCGGTATTTGTGTTTGTAATTGTTGCTGTTGTGGTTGTTGTGTTGGAATTTTTTTATGACTTGGACTACGTGAATTATTTGTTGAATTTGATGATGAACTACTAATACTATTTATTGAACAAACACTTGATTTACGTGAACTTAATGAGCCCGGTGACGATGGTGGAGTCTAGAAGAAATATATATTTTTTTTGTCTAAATAAATTTTTTTTAAAATTACTTTAAATGCAACAATTGTACTGTAATCAATGCCTTTAATATCTTTAATAACTTGTTCACTCGCTATGGGTAAACAATGTGGATCAGTTGTATGTTTAGCTAAATATTGAACAAGATCTTCAATATGACTCATTTCCGATGCAAGTGATATTTCAAGTTCCTAAAAGATAAAAATTTAGCCTTGAAATATTATCGTAAGAAGAAGGAAGAAAAAGGAATTTCTTTAACGGAAATAACAAAAATAAGCATTACATCCGCAAGGAAATTGCTCAAATTTGAAAGACAATTTTCAAACTCTTTCTTCCGTTACATCCGATTATCGAATAGATATCAATCTTTCTGTTTTTTTTTTGTTTCAATTTACCATAACAGGTTTTAATAAAGTAAATAATGTACAAAAACGACTTCGTTCTTCAATCATTGCTGATCTTAATGCTTGTTTTTCACGTTCTTCTAACATGCCATAATAATTTGATACTTCTTGTATTGCGGAATTAAGTTTATTATGTAATATATCATGTTTTGGTACTAGAAAAAAAATGATACATATGTTTTTTGTCAAAGAAAAATTAATTATCTTAAAAATTTACATTTTCGACATTTTTTTTGTAATTTAGCTGTTTCTGTTGCTTTTTTACGTAGTTCATTACGTAATTTTTTATAATCTAAATATAATATAAATAATATAAACAAGATAAAAAAAGAAAATTAATTAAGAAAATACCTTTGAGACCTTTTGCATGATCTTTATCTAAAGTATTGGCTGATTTTTTCCATTCTTCAATACGTTCATTTAATGGTTGAATAAATGTTTCAACTAATGAACTTGTAAATGATTTTAATTTTTGTTCAATTGATTTATGACGTAAAATTAAACGTGTTAATGCTGTACCAATTTCTCTTGTTGCACCTTTTGTATTTGTTGCTAAATCAGCAATACGTTGAAAAGCATCAAGAAAAACACTGAAAGTTGTTATTGTTGATCTAAATAAACAATAAACATAATAATAATAATTTTTTTTAGTTTTTTTATGATTAATGAACACATATGTGCTGCTGATGATTGATCAAATCATTCTTATCATGTCATAAATTGTAAATAAAAGAACGAGAAGAAATAAACTGACATTTGACAAAAATCGATGAAATATACATTAGACAATGAACATTCGAGGCTATGGTATATATTAATAAAAAAAAAGGGTAAGAAAGAATTAATATGTAAATGTCAAAATGCCTATTTTCACATCCTCACGTTCGTCTACCTAGTGTGTCAACTAAGCTGAAGGGCATACATACAATACAATGACCGAACGTTTTACTCTTTCTTTTCATTTATATCGACTAATGATTGTCTAGCTCTCTAGCAGCAATAGTATCGAACATCAGTAATAGTTCAAGTGCTAATTATTTAAAGAAAAAATATTGTGACAGCTGAAGCTAACCGATCTCTCCATCTCGAGAGAAGTCGTTCATTGCGTGCGTGCGTGTACGTGTATCATTCAATTGTCTATCGTGCTTATCAGCGAAGAAATAAAAAAAAATATATATATAGCGCAAGCTATGGACTTTCACAGACAAGACGAAGAGAATCAACTTTATATATTATTACAATAGTAGTTCTGGCAAATGTTTTTTTTGTCACTTTGATCAGGCGAACACAATGAATGCTTCGTGCATGCATATATATATTTTTTCTAACTAATTATAGTTCAATGTAATATTCAAGGTCTCATAACAAACAATTGTAATATAGAAACTTACTTAAGTTGAAGATGCATTTTATTTGCTTTAGATGCTAAATCTTCCCATAATGTTGAACTGTTCTAAAAATAGTAACAAACATATAAAAAAAAAGAATTGTTAACATTCTCTTCTTCTTTTTCGTATCGTAATAATGTGTGAAAAAAAGTCAGATTGTTACAAGAGTAATACGATCAGACAGATTCTTTCTCATATTTGATATATTGTAGTAAAAATCAATTTAGATATTTGCATTATAGCTTAAAAAGACAAGAACTAATATACAACCATCATTCACATATGTTGATGAAGTCCTTGACATTTGAAGATCTCAGTACTAATACGTATTCTATTAAATAGACATGATTCTTATTCGGTTCTTATCTATCGAATAGAAAATTAAAAATTATGATTTATTATTACTAACCTTCATTTCATTGACAATTCCTTGAAATAATGAGCCAAGTACGGCACATTCTTTTTCAGCATTTTCTATAACATTCATTTTTAATATAATAAATTGAACTAGAAGATTAATAAAAAAAAAGAATCCAATATATGCGTTTATGTTAATCACAAATCATTATGTGTATTGTAATATGTCGCGACAATAAAAAGAATTATAATAGGTAATTGACGGTTGATGATTACTAATAGTCTAGAGATTAAAATTGATATTGTTTTGGCATAGTTGTTTGTTTCTATTAATAGATAAATTGAATGGATTTGTTCATCGTATGCATGACGAATAAAAATGAGCAATTGTTATTTTGTATTGTTATTGTTCAATTCTATTTTCTTTTTCTTTTTTTACTACAGAATATAGAAATGTAAACCACAATTTATTCGTATTATTTGTTGTCGATGGAGAAGCAATAGATGAGGGTGATGTTCTTTATGCACACGTCGGTCGATCTCTTTCTCTCTTTACTTCTCTTCTCTAACCGCTACCATCCATCTTTTTTTCCTCTCTTCTAATATATATATACTCTCGTTCATCTAGCATAAATATATACACGTCTCGTCGGCAACGACGGGCGACGGCTGGATTTTCCCCCCTCATTCTCTTCATATGTCAAGAGAAAGACGAAGAAGGAGGAGAAAGAAAAAAACGAAGAGAAGAACGTTGATGAACAATGTTCTTCTCTTATTCGATTGGTCAAATGTGCCATAAAATTCTTTCTCCTGACCGACACTCAGCGCTCGATTAAAGTTCCACTTATAGTACAAGCTGGCTAAATACAGCATAAACAGATGTATACAGAAGGACATTTTACATTATTCTATGAACTAATGAATTCTGATGTATTGACGATGTGAAGAAAAAACATATACATTGACAACAAAAGAAATATATATTTTCTTTGAATAATTATTTTCAAGGCACTAAGTTCATTAGACATGCAATATTTCTATGTATTCTTAACTTAAGTATGAACGTGATTTTGAATGTTTTTTTTTCAAAATTTTAATAATCACAAGTGTATAAATTGTTTTCTTCGATATGGTAGATTAATTTGCAGTATTTGTTGCTTATTTAAGACTCGATCATAGATATCTCTAATCGATCAAGAAACTATGCCCATGTGCGGTTCATTGAGCAATTCTTGTTCGCTACAATGGCATTGATAGCTTTTAAGAGGTACAAAGCTTATACTCATGTGCGCGCGCGCGCCTTTCATATAGTCTTTATAATGCAATAAGAGCAAATGGATCTATTACATAATAAATCATACAATATGAATATATATTGAACACAAGATGTGCAAAGCCTATGTAATAGACAAAAATGAGAAGAATATTTGATGTGTATGTATCTCTCTCTCTCTCTCCTGCGTGTGAGAGAAGAAAAGAATCTGATCAATTGTTAATATGCAATTTCTATTTCTTTATAATTATAACAATTGACAAGAATAATTATAAAAGATGTATTCATATCTTACGAACATAGAACGAAAAGAAACTTTATACTGTTGTGAGAAAAAAAATCGATCATGTCGTAGATATACGACATCTGTGTAAATATAATGATTCGTCATTTACGATTCATCAATAATAATGTAGTTCAAATTCCAAACCAATATCATAATTTAAGCATAACCATTAAGAAGCTTTAGCTTTATCCGACTAGTAGACCTTTCATTAAATATTTTCTCCTATATATTGAAGCGTATCAATGGCTCTTCGCTGTACTTTTCAACAAAGTAGATTTATATTTTTTCTTGAAATCAACAAAAGTCAAAAACATGTAAAATTAATTTTATAGGTTTAATTCATTTACGGAATAATAAGGCACAATGTATTCGTTCATTGGCAACGAATACACCACAAAAACAAGGAACAACAGGTGCTCAACAACAACAACAACAACAGCAACAACAACAACGAACAGCTCCTGCTAGTAGTACAACTTCATCAAATAAAACAAGTACATTAGAAAGAAATCGAATTAATTTAATAAAAATATCGTTTTTCTAGAATCTATCAAAGGCGCTGGTCGTGATGCTGTCTTAATTGATGGTGTTCGAACACCATTTTTACAAAGTTTTACTTCTTATAAAGATTTAATGGGTTACCATTTAGCTCGACATGCTCTTCTGTAAGAGTTGAATATTCTTTACATTTATTATGTATAAATAATTTCGTTTACCTAGTGGTCTTATGAAACGAACAAATGTTGATAAATCTGTACCAGAATATTGTATTATGGGTACAGTAATTCAAGAACTTAATACATCAAATATTGCTCGAGAAGTATGTAAAATGTTTTGTTTTTGTCAAAAAAATATTGGTTAATTTATTTTACAATAGGCTTTACTTAGTGCTGGATTTCCGGATAATATTCCTGCACATACAGTTACAATGGCATGTATATCATCGAATGCTGCTATTACTTCAGCTGTAAATAATATTGCTAATGGTATAAATGATGTTGTTATTGCTGGTGGTGTTGATTTTATGTCTGATGTTCCAATACGTTATCCACGTCCAATGAGAAAATTAATGTTGAGTTTAAATCGAGCAAAATCAGGACCACAACGTCTTGGAATAATAACTAAAATGTTATCATTTAAAAACTTCACACCTGAAGTAAATAGATACTTCTTTTTTTTACAGTTTAATTCTAAGAAATATTTTCTTTTTTTCAATATAGCCACCAAGTATTTCTGAATTTTCAACTGGCGAAGTCATGGGTCAATCAGCTGATCGTTTAGCTGCTGCGTTTAATGTATCACGTCGTGATCAAGATGAATATGCTCAACGTTCACATAAATTAGCTCATGAAGCAACAGAAAAAGGATATCTCGATGATGTAGTACCCATTCATATTCCAGGTGCACAGGATATTGTTTCTCGTGATAATGGTGTTCGTGTGTCAACTATGGAACAATTGAGTAAATTAAAACCAGCTTTTATTAAACCACATGGAAGTGTCACTGCAGCAAATTCATCTTATCTTACTGATGGTGCATCTGCATCATTAATTACATCGGTTGATAAAGCTAAAGAACTTGGATTAAAACCTAAAGCTTATCTTCGGTAAATAAAAAAACAATAATTTTGAAATTATCTATATGTTAATATATCTCTAGACGATATGTATTCACATCTCAAGATCCAAAGGATCAACTTTTACTTGGGTAAGATTTTTGAAGATGTATAAATAAAGAAACCTAATCAATTTTTTTATTGAAGACCTACATATGCAACTGCTAAATTACTTGATCAATGTGGTTTAACATTAAATGATATTGATGTATTTGAATTTCATGAAGCTTTTGCAGTAAGAAGAAATTAGTTTAATAAAAAATAATTCATTATTATTTTGTAGGGTCAAATTTTAGCAAATTTAAATGCACTTAATTCGGATTACTTTTCTAAAAAATATCTTAATCGTTCATCAAAAGTCGGTGAAATTCCTCTTGATAAATTCAATCTTTGGGGAGGTATGTTATATTAGTCTACTAATTTTATAATATGAATTATTGTTTTGTATATTAGGATCATTAAGTATTGGTCATCCATTTGGTGCAACCGGCGTTCGACTTGTCACTACTGCTGCTAATCGATTGATTAAAGAAAATAAACGTTTAGCTTTAATAGCTGCTTGTGCTGCTGGTGGTCAAGTAAGAGAGAAAACATAAAATATTTATAGATTATTGATTATCTTATTTTAGGGTCATGCAATGTTAGTTGAACGTTATCAATAAAAGTCTTCTTCTTTTTTTTATATTCCAGTTAAAACAACAAGAAATCAGTTCCTAACCATTTTTTTAAATGTAAATTTTTTTTTGCATTCAGTAAAGATTAACAAAAATGTATTCAAAATATGCGATTGATTGATAATAAAAAAACAAAGTGATGAAATGCATAAGGATAATTATAGATTCTCCCAACTAAGGTCGAAAGTAAAAATATCGAAGGATAAAAATATCGAAATATGAAAATGATAAGATTTTGGGTGTTCGAAACAACTTAATGGTAAAAATAAAGAAAAACGTTTGAGGGTGGGTGTGAGTATCGGTGTAAATATAGACATGCATCTATATTTAGCCACACCCCCACCCACACTCACCCTCAATTTTATTTCGACATTTTCTCTTTTCGACGAAAGTTGGGATTACCTAATTTTAAACATTATTGCGCCTTCTGTTTATATTTTTTTCTCTTATGTAATGATTAACTATAATTCCAATGAAAATAATTTACATAAATGGCGTCGAATAACAAAACGTATTATACAATTCTTTCGATTTATTAAAATTCCAGTACTTCGTGTACGTTTTCTTAATCGAATTAATCAATTTACATATAAAGAACTGACTGATTATGATACAAATAAAACACATGAAGATTTACTTTTCTTAGATGATATTAAACGGTTTCTATTGAAATAATATCGTAGTTTTATAATGAATTCTTTTAGTTATCAAGAAGTTTTCAATACATTTATATCATTTGGTTTTGTTTGGCAAGATAAAGAATTTCATCTAGCAAAACTTAAAGCCAATTACATTTATGATTATTATATATCCACACCTGAAGCAATTGCAAAAGTATAAAAAATACTTTTATAATTGAGAAAATCTTCATTCTTTTTGTTTTTCGTCAGACAAATATTCCAATAGATACAATTTCATTTATTTCGAATCGAATCAATTCATCTAGAATATTTTCATCATTGATTTATTTGAATTTATTCAATGATGCTGAAAAATTTCTTATGGAAAAATTATTGATGATTTATATGCGGTATTGAATTATTATATATTCTAATAAATATATTTTTCTTCTTAGTGAAGATTTAAATTGTTTTACTATCATAACAAAAAAATTATCAATACCTATTTTAAATCAATTTACAACTGACGAAAAATCAAAATCTATACGTTCGAATATTAAACCTCAATATGATGAAATAATGATACCTAATTGGACTTATTCAACTGGTTTAGGGTTTGTTTATAATCCAGTTCGAGAGAAAAATAAAAAATTAATTAAAAGAACTATTCGAAAAACAACAAAAGATGTTGATTCAATGATAAAACTCAATCATAATCCTTCAGTAATAAATATTTCATAACAATTATATTATTATATCTTTATTAATATATATATATAGAATGAAATAAATTTATTGAATTCAACATTACCTACTTCCTTAATAAGTATTGATCATTCATCAAAACCTATTTCTTATAATAATCAACAAGATATTAAAAATCCTAATACACGAAGAAATTCATCTTCATATGGCTATCGATGTAATAATGTTTTTAATAAATATACATTTGACAAAAGACAATTTTCACAAAAAATTTTTATATGCAAAGTACATTCGTCTTCATTATCGTATGATTTTCATGGGTCTATAGCTAAAAATAAGACACCCTACAGAATGGCATATAAACAATAAATTTCGTTACTGAAATCCATTAGTACAATTTACAAAGAATGAAGATCAATAACTCAAGTTCCTTTTCAAATACTCAGTTTTACTATGAATCTATTAAAAACATTTTAATAAATGAAACTTTTCAATCTGAAGCCTAACAGTTTACAAGACTTTATTAATTATCATTGTAAATAAAAATACATATAATTATTTGAGTGAGAAAAACAAAAATTCATATCGACGTATCGTCGAATAAATCAATATTTTCAAATAGATATTACAATTTAAATATATATACAGTGAATAATGAGTCATTATAGGACTAAGATACTACTATCATTTGGCATGATATAGTATAATCGATTACACTAAATCTTCCCCTGCGGGTGTGGTTGTGAGTCTAGGTATTGAATTTGAGTTAAATGAAGATAGGCTCCCACACCCACATTCTCAAGATGTATCTTGATGAAGTAAGTGCGTATTGAAGATGAACATTCACACCCTACAAAGTAACAATCCATAAAGAACTACATGAAAAATTATGTATTAGGTTAATTTGTCAACTAACAAAAATATCTGTAATGTACGCGCGAAACTTATAGTTGTTCATTTATAAATTCCACTAAAATGCTTTACAATATTATTATTATTATTATCCTCTCTGTCAATTGTGTTGTTTACACATTACGATGTTATGGAGATAACACATGTGATTTTCAGATTAAATTTAATGAATCTTTTCCAGCACAACATCTCTGGCCTCAAAATTGTCGTTTAAATATACAAGAAACCGATGTAAAACAATGCAGGTGTTCATTTTCCATCGATTATGAAACACAAACAACTTACATTTTCTTAGAAGCTGATACTTATATGCACCATCTGTATAATTCTCTTGGAACAACTTTACCTATAACTAGAGTGTCGCTTACGAATGCTTTCAGGTATAATAAGGTATTTATTTTTATTATTCTATATTCTCTAGTTTCATTTAATATATATTAGCGGGAATTATCATTGTATATTATATCCAGTTGTTACATATCCGACTTTTGCATTATGGATGAAATCCATCGCCTTCTTCTATTATTCAGCACCATGAAAGGTCGTTCCTTAAAAGTGTGGGATGAAATCGATAATTTATTGTTTCAATTTTCGCCAGCCACTGCAGTTATATCATGTTTTGACAGTCAAAACAATGCATCTTCTCAATGCTCTGGATCGAAACATCATAATTGTTTAGCAACACTACCACAATTGAACTCATCTGTAGACGCCAGATGTGATGCAGTGCTAGTAAGCTTATTTCATATACATGTTTAATATTCGTATTTGATTTTCTAGACAGCAGACGATGTAAAAGTAGAAATCGATTCATCATATATTCAGGAACTAACTAAGCTTAATGAAGTAGAACGTAATTGGAGAATTGTATGCAATCAAAGTAATTGTAATTCAAAAGAAATCTATACAAAAGTTATCGATTTATCTTATCAATTTATTGATGGCACATTCAAAGATTTTATTCTTTTTCCTAATATTACCGTCCATTTCGACAATAGTACCATATTTACCATGCATTCCAAGAATAGTACCAACATACCTACTAATAATATTATTCCATTAGTCAGTCGATCTAGTCGAAATCAATTCTTTGTATTACTATTCAGTATTATGTTCCTAATTTGAATAGTAATCGTCAAGTTTTTGTTTCTTTTTTATTGAGATTTAGTTAAAACGCATTGTCATTCATATTTATCGAAAAGGATATCGAGACAATAATCAATTATTATTTTAATGATTCATTCATTCCTCCACAAGTGTGGATATGGGGTGTATATAATAGTCATAGTCCCATCCATACTCACACCAAACACTCGAAATCAATGTTGTTAGACTGTTATTTAATCATTCTAATGAAAAATAAACAAAAAGTTAAATAAAAAAAAACAAATCATAAACTCATCCTTCCAATGAGCATCAATTACTACCTTGTTTTTATTCACTTGATAGTCGTTTTATTTGTGATGGGGTGCGTTTAAAACGAATGGCGGATTGTCTCATCCCATTCGAAGTCCTGTCAATCATCTAACATTAAACTCTACCAATGTAAGAAAAAACAAATTGTGTAATACGTTTTACTTTTTTAGAGTGAAAGAGCAAACATTAGCTCGTTACTTCACTGACACCTTAAAACATAATATTTCATTTTTTAAGAAAGGCATACATCTTGAGGATGTGGGTGCGTATAGCAGATGAACATCCACATCTTCCAAAGTAATAATCCATAAAGAACTACATGACAAAATGTGCATTAGGTTAATTTGTCAACTAACAAAAATATTTTAAATTCACGCGCGAAACTTTTAATTATTCATTGATAAATTCTATTAAAATGCTTTACATTATTATTATTATTATTCTCTCTGTCAATTGTGTTGTTTACACATTACGATGTTATGGAGATCCAAAATGTCACTTTATTATTAAATTTAATGAATCATTTCCACCAGAACATCTCTGGCCTCAAAATTGTCGTTTGAATATAAAGGAAATCGATATAAAACAATGCAGCTGTAGGTTTTTTATCAATTATATAACACAAACAACTCAGATTATGTTAGAGGCTGATACTTATATGCACCATCTGTATAATTCTCTTGGAACAACTTCACCTATAACTAGAGTGTCGCTTATGAATGCTTTCGAGTATAATGAGGTATTTAATTTTATTATTGTATATTCTCTATTTTCATTTAATATATATTAGCGGTTATTGAAGCTCAGTGTTACATCCCGTTGTTACACATCGAACTTTTGTATTATCGATGAAATTCATCGTCTTCTTCCAGTATTCAGCACTATGAAAGGTCGTTCCTTGAAAGTGTGGGATGAAATCGATAATTTATTGTTTCAATTTTCGCCAGCCACTGTACTTATCTCATGTTTTGATAGTCAAAACGATACATCTTCTCAATGTTCTGGATCGAAACATCATAATTGTTTAGCAGCGCTACCACAATTGAACTCATCTGTAGACGCCAGATGTGATGAAGTACTGGTAAGCTTATTTCATATACATGTCTAATATTCGTATTTGATTTTCTAGACAAAAGAATTTGTACATGTAATAATTCGATCATCATATATTCATGAATTAAGCGGACTTAATGAAGTAGAACATGGTTGGTCAATTCTATGCAATCAAAGTAATTGTAATTCAAAAGAAGTCTATACAAAAGTTATCGATTTGTCTTATCAATTTATCAATGTCACATTCAAAGATATGATTCCATTAGTCAGCCGATCTAGTCGAAATCAATTCTTTGTATTATTATTCATTATTACATTCCTAATTTGAATAGTAATCACCCAGCTTTTGTTTCTTTTTATTAAGATTTAGTTAAAACGAATTTTTATTCATTATTCTTTTCATTTTTTTTTATTCATATTTATCGAAAAGAATATCGAGACAATAATTAATTATCATTTTAATGATTTATTCATTCTTATACAAGTGTGGGTGTGAGGTGGATATAATAGTCATAGTCTCATTCACACCGCACCCTCAAGATGTGACTGACTAAATATTATAGTTATAATAACAGAATGTGATTTCTGAACATACTCTTTAATAGTTTTAATTTTGTCAAATAATATTATTTTATTAATAGATTTCAAATAATCCTTTAACTTAGATTGTATTTGTTTTAAATTAAAAACGTTATCGAAATGAATATGTAAAATAACATCTTATGTTTTATTTCTTAAACCTGAGAAATTTCAAGTGGACAGAATCGAATCAAGATTTCTTGTTTCTTTTGAATTTGAAATCTACGGTATCGTAATTTCGATTCTAAACAATGAAATTCATTTTAATCCTTTTTTTCTACTATAGTCGCTATGGGGACTATTTTATAAAGATTTATTTTCTTGAACCATGAAAAGGTTTAAAAACAGAATTATATGAACTTAAAATCTGTCTATTGTAGACTTTAAATCAACAATTTATATTTAGTCTTTATTATGAAAATAACTTTTTTAATTTTTGTTAAATCTATAACGTTATGTTAGATACTATACAATTCATAAGAAAGATACGGTTCAAACTTTTTCTGTGTATTCTAGAGATCTCAAGATTGGTGTTATCGAGTGAATTAAATCATTCAGAATCGTCAGATTTAGATACGTGCAAGAAATGGTTAGTTTGTAGAGATATTTTGTAAGTTTACACTTTTGTAAATATAGTTGTAGATCAGAGATCATAATGAGGCGGCTTGTAAGCTGTATCCTCGAAATTTCCTCGACTTGAAACTTTGTCAGAAAAATATTATAGTATAAAGAACATAGGCTTACTATATCATTACTGTCACTCGTGGTTACCTAAAGATAATATCATAGCAGCGGCACCCATAACAATAATCAGCAAATGAAATGAACTTCCACGTAAGAAAAAGAAAACCTTTTTTGATGCAATTAATGAGTGATGAAGTAACACATCCACGATCTACAAGAACAACCAAAGATGGGTGTGGGTGCGCGGGTGTGAATATTAAATAAATAAAGAAGCGACACTCATACCCACACCCACCCTTGACGCGCCAGATTCTTTTTGTTCATTCTTTCGTAAATTATTTTAGCATCAATAGACGCAAGAATATTCAAGAAAACTTTGTAGCGCCATGAACAATAAGAAACGTACTAATTTGCGATTGCATGGGACATAGATTCTTATAACTAATACCGTAACGACGTTCAGGAATTGCAAAAATACATGCAAGTACGATTTGAGCGACTAATACGTTTGATGAATAGTATTTTATTGCTTTTTCGAGACGTTCTTCGTATTTTGAACGACTTGGTAGAATAGTTTGAGTTCCATCAGCTATATTTGTAGACTCATTAGTTGAAAAAACTTGAGTCGTTTGCATCGTGAGTGTATTTCGTTGACTGAATATCAGATGTGCACGATAAAAATAGAAAAATATATGCAGTCAACCGTGCATCATAACTCAAAATCGTTTTTCGTATGTTAATGAGAAGAAACGTAAGCGTCAGTGAATTATGTTTTTCTTTGTGCATAAGATTCATAACTCGAAGCTTTAACAATATATTAACTAATCGCTTGAACAGGATTAAAGAATCTAATAGATCGTTGCTAGAGATATTCGATTATAATTTGATGACAAATGGATTAATTTAGTATTCTGAAACAATGTAGAACGAAGTAGTGCGATACATATTTCGATCTATACGGAAGAACTACTCACCTATCCCATCATTCATTTAAATAAGATCACCACAAGAGAGAAACTTAATATTTTTAAGATACATTTAACCCTTAAAAGCCGAAGGGGGTTCCTGTGAAGTTCAGGTAGAATTAATCATATAAATAGAGATTTTGGGCCCTCAATATGCACTTACCGTGGTTAGAATTGCTGGGTGTGACTAAAAAATTTTTCCACCCAGATGGCCTGGGTGGAATATGACCTTCATAATTTTTTGTGCGCTTGAGTTTCTAATATGGTTCAGAATCACTGTAAGTTCATTCTGATGATATTTTAACATATCTCGAATTATCTTTTGAGCGAAAAATTCCGAATAATCGTGATTACTATGCCCAAAAATGTCATTAAAAGGGTACTTTTTCTATAACGTCAGAATACCCTGGTAGAAGAGTTAAAAGTGTGCAAAGTTGTTCTAAACTATAGTTTAGGATTACTTCTAATGATATCACTCAGAATCTATATTGTATATATCAGGATATATCAATATCCGAGTAACCAATTGTGCTTGGAAAATTATACATTCTAAGAGCTAGGTTTGGGCGTTTGGCAACTGTTTGACAACGGTTTTAGCATAATGTTGTTCCATCATACTTTCACTATGACTGTCTTCGTCCTTAAAAACAGTAGCTTTAGCAGAAAAGACTTTATTCCTTCGTTCTTTAGCGTTTAATGCAATGTCCATTGGAAAGGACATACGGCTTTTAAGGGTTAAGTGCGATGTTTTTGTCTTGTATTAGCTGTGCACTTGTGGTTCAAATTTTGTTTCATTTTGATATCCAAACCTGACAGAAAAGAAAAGAAACTTCCTTGGTACACACTCTATCTGTCGCCTATACGTTTATAAAGATGACGTTAATATCAGGCAAATATATGGACAAAAAAAAGAGTCAAGATATCCTTTTCTCACTGAAAATCAATTAAAAACGAACTTGTAACGAGATATGTGCGTTAACGAGCAACTTGTCATTTTATTTTTGTTAGAAAGAAAAACGATGAACCATTTACGTCATTTATTTTTCCTTTTGACAGCAGACTTCAAATGAAAGGGACGAAAACGCATAAGATCACAAATCGGTTCACTGACGTTTTTAGGTCAACCATTTTAAGCAGGTCTCAAAACGTGTTTACTTTCCTGATTTATTCTGACCTGCCAATATAGACCCTTTCTTTTGGTGTTACTATAATATTTTGAATATTCTTAGACGAACCCTTATATAGACGAGTGTTGAATTTCTACCCATGGTGGATCAGGGTGTGGATTGAAGAGGAACTCAACGCTCACACTCACACCCACATTCCCGATTTAATTGAATTAAAATGAAATTTAGAGTCAAGAAATGAGACATCATATGTTATTATAATAATTACAGATGGTGTATTTTGTTCTCGAAAATATCTCTTCAATGCAGTCTAAACGTCGAATATGATTGTATTATATATTCATCAGTACGAAATTGATATTTACTTCGCAATAAATCTTTAAAATTTGAATTTATTATTATTTTGTTTTAAAAATTGAATCAAAATTAAACTGAGTTTTTATCCTAGTACTCTGTTGCACCTGCTGGTATATAATATTGTTGAAAAACTCATTTCGAGAGAGGCGCATCTCGTGAAGTGTCTACATATAGAAAAGAACATAAATGCGAGACAAATGCAAATACAACGAGAATCACCGTGTTATTTAGCAATGCATCAACAAGTAGTTGTACACCAATAACTTCGATTCTACAGTGATCAAGATCCAGTATGGTGAGTGTCTAAGTGTAAAACAAAGACGAATATAAGAGAGAACGAAAAGCAGGATGAGAATTACTCTATCATTTCGCAAAGCATTAGCAATATGTTGTGCGCCAAGTGCACTGATATTTCTGAGTTCATTATAGTCCTTACGGGCAATAGTCTATGTGGATAGAAGAAAAGGAATATGAGAGAAAGGAAAATAGGATAACAATGACCATATCATGCCGTAAGACACGTGGAATATATTCCGTACCAGCAACGTTGGATGCATTGTAATAAAGGTCTAGTGTAGTGAGTGTCTATGTGTAAAGAAAGAGATCAATATGAGAGGGGTAAAAATAATATGAGAACTATTGTATGATGTCATAATGCATCTGCGAGATATGGTATTCTAACCATTTCAACATGTTTTTTTAGAGTGTTTCGGAAATTTTTCTAAAAATAGCAAAATTTTTATGAATTCGTGCAAAGTTTTGAAATGTTTACTGTATTTTTAGGGCTTATATCGGATTTTAGAAGTTTCCATAGAATTTGTGAGATTCTTTTGATATTTAGAGTATTATGTGAATGTCGATCGTAACGTCAAAATTAAGAGAGACATAATGCCTGAACTTCTAATATTTATATAGAATGATCAGTAGCAATCAATTGATTCGGTAGTATTTAGTTCAAATATCAGTATTTTATAGTTAGTTTAGTTAGCATTGATTGACTACTGGAAGATCGAAGATAATATTACTGATGATTTGGAAGGTATTTGTTATTGGAAAATGCCTAAAGCAGTTTTTATTGTAAAATCTTATTTAAAACCAATTATGGTTTTTCAGAAAAAGACTTTGATGAGATACTTTTGATGTCGATGAATCTATGACCCTATGTTGTCTATATGCGAGAGCAAAGAAAACGCCTTCATGGAATCTGGTTGGTGTGAAGAAATAGCGAGAAAACGAAATTGTGTTGAATATCAAGAAGTTTTGATTAAAGGGTTTTAGGTTGTAAATGACGTAATATTGAGGTGTGGCGTATATCTCTCAGTATTTATGGAAATTTCTTTTTTTTATAGAATACAATCAACTACGGAATACTATCATATGAAATCAATTAAATAGTATATTTTCCTGAAAATCATGAGATATTAGAAATATAATAAAAATATAACATCACAATAAATCTGACAATTACCTTATATGGATGATACGTATCTATAATGGCGTCTAGTCTTGCGCAGATATTGCGACATGACCAAAACATTTGTATTAGATCGAGATTATCAAGAATTCGATAAACTAGCTCGACCGGTAGCGTATGCAGGGAAGAATTCATCTTTGAAGGAATTAATAGTGTTGCTTGTAAAATGTGAATATTTCAATTAAATGTATATGATTTTGAGGTACTCTGTCATATTTTATATATTCTACTGTGTATTATATGTCATTGGATTTTTTGTGATGGTTTAGTTTCTTATCTTTCTACGTAACTAAAAAATGTGATAAGAACAACACAAAAAGGTTTATGACAGAAATAGTCACATGTTATTTTAGAAAAACACAAAGCAAATGTTTTGAACAGAATAGAAAGTTAACGAGTGGATATGATGAACAGATGTATTTATAATTCTGGTCATTTTCTCACTACTACAATATGATATATATTCACAGTGAAAAATATTTCGATTATGATCGATTTATCTATAGGAGAGAAGGTCCTATCTTAAACATCCTCTCAAATTTTGTCAGTTCTGTAGAGGCAATACCCGAAGGTAAGAATATCACAGTAACTTTTAGATTAAATAAGGTCTTATAACGGGTGTGGGTGATGGATTCAAAACATTCCACTCACTCACATCCTAATTTGAACAAATTAATAAATAACCACGAATACTAGCGAATTGGAAAAGCTTATCAATCCTTGCACTATTTCTGTTTTACCAATGTATGAATATGTTCCTAGGTTCCTGTTTCAACCATACAAATAATCTCATCCACTCAACTTGTATCTATCGACATATCTAGTATTTTCTAATGATTATCATGTTCTAATATATCTCATTACAATATTTCAAGCAAGAACTCTTGCAACAAAGATTTGAATTTGGCCAATGCATGACATAAGCAAACATTGCTTCTTTTTTCTTCTATTCACTCATGTTAGTTGACTATGTATCATAATACCGTTCTCTGATATTAATCGATGAACTGGTATTTTTCCAAATTTTGAATACGTTCCACTACTAGTGTAATATGCAAATATACCCCATGAAGGTACTCACTAGGGTGTGTGTGTGGGTATTGCTTTTGAGTTATATGAAGTCAGACCCCACACCTACACCCACGCCCTCGTGTTATATTTGAAAAATATGTAGATATGGTTAACTTATATTATAGTATTTTAGTAAATCACCATCTTGAGCGTGTGGAAGTCTACCTTCACATAACTCAAATCCAATACCCACACTCCCAAGATGGTAATAATCCATAAAGAACTACATGACAAAATGTGTATTAGGTTAATTTGTCAACTAACAAAAATATCTTTAATGCACGCGCGAAACTTATAATTATTCATTGATAAATTCTATTAAAATGCTTTACAATATTATTATTATTATTTTCTCTGTTAATTATGTTGTTTACACATTAAGATGTCATGGAGATGCCACATGTCGCTTTATTATTAGTTTTAATGAATCATTTCCACCAGAACATCTCTGGCCTAAAGATTGTCGTTTCAATATAAAGGAAACCGATGTAAAACAATGCAGCTGTTATTTTGAAGTCGATTATGAAACACAAACAACTGAGATTAGGTTAGAGGCTGATCTTTATATGTACCATCTGTATAATTCTCTTGGAACAAAATCACCTATAACTACAGTGGCCCTTTCTAATTATTTCCATCAGAATAAGGTAATTATTTTTATTATTGTATATTCTCTATTTTGATTTAATACATATTAGCGGGTATCGAAGTTCACTGTTTCATCCCGTTGTTACACATCAACTTTTTGTATTATCGATGAAATTGATTATCTTCTTCAAGTATTCAGTACTAGGACAAGTCGTTCCTTAAATGTCTGGGATGAAATCGATAATTTATTGTTTCAATTTTCGCCAGCCACTGCACTTATTTCATGTTTTAATAGTCAAAACAATACATCTTCTCAATGTTCCGGATCGAAACATCATAATTGTTTAGCAACACTACCACAATGGAACTCATCTGTAGACGCCAGATGTGATGCAGTGCCAGTCAGATAATTTCATATACATGTTTAACATTCGTATTTGATTTTTTAGACAGCAGATGATGTAAAATTAAAAATCCGTTCATCATATATTCACGAATTAACTAAACTTCATGAAGTAGAACGCTATTGGACAATTTTATGCAATCAAAGTAATTGTAATTCAAAAGAAGTCTATACAAAAGTTATCGATTTGTCTTATCAATTTATCTATGGCCCATCCAAAGATATAATTCCATTAGTGAACCGATGTAGTCGAAATCAATTCTTTGTATTAATATTCATTATTACATTCCTAATCTGAATAGTGATCATTCAGTTCTTGTTTCTTCTTTATTGAGATTTAGTTAAAACGAATTTACGTTCATTATTCTCTTCATTGTATTTTATTCATATTTATCGAAAAGAATATCGAGACAATAATCAAGTATCATCTTAATGATTTATTCATTCCTACACAAGTGTGGGTGTGAGGCGGATATAATAATCATAGTCTCACCCACACTATAATAGTTGAGGTTTCATTCTAACTATGACAAAAACTTCGGTTTACAAAAATCCTAATAGATTAATATTTGCATAGAAGCCTATAGAAAATCAGCATATTGCTCGCTGAAACTCAGTACATTCTGAGCGAATTCTGCTCATCTTGAAACTCGACCGAGATATTGATGAGATAATGTTGTGGACAAAATTTCATGACACTCAGGTTAGTCTTTTAGGAATTATCGTGTAAACGGCCGGATACACTGACCAATTCTACAGTATAATCACTTTTTGAATTCACAAAAAAACATTTAAAAAAAACAAAACTACAAAAAGAACTATTATTTATTAGTTAGTTTTCGAGTTTCATTTGCATTCATTCTTGTTATTGCTTCGTTTTGTCTTCATATAACCATCTAACCTTCACTTCCATTATCAGACAAGGAGACAAGTGTCACTATCTGACCATGAAAAGCTTTCCACAATTCCAAACATAGTTTTTCATTAGAAATATCGATCGTTACAGAGTCTTTACTACCATATACTATAATGTTGTTATCAGAAATGCAAACAACAGTTCCCTGCAGAAATGCCGAAAGAGTTATAACAGGAAGCCACATAGTTTTATTTGTATGCATAAATACGTTGATAAATATGTCTTCTGGGAAGGTTCTCAGGCAAACTAACCCAACTTCGTTAATAAAATCAAAAAGCTGTGAAACTGTATTGGAGTCGAATTGTATCATTTTTGAGAATGAGAGAATCCTTGCAAGTGTCCTCACACCATGACGTCTTGAAGTATACTCATTACAGTAAAGTAATGTTGCCAGTAAACTGCTAACATCTTGAGGGTGTGGGTATCTATGTTCTCTTGACCCACATCCACCCTTGACGAGAGTACTTTCTTTTATCTTCTAATATAAAAAATTAATAGTTTGCTATTCAAAACCTTTTCCTTACACATAAGTTGTCTATAGATCCCCTCAAAAAACGTTTTGAAATATTTTTTCGCCGCTTATAAAAGATGCTTCATAAACTCGTATTTTAATTTTAGCTGTTAGTTTATTAAAGATGTTATGGATTAATCTTTTTTTTTGATGAACAATAGTCATTTAACTACCCAAATTTTCGCCACCGGTGATGAGAACTTTGCCTGAATTGAGTAGAGTTGCAGTATGAAAAGCACGTTTTATTGCCAGTTTTTCAGTACGTACCCATGTGCCTGACGATGGATCATATATTTCAGAACTATCAAGATTACCCAAACCTCCGTAGCCAGCAGTGGCAAGAATTTTATTTGAATTGATTAGGGTTGTAGTATGAGAAGAACGTGATGCTGTCATGCTATTAGTATTACTCCATTTGCCCGTTGATGGATCATATATTTCACAACTAGCCAAATAGTCAGCATCTCCTACGCCACCACTGACAAGAACTTTGCCCGAACTGAGCAGAATTGAAGTATGAAATCGACGTGCTGTTGTCATACTTGCAATAGTGTCCCACTGATCTGTTGACGGATCATATATTTCAGAACTAGCTGAATACATAGCTAATTGGAGACCACCAGTGACAAGAACTTTTCCTGACTTGAGCAGGGTTGCAGCAGAATCATAACGTGCTTCTGGTCCCATGCTGACAGGAGAGCTCCACCGGCCTGTTGATGGATCGTATATTTCAGAATTAGCCGCACCACTGGTGACAAGTACTTTGCCAGAATTGAGTAGAGTTGCAGTATGACCAGAAAGTCCTGTTGTCATGTTTGCAGTAGGGCTCCACTTGTCCGTTAATGGATTATATATTTCACAACTAGCGATACCAGCGTCAATACCATAGCTCGTGCCACCAGTGACAAGAACTTGGCCCGAATTGAGCAGAATCGCAGTATGTGCAACACGTGGTGTTACCATGCTTCCTGCAGTGTGCCATTGGCCGGTTAATGGATCATATATTTCACATCTAGTCATATAACCGGTATATCCCACGCCACCAGCAACAAGAACTTTGCCCGATTTTAGCAGAGTTGCAGTATGAGATTCACGTGGTGTTGCCATGCTTGCAGTAGTGTTCCATAGTTCCAATGATGGATCATATATTTCAGAAATAGCTATAAAATTAGCTAGTTTGTGACCACCAGTGGCTTTGTACGAATTGAATAGAGTCGCAGCATGAATATGATGTACTGTTGCCATGCCTGTACGATTATTCAGTTGTCCTTAGGATAAAAACATTACAGTAGAAATTAATCTTCTACTCGCTAGAGAATGTCTCATCATGTGGAGCTAACAGCAGCATTACTTGGATTTCACGATCTGTGATATATATATATATATATAGGACTGTCTTTATTTCAAAGATTTCTACTTTCATTTGAAGAGTTGTAAAAGAGGTACATATCAAAGCCGTCATTGCGGAATCAATAATCGAAATCCTGAATACTCGACGATCACTCGGAAATCCCTAAAATTCTGACACGGATTCACTTCAAGCCATTACCCTCACATTCAAGATAGTACATTCTCTATAGATTCAATTCGTGTTCTTCAAACTTAAGATTAACTGGAATGATCCTTATAGTTTTACTAGTACACATACCTGAGTCAACTCCATTGAAGACGCTAAAACAAAATGAAAATAATATTAAAACAGTTGTTAAGTCCATTCCTATAAGCAAAACAACTGTATCAAACGAATAAATCATTTACCTTAGTTAGTCGGAAATAACTATAAACACATGTGTTCTGATCTGATAGAATATCAAAACAAAACATCTTTCCTGCAATTCTACACATTGCTCGAAATTATTTGTATGTATCTGTCACCAGTACACGGTCTGAGAGTATAGTTTCATTGAATGAATTCAATACAGGCAATCGACGTGCACATTTAGTACCTGAAATAGCTAACGACACACGTTTCTTGTACAGAATATCTCAACTTAAAAACTTGTGAAAATCAAATTATTTATTCAATTAATATGGAGAAAAGAATATTTTCTAACAAAATGAGATGTCTCGAAACTCTTTGTTTACGAAATAAAAGAAACATAGGAAACACTGTTTTTCAAGCTTATTTCAGAAAATATAGTATTTTCCTTATATTTTGTAAACAGAGAAACATACAGAAATGTTTGCTTTACAATTCTAGACGTTTCGTAAAATTCGTAACACGAAGTTTATTGCGCTAGCAAAGTTAGTTAGCCGCATTGAATAAGTACTTACATCGATGTTAACAAGGAAAGTGCAACAAGATAATTCATTGACATCATCCGAAAAGCAAAACTTTGTTTTTTTTCAATAATAAACACTGTGATAGGAAAATCAAATGAAATAGAGCTAAGCAGAAAAGAAAGTATATTTAACGTCTCTCAAGAATGACATATGCAATAATAATATGACATGTTTCAATTTTCTCATATTGATAACATTCATTTTTTACAATAAAATAAATTTCATTGTTCTTGAAACGCACAAAACTAATAAATAGATCATGTCATTGATTTCAAGGGCGATAAAATAAAACAAAAGTCATCTGTGATGAAGCATTGTAGGGTGAGTTTAAAATAGAATGATTCAAACCTACTTACGATGGGTTTCGTCTTTGCTGAAGAGATTCATCAACTAAATTGGATATCGTATATACTCTGCACATCGATCTATAATCTCAGGTCAAATTATACGAATCTTGAGGGTGGGTGTGGGTGTTGAATTTGAGTAATGTGAAGACAGATTCTCACACCCACACCTTCAAGATGGTGATATACTAAAATATAATAATGTAAGTTAAATCATATCTATATACTTTTTAAACATAACATGATCGGTGAACTTATGTCATAATCCATCACTGAACTCAACTTAACAGAGAATAGAATCGGTGAACATGGACCATAGCATCTGACCGATAGTTGGGAGAACAACATGGTGTTTTTTTGTTTCCTTGAACAATCATATTTAGCTCTCTTTTTAAACATATTCAGATGTTAACTAAACTGTCTCTTGATCAAAATTCGATCGATAAAATGTGAGCTAAATATTTAGCTGAAAGTCTACTCAAGAATACGGTATCTCTCTTAATCTTTATCATGTTTCTTCATCCTTAGTTTTTACTCATGCAGACGCTCATTATACTTGAACACGATCACAATGAAATCATCAACGAGAGAACAAAATATTTTGCAGATGTTCTCGAGTATAGTACGATATGTATAATTCGCATGCATTCTTAGTTACTTTCAAGCACATACTCGTATTATATTCACGTATATGCATTTTCAGAAAAATAAAGTCAGTAGTTTATCGTTTGAACTATCCTATTGCTAAAGACCTCAATGAGCATTTTTTTCATATTTAGCCGATACAGAGTATAATCCTCTGCAAAAATGAACTGTCAGTCAAGTTGAAAACAAAATTTTTAACTGAAAAAATTCGAATTCAATGTTGTTAGACTGTTATTTAATCGTTGTAATGAAAATTAAACAAGAAGTCGAATAAAAAAACACAAATCATAAACTCATTCTTGCAATGAGCATCAATCAATACTTTTTTTTTTATTCACTTGATAGTCGTCGCATTTATGATGGGGTGCGTTTAAAACGAATGGCGGATTGTCTCATCCCATTCGAAGTCCTGTCAATCATCTAACATTAAACTCTACCAATGTAAGAAAAAACAAATTGTGTAATACGTTTTACTTTACTACAATGAAAGAGTAAACATTAGCTCGTTACTTCACTGACACCTTAAAACATAATATTTCATTTTTTAAGAAAAGCATACATCTTGAGGATGTGGGTGCGTATAGCAGATGAACATCCACATCTTCCAAAGTAATAATCCATAAAGAACTACATGACAAAATGTCAAGGGGGAAAAAGCGAGACTTCAGGAGTGTGTACTTCACTAGTACTTCATCCGTACTTCATCGGTACTTCACCGGTACTTCACTCTACTTCACCCGTACTTCACCCTACTTCACCGATACTTCACTCATACTTCACTGGTACTTCAATGTACTTCAGTTGTACTTCACTATACTTCACTAGTACTTCACAAGTACCTCACTAGTACTTGAAGTACAAATGAAATCCCGACTGAAGTAGAAGTGAAGTAGATGTGAAGTACAATGAAGTACCAGTGAAGTAAATTGAAGTACCAGTGAAGTACCAGTGAAGTAAATTGAAGTACCAGTGAAGTACCAGTGAAGTAAATTGAAGTACCAGTGAAGTACCAGTGAAGTAAATTGAAGTACGATACTTCACGGTACTTCAGTCGTACTTCACTTCTACTTCAATCTACTTCAATTTACTTCACATCTACTTCGATCTACTTCACATCTACTTCACTTCTACTTCAATCTACTTCACATCTACTTCAATCTACTTCACCTGTACTTCAATCTACTTCAATCTACTTCATTCTACTTCAGCCGTACTTCAATCTACTTCGCTCGTACTTCAAAAACATTTGAAGTAGATGAAGTCTCGCTTTTTCCCCCTTGCAAAATGTGCATTAGGTTAATTTGTCAACTAACAAAAATATCTTAAATGCAGGCGCGAAACTAATAATTATTCATTGATAAATTCTACTAAAATGCTTTACATTATTATTATTATTCTCTCTGTCAATTGTGTTGTTTACACATTACGATGTTATGGAGATGCAACATGTCGATTTAAGATTAATTTTAATGAATTATTTCCAGCAAAACATCTCTGGCCTCAAAATTGTCGTTTAAATATAAACGAAACCGATGTAAAGCAATGCACCTGTTATTTTGAAGTCGATTATGAAAAACAAACAACTGGCATTACCTTACTGGCTGAAACTTATATGCTCAATCTGTTTAGTTATCTTGGAACAACTTCACCTATAACTAAAGTGCTACTGCACAATTCTTTCAATTATGATAAGGTATTTATTTTTATTATTCTATATTCTCTAGTTTCATTTAATATATATTAGCGGATATCGGTGTTCTCTGTTTCATCGAGTTGTTACACATCGAATTTTTGTATTATGGATGACATCCATCATCTTCTTCTATTATTCAGCACCATGAAAGGTCGTTCCTTAAAAGTGTGGGATGAAATCGATAATTTATTAGTTCAGTTTTCGCCAGCCACTGCACCTATTTCATGTTTTGATAGTCAAAACAATACATCTTCTCAATGTTCTGGATCGAACTATCAGAATTGTTTAGCACAACTACTACAATTGAACTCATCTGTAAACGCCGGATGTGATGCAGTGCTGGTAAGCTTATTTCATATACATGTTTGATGTTCGTATTTGATTTTCTAGACAACAGATATTGTAAAATTATACATCCATGCAACATATATTTATGAATCAACTAGACTTAATGAAATAGGACGTAGTTGGTCAATTGTATGCAATCAAAGTAATTGTAATTCAAAAGAAGTCTATACAAAAGTTATCGATTTATCTTATCAATTTATCGATGGCACATTGAAAGATTTTATTCTTTTTCCTAATATTACCACCCATTTCGACAATAGTACCATGTTTACCATCCATTCCAAGAATAGTACCAACATACCTACTAATAATATTATTCCATTAGTCAGTCGATCTCGTCGAAATCAATTCTTTGTAGAATTATTCATTATTATATTCCTCATTTGAATAGTACTCATCCAGCTTTTGTTTCTTCTTTATCGGGACTAAGTTAAAACGAATTTTTATTCATTATTCTCTTCATTTTATTTTATTCATATTTATCAAAAAGGATTTTGAGACAATAATCAAGGATCATTTTGATGATTTATTCGTTTCTACAGAAGTGTGGATGTAGGGTGTATATAATAGTGTTTGTCTCACCTACTCCCACACTCACACCCACCCACACTTTTCAGAAAATACTTATTTGAAATAAAGTTATTGAAATAATTAATATTACCCTAATCTTTCTATTTTAATAATAAAACATTTATCTCTCATGAAAAGCTCGTTATCTAAATCTCGACATAGCTAGGCATGACTGATTCGATCCTCTGAAAAATATTTACTGATGAATGCTAAAGAAAGATCCTTCCTTAGTTTATTGTTGTTAAAATTTTAACACAAATTTTATTAGAAAAAAAGCACAATCCAGACTAAAAATAGATAAAGTACTGTTAGAATTATAATTGACTTTTGATCTCGCTGATTAGTTGTTCAAGTTTTCCATTGTCACCCAGTAATTCTGTTAAACGTTTCCTTGCTTTGTTGACCATAAATGACCACAATGTTTTAGAAGAATCGAATTTCGTTTCGAAAATAAGAATAACAATAGTAGTTGACAGAATGCTTGAATCATTACTAATATTTGTTTGAAATGATGTTAGTGGCTTTTTACTAAGATTTTGAATTTCAGAATCGCTTAAATTCCAAAGTCCATCAAACTTTTGTAAATTGATCAAGTGACGAACAACATCCTCATCATTTAATGGCCATGCTTTCTCTTTTGCTATTGCTAATGATGATGAAGAATTTGGCATCATGCTATTTGTACAAGGGAATGAGAGTGAATTAGATTGATAACTGATAGATTCATTAAATCTTCTTCCTGTCGTTGATGGTGATTGAAGTAGTGCATGACGTAGTGGTGGAGGTGATCGTGACCGATCTGATGCTCGAGATTGTGTTGAAGATGATGCTGACCGATTGGATTTCCATTGTGATAGTGGTCGACATGATGCGTGAAATTGTGCAGTCGAGGAAGACGTTGGAATAGATTGAGAATAACAGTTAGGGACACTATAAGAAAATGATGCCTGTTGTTGTTGTTGTTGTTGTTGTTGTTGTTGTTGTTGTTGTTGTTG